ATAAACAGAATCTTCGAAGCCTTAATGAGGTATTCTCAACTCTGGTTTTTCTGGTATATTCAACTCGCTAAATAACGTTTATTACCCTGGCGGAGGTGTAGTATCCTCGAAGTCGGAGATTCCGATGGCGCTAGTGGTCATGGCCGTTGGCCCAACCGGGATTCCGATGATAACGGCCAAGCACAACCTCCGCATTCGCGTACGGCAGGATGTAGTTGGCATTAATCGCCTCAAAGAAATTCATCTAAGATAGTGAGATGTCCTCCGAAAAGCGGATCCGTCCGGAAGACCTATCCCGAGACACATTATATCGTTTCAAGGTGATACTTGGTTGGTATCGCTGTCTCGGAATTCTGTCGTTCGTTGTATACTGGCAATTGCGCGTTGAGCATACTAATTGGGAGCTGTTCAGCGCAGCGGCACACCACGATATACATCAGATACGCTCTTTGAATATATTGCATAACTTACAACATGGGATCGGTTGGTGTGTTAACATGGCAAGATCGCGCCAGCGAGAAGCGCTCGCGGATATTAGCAGAGGTTCCTCAACACTTCGTTCACTCGTCACTGGCCTTTTCAACCACAGAGGCAGTCGATACCATGGACATTCCGACCTTCTCCAAAACCAACCCGGCCCGCGTTATCGACGTCCCGGATCGCCTCCTGAGCGCTAGCGAGCTTGCCATCACAGCACTCAAGGCAGAAGAGATCCCACCCGCAATCGCGGCTGGAAAGTATACTGCCGTCGAAGTCTTGGATGCCTTTACGCATCGTGCTGTTATTGCTCACCAACTCTTGCATTGCTGTCTGAGCTTTATGTATCCCGCAGCTCTAAAGCGTGCAAAGGAGCTTGACGAATCGTTTGCACGGACTAAAACCTTAGTTGGCCCTTTACATGGAGTGCCGCTTTCTGTCAAAGACCAGTGCCGTATCAAAGGCACAGAAACCACTTGTGGATACGTGGCTAATCTCGGCGTCTTTGACGAGGAAGATTGCTTGTTGGTGAGTATTTTGCAGAATGCAGGGGCAGTTCCGTTTGCAAAGACGACTTTGAGTGTTGGTTGCATGTGGGGTGAAAGCATCAACAAGTTAAGGCACCCCGATTGATTTGAAAAGACTCAAAGGCTAATCTTGAACAGCATTGTTGGTCGGGGGAGCAATCCTTTCAACAGGATCTTCACATGTGGAGGTTCAAGCGGAGGTGAGGGGGCATTGATAGGCTTCAGGGGTAGCCCTCTAGGAGTCGGTTCCGATTTGGGAGGCTCAATTCGGACTCCCTCGTCTTATAATGGCCTACACGGCTTACGGCCTTCCTCTTCTCGTATTCCATACTATCAAGTACTCAACAGTATGGAGGGGCAGGAGATTATTCCCTCTGTCGTCGGCCCTATGGCACGATCTACAGAATCGCTTCGTCTATTCGTCAAAACCGTCGTTGACGCAAAGCCGTGGCTGATCGATCCCAAGAGCCCTCCCATCCCATGGCGAGAAGACATGGCACAAGGTGTACTCAACCGTCCTCTTCGGATCGCCATTATGCACTGGGACGGGCACATCCTTCCCCAGCCTCCCATTCGGCGAGCGCTTCGAGACGCTGAAGAGAAGCTGCGCAAGGCAGGGCATGATGTCATTTCTATGTTCGATATGAATCAACCCCTGGCAGACAATATCGGATCTGAAGTATGCACAATGGATGCGGATTTAGATGTTCAAAAATCGCGGGATAGGTCAGGGGAGCCGAAGCTACCGGTCTTACCCCCACCAGAGAAGCAGCCAGAACCCATGAGTGTCCACGAAAGCTGGCAACTCGCAATGGATCGCATGAAATATCAGGCATTTGTGCTCAAGGAGTGGGCCAACACGGCCTCCAAAACTCATTCTGGGGAGCCGATTGATGTTTACTTAACCGCCGTGAATCCATCAGTAGCACACCTCCACGGCGAATTCGGTCGTGTAAGGTACAAAGGCTATTGTGCTACGGTCAATGTGCTAGACTTTACATCGTGCACACTACCAGTGCGATTTGCCGACAAGGACGACCTAGTAGACTTGAGTGATACAGTGGATGGATATGGAGAAGAGATTCCGGCTCCTCAATGTGATAGAGATCGATGGATCAGAGAGAATTATGCAAAGAACTTTGAGGAGTATCATGGTATGCCGGTTGTTTTGCAAGTCGTTGGAAAGAGGCTAGAGGAAGAGAAAGTGCTAGCTATATCACAAATTCTCGAGGGCCTATTGAAGACGATGTAAGTGTAGGAATTGGTATAATGGATATGTTTTAAGATCAAGTTACCTCACGTACGTCGCGCCATACTTGGTGCGCTTTGGCATAAGAGCATTCCGTAATCCCTTAGGTCTATGGATTGAATACCGAAGATGCCTCAAATATTGTAAGCTTTATAGCTTGTTCCTCTCTGTTGATAATTATTATCTACAGCATCTGTTGACAATTCCAGAACTTCTCTTAAATGATTATAGTTTCGGCTTGATGTCTCAATCCTCCTGCACTTCCGGTGAATTTCACATTCTCTCTCAAACGAAGCTCTTCCAGTCGAATGCCTGTTCCCATGCATACGCGACTCTATAAATAGTTGGTTCTTTATAAAACTTAGATACTATTTCCATGCCGACAGGAAGCTTTGGATGAGGGGCGGTATCAGATGGGAGAAAGCCAATCGGCATGGTAAGAGCAGGCATTCCAGTCTAGTAAGTCAGCCTAATTCTTCAGAATGACTGATTTCTAGGAAAGCACAACTCACTAGATTAAAGCCCGAAGTATTCAGTGAGAGTCCGACAGTATTGAGCATAAACTCGCGGATCGTAGAGTCTACGGGCGGGAGCTTAGGTGTTACCCTTGGAATAGTTGGGAGGATTAAAACGTCGTATTCATCTAGCAAAGCGTAGTACTCATCACGCAGTTTGCGAATGAGGTTGGTGGCTTTTCCATATGTTGATGGGCGTACGTTGTCCCATGCCCACTACAATACTGATATTTAGTCCTCTTCGGGTTTCGTCATCGTATAAGCACTTACCTTGCCGTTGATGAGTGTGTTGGCAATACTAGGCCACATCTTGTCGAATTTTTCCTGAGTTATCGGCAGCATCTTATCGGTCAAGTCATTCATGCAGTATACTCTTCTGCCGCTATTTTGCCCTACCAGAGAGCTGTAGTGCGAGAATCTGCCAGGAAACTTTGATAGATTAGTGATCGAACTAACACAACATACGAAGCCCGATTTGTGACTTACAGCCCATAATTCTGGTCCAAGCGTGTGCATTGGTACGCTCACTTCGTCCACAATGCAACCCAACTCCTCAAGAGCCTTAGCAGCCTTGACAACCAGCTCACTCACTCTCGGATCGTGCATTGGCTGATCGAGAGACTCCTTGAGTATACCAATCTTCATGCCCTTGACCCCTTGTTTCGCAAGGTTTACGTAGTCGGGAACATCCTCGGGATACGGGCAACCCGCCTGTTGCCGATCATCAATCCCGTCGGCTCCTGCGATAGCTTGAAGCAGAAGAGCGTTGTCGAGAACAGTCCTTGTCATGGGTCCGGTATGATCTACTATAGGTTCCAATGAAGCAATCGCAGTGTACGGTACTAGCCCAGTGGTAGGCTTTAGCCCAACAATACCATTCATGCTCGATGGAAGACGGATCGACCCGCCTTGATCGCCACCAATGCCTCCCCATGACGTTCCGTCAGCGATCAAGACGGCCGTACCAGAAGATGAACCTCCAGCAGAGAAGCCTTCCGCGTATACATTGTACATACGGCCAGTCGCAGCGGAGCAAGAAGCCCCCCAACACGACATGTTCTCACAGACAGCCTTTCCATGAATGATTCCACCAGCCTCGAGGACGCGCTTAACTACAGTCGCATCAGTGTTGGGAATATAGTCACTGAAAAGATCTGTTCCAATCAAGCAAGGCACCCCTTTCACGGCGATATTGTCCTAGTGCGGAGATTAGTAGTGTATTCGATTTTGGTGGTGACCATGACACTTGGTTCAAAACACGGTGCATTACCTTGAGATTGATCGTCTTTCCGGCTAACAATCCGTTCTGGCTCTGATCTGTAGTATCCTCTATGTGACACTTCCAAGCCCAAGCGTTCGATTTATTTGCTTCGCCTTCCGGTCTATGCACGTCTTTCCGTGGAAATCGCACTTCATCAACCTCCGGGACATAATCGTCCATTTGCTCTATTTTGTCCCATACTTCCCAGATGCCTGTAAGAAGTGACGTGAAATCTCCGAGATTTTGTGGCTTTGCTTTCAGACCAAGCGAGTCAAGCGTGGACACGACATCTTTCTCGGAAATGGGGTTACGGTCTGACACTGTGTCAGGAGCAAGTGTAGACGACATTCTGCTATGTGATGGCTAGAGAACCAAGAGTGGGTTGAGGCACCGGAGAGTCTCTTTTAAAGTAATTCTGAAGTCCTGGGTATATTTTGACTCTGAGACATTTGCCTTTTCCAAAAGACGGCTAGGACCGCGCAGCGGCCATTTTGCCTCAACATCGGCCGTCTCAATCAGATTCGGAGCGGAACTCTGGGCGGGCCGCTCTTATCTGGCCCCGCCAAGCGAAGCGAGCGCTAAGCCCGCAGGTAGTTGACGGCGCCGCCTTATCTTTGCTTGTATATAGATAAGTTCGCGACGATCGGCAATGCGAATGCCGGCCATTTATCATTGATCAGTCGTTAATCAGTCTGCAGGTCCACATCACGGTTGGTCTCGGAACCTCCGAATCATGCACATCATATTGATATGGTATCCCGACTCTCGGGTAGCGGAGATGGGTATAACTAGCAAGCTCGAGTCACTAGGGTTTCCAAGCAGACGTAGATCTCATAATCCTCATAATTCAAGTCTGAACTCTTGGTATTGGCACAGACAAAATGGGTGTTCTTCACGAGCTCCATCTCTTTTTCATTGGCGAGAAGCCTTCGAGTAAGGCTGAGCGCAACTTGCTCATGAAACTCGATACTTTCATCCTCTCGTTTATATGCTTGTCACAGTTCATCAACTATCTAGATAGGCAAAACTTGACTAACGCATATGTTTCTGGTATGAAAGAAGAGATCGGATTCGAAGGAGTAGATTTCAACGTGGCTCAGACCATCTTCAAGGGTAGGTCCATTATCAACAGCTAACAGGCTCCTGGCACATGTTAACCTGTGTAGCCGGGTATATTATTGGAGGAGTTCCTCAGTCTTTGATTGTCGGATCACATAGAGTACCTCTATCGTTCTGGTTTCCTTTTTGCGCAGTGTGCTGGTCACTACTTACACTCGGCAATGCTTGTGAGTAATGTTTGCCTGACTTGAATTTCGTTGTGAGGTTAACAATTGGCGAAGTTTGTCATCATGTGTGGCAAGTGCAAGTTATTCGTTTCTTCATGGCAATGTTTGAGGCAGTGTCATTTGCCGGAGCACATTATGTCCTTGGCTCTTGGTACAAGCCTTCTGAGCTCGGCAAAAGAGCATGTCTCCTCACTGCCTCCCAAAATGCTGGAGGCCTTTTTGCGGGAATCATGCAGGGGGCAATCTTTGAAACGATGAACGGCAAGGCCGGCTTGTCTGGATGGCGCGTGAGTACAATCCCCCTAATTTTCTTAGTCATGGTCACACACTTGACAATCACGCCGACGGTCATTACCATATGACATTGACGATAACTAATGTCGATTGCAGTGGTTGATGGTCATCAATTGCCTAATGAGTAAGTTTCTTAGCTTCATATAAGAGTTTCAGAACTAATAGAATCACAGGCGTTCCTGTTGTCACCCTTGGTTTCTTGACTTTCCCTGGACAACCGGCAGAGTGCAATCGATGGTATTTATCGAAGGAGGAGAAAGAGTTGGCAATAAGTCGTCTTCCACCGCATACACCGACGAAGTTGGATTGGGGTGTCTTCAAGAAAGTCTTTAGTGACTGGAGATTCTGGGCCTTCACACTACAATTCTGTTTCAACACCAACATGGAATGGGCCGGCTTGTACAGTATGTAATTTATAGTCCACCATCTGAGCTTCGTGTGCTAACTAATTTAGGCCCCATGACGTTGTGGATGAAATGGACTGGCCGATATACCACTCCTCAAGTCAATTACTATCCTCTTGGAACGACTGCAGTCACCATTGCATCGACATGCTTATTCGCTCTCTGGTCAGACTACACGAGGTCCCGATGGTGGGTCAACGTGGTGATGGCATTCTGTGCCGGGATCCCCTGTATAATGCTTCTTGTACCGTCATTGCCTACTGCTGGCAAATTCTTTGCCTGGTATATTGCTGGCATGGGATTCATCGGTCAGGCTGTCAACTTTTCATGGGCCAACGAAGCTTGCCGCAACGACGACCAGCTCCGATCTATCACCCTTTACGCCATGATGTATGGCTCTAACATCACAATTGCCTGGTTCAACATAGCGTTGTTTCCAGTGACCGATGTCCCAAACTTCACGAAAGGTTATTCGGCCTCTTTGGCCACTTGCATTCTCTCACCTCCAATTGCAATTTGGGTGAATTGGAGGTGCAAGCGTCGAGAACGTGAACTTGCCGAGCAAGTATTGTATGCTGACGGAGAGATCGAAACTATTCCTGCAGAGAAGACCTACTCCGGCGAAGACTCACATATGAATACTCCTGAGATCACGGATAGTGAGGGAAAGAAGGAGCCCAGCACTGTTTCCAAGTCCGTTTGAGGCCTTCCACGTCTGCATGATATCGGATGGTTTTTCAAGAAGGAAAAGGGGCCCTTACCAATTGAAACAGAATCCAAACGATGAAGCTTTCATACCTTTTGCTTCGTAATGAAAACGTACTTCTGGAGATTATATGGACTCTTTCACAATTAAGCATCTATTTAAAGTAGCGTTCTAATAAGCTATAAGATGCAATGAACCGCATCTTTCCTTACGCAAACCGGAAGATTGGGTGGTGACTCTTGAAGAGCAGCTGTCAGAAGAACTTGTTTGGCTGGTCACCCGGGAAATAGTGGCAAGTAATTTGTTTGGAGCAGATGCAACTTTATTCTTCTACATCTAACCATTGAAGCTGTGACTTTTGAGCAGTGTCAATTTAGCGCAAGTACTCGTTACAACACTGTATCTAACGCCGTGATTGTCCGCATATGTCTGAACTTTCTAGTGGACCTACAGCTGCTTCCAGTCGTTTTTCAGACTCCAGGCATATGCAACACGATATATATCCTGCTCGTGCCACCACTTGCCAATAACCTGCATGCTGACAGGCAATTTGGTTCCCGAACCTTTCAGGGGACCCTCTTCAATTGGAAGCATTCCAATCGGCATGGCCAACACTGGGTGACCAGACTGATCGAACGGTGCTGTATTTGCTGTGAGGCCTACTTGCTTCTGGATCTTTTCGAGCGGTTTGGCATCATATGGTGTGTGAGTATTGGCAATATACGGCAATGTAGGTGCTACAAGAACATCGTAATGCTTGAGCGCTGCATCATAATCGTCGCGAAGCTTCCGACTCGCATTTGTTGCTTTACCAAGAAGTCCCGGAAACTTAGCTAAAGCGTATGCGCCGTTAATGTAGATGTTTTTCGAGGAGACGTACGCATTGTCCCATTGCTCCTGTGAAATCTCTTGAAGCTTTTCATTAAGGTCCGTCATAACGTATCCTCTTCTTCCACAAACTAGATTACGTTTAGTCAAATAGCCCCCAAACTTACTAACAGCAGTCCAGATTGCGGCGCCTTGAGAGTGAATAGGGACAGAAACGTCCTCCACCGTAGCTCCAAGATCTCGGAGACCGTTGATAGCAGCCTCCACACACGCTCTTACACGAGGTTCGACTGATTGTTGGTTCAAAGCCTCTAGCAGGACTCCCACGCGGACACCAGTCAAGTCTGAAGGATTTTTGATAGCCTTCAAGTCGTCATAGTATTTTGGTACATTTTCTGGCCAGGGTGCGCCAAAAGACCGATCATCGATGTTATCATTGCCTGCAATAACTTGCAACATAATGGCGTTATCAAGGAGAGTCCGAGTCATGGGGCCGACATGGTCATTCGTAGGTTCGTTTGATCCACAAGCAGTAAAAGGTACAAGACCAAAGGTAGGTTTCATGCCATAAATACCACACCAAGCTGCTGGAACACGAATTGAACCACCTTGGTCAGCTCCCAAGGCCATGTCCACATCACCGTTGGCTACTAGTGCGCCGGAACCACTGGAACTCCCACCACTGCTATATCCTGGTGCATATGGATTGTGAACGGATCCAGTAGCTGCAGAACTGCTAGTTCCAGAATGGCACATGTTCTCACAGACGGCTTTGCCCTTGATGATGGCACCTGCTTCAAGGAGCCTAGTGACACACGTCGCATCCGTTTGCTGAAAATTGTTAAATCGGATTGACTTGCGCGTTAGTGAACTGAAAGGGTGTGATTCTCTTACAGGTATAAATCCTTTTATGAAATCCGTTCCGAGGAGCATGGGAACATCTTTGACAGCGATGTTGTCTTTCAAAGCGATGGTTTTGCCGTCGAGCATACCGCCGGGTTGTCTTTGTTTGTCTTCTATGTGACATTTCCATGCCCATGCATTAAGAACGTTTTCTGATGGGTCAGGAAATACCACGTTTTCCCTTGGATACTTGTCAGTGTCTACTGGGGGAATGTAGTCTGATCACCATTAGTTTCTAAGAAATATTGTAATCACATCGAGTTGCTATAGTCACCAGGCATATTCATTATGTCCTTCGCAGATTCATGGAAAACAGCCAAAAGCCTCTGATAATCGTCTTTTTCGTCATCTCTCAGAGCTACTCCAAGAGTTTGGCAAACCTCGTTCAGCACATCTATTGTCACTGGATTGCTTTTGTTTACGTCGAGTGAAAAAACAGACATGTTGAATTATTTAGTGACAAAGTTACTTTTGAATTTCGTCGATGCGTTTCAATTCAACCCGATCACATTCGTCTGCAGCATACTTGTCAGACAATTCAGCTCTTGTGGGGTCTACTCACAAAGAGACAACTCGTTACACCAGACCACAAAGATTCACGTTCGGGTCGAGGTATCCGACGGAGGTGCTCCGAAAGCCTAGCTTCAAGCTACCTGCAGAGCGTCTCCGCTACCGGCTGGCGGCGTTATCTAGGAGGATGGCCCCACTGGGTCGGGCAAGATACACCCACAGATAGCGGCAGTAGTGCTAGTCTACAGAGACGAGGCATTCAATATGAACGTCGGATGTCCGCCGATGGATTTCCCACTTGAACATGCCCAGATGCACCTAACATGTCGCCGTCCAGCCCACAGATCGCGGCGCCGGGACCTCCGAATCCGAGAAAACGCGGACGCACCGCATGTACGAGATGCAAGAATCGGAAACAGAAAGTAAGAATGTCGTAATATTCGTGTCTTTGATAGCGATCGGCTCATTCATAGCAGTGTGACGAACAGTGGCCGATCTGTTCGAATTGCAGGACGGCTGGAGTACAATGCGACAAGAAAGATATCGTCAATGATGGTCCTTCAGCTGCGTATGTTGCCTCTTGCAGTGTTTCATGCATAGAAATGTTGCTGAAACTGATCTAGCTACACCCAAGCTTTAGAGGATCGAGTAGCATACCTTGAAAACAGGTTGAATCAAATTAGTAAGGGACAGCAAGGCGATGAATCCAGAAATCCGAATCCTCGACCGGCAGGCAGCAATAATGCCCTCAGTGAAGTTGTCACGCTTATTCCACTGGGCAACTTGGGTGCTCCGGCATATGTTGGCTCATCCTCTGGCATGTCCCTAGCAGCAAATTTGCAGGAGCTCGTGCAATCTACTGTGTGGAACAAAGCTCTTCTCACCTCAAGTCTGCCAAATACAGAAAATCGACCGATTTCAGAGACAAGTGGGAAGGAAGCTCCCGGAGAAGATAGATCTGAGACTATTCCTGGAGTCCGCGCAATCACATTGGAAGAGCTGGTCGCCAATAGTGCAAAGGAACCACCAAGCGACATCTTGGGAACCCGCATCATCAACACTTACTTCACCCAACTTCATCCTCGATATCCATTTCTTGAGCATTCTGAGATATGGAAACTGCATTCACAACGCATAGAATTGAGCTCTACATTGCCTGCTGAGCTAACGAAAGCTCAGCGATTCAGTATCTTCAAACTCTACATGGTATACGCGATCGGGGCTACGCTACTTCAGTTGACCGAAAAGACTTCAACTCTTTCTTCAGAGGTAGGCCCATGTACAACTATTAACATCTTTCTGCTGTGTATTTCGTGTTAATTAGCATACAGAGCTTCTATATGACTGCCCTACAACATATCTCAGCGGCAAGAGAATCAAGGACCGTTCAGAATATTGAGGCGATGACTCTGCTGGTTATATACCACCTACGTTCGGTATCAAGCCATGGCATGTGGTATATGATTGGACTTGCGATGCGAACATGTGTCGATCTGGGAATGCATCGCAAGGGACATGAACATGGTCTTTCGCGCCCTGTCATCCAGAGACGCAGACTACTGTTTTGGTGCGTCTACGCTCTTGAGAGAACTATTGCAGTATCTCTTGGCCGGCCCGCGAGTATATCCGATAAACAGATTGATGTCGAGTTTCCGTCAGAGATTGTGGACGAAGACACTTCGTCATCATCTGGATCTGGTAATCGGATCCTACTTGCTATTCAGCTATTCAAGGTTCGCCAGATCGAGTCTCGAATCCATCAGTCAATATATCGTGTGGACAAGCCACTTGAATTGCTCCGTCCAAAGCTAGACCGGCTATACGAAAAATTAAAGACTTGGTGGATCTCGCTGCCCGAATCACACGAAATAAGCAATGCCGACATGAATTATCTGCAATTACACTACAATCGAGTCGTTCGTTTGCTTATTCAACCATTTCTATCCATTTTGCCTAGCTCTGACCCATATTATGGCCTTTGTCTTCGAGCAGCGGGTGATATCTGTCAAGTTCATAAGAGACTTCATCAGACCCCAGACTATGGCCACAGTTTCATCTCAGTTCAGACGGTGTTTGTGGCTGGCATAACATTGTTATACGGGTTGTGGACTCAGTCACAGGCGGTCTGGTCAGTAGCACTGGCTGACGACATACGCGCTTGCTCATTGGTACTTTTCGTCATGGGGGAGAGAGCCCCGTGGGTAAGGAAATTTCGCGACGCATTTGAGATGCTTGTCAATGCGGCTATGGAAAAATTGCAGAATGGTGACTCCCGACTGAGTGAAATGGCAGCCGCAGCGCAAGGTCAACCAAAGACAACTATCGAAAGCACCAGCGTTAATTTACAGTACGGCCCTGCGGCATCCACGAATGATTTTAATAGAGAATCAAGCATAGGTGGTAGAGTTATGAATGACCAAGATGATGCTTGGAGAATGGTCATAGAGTTGGCCAACTGGATCGATCAGGAAGAGGGATCCGCAGTCTGGATGCCGGATTTTGAGTTGCTTCAGAATTTGTCTGGGATTTGAGGATATGTGAGTTATTCTCTACATGCACAGCGGTGTGTCTTTAGGTGCGATATCTCTTCATAGCATACATTCTCTGAGCGATGTACAATTATAGCTCTGAGCATCTTTGACCATCTGTCATTGAACTTTAAGTTGTTACTAGACAGCCTTTGATCCCCAGGACATCTTTCATCGATCATCAAAAACTCGAGCGCGACCTATATACCGTTGATTGTTTGCTATTTGGCGAAGGCATTTCGATCGGCTGTCTGGCAGCCGACCATGGTGGGTCTAGGGTTTTCGGAAATCCAACGGTTGGCTCATGTCTTCCGGTACATGACATTTCTTCCGGCAAATATATACCGCACCTGGATACTAGTTTATTATAGTGTAGCCCAGTGACACACCATTTCGGCCAACCTCCGATGCCTCGGGGGTTCCGATATAATAGGGCAGCCCCGGAAAATATGTGACAACGGCCCGCTTATGCATGATCCCTTCAGTCATGCTAATGAAAATTAGTTGCCGACGTCCGAGACCAAGGATGCAGAAACATCGGAGGTCCTACTATACAATCTTCTAGCCCAGAGAGAAAGACCAACTTCGACCTGCTTCGTTTCAGCCCAGGAATTCCAAATGGAATGGGACCAGGTATTTTGAGAGTACAAGAAGTAGCCGAGTCACTTTGACAAGACGAAATCCGCCTAGTTGTAGATCGATGACACCTGCAATGGGCTCCCGAGACCGACAGGCGAAGGCTGAGAGAGCACTTCACGATCAGACCAACATCCTACCTAGATCTCAATTGATATTGGTCTTCGCAACACTGTCAGCGACCTTATTAATATGTTACCTTGACCAAAATGGTATCACGGTCGCCCTTCCAACCATTGCTAGCGATCTTCATGGCGAGGACACGGTTTCTTGGGCCGGCACAGCTTCATTAATTGCCAATACGACTTTTCAAATGCTCTATGGCCGTCTTTCCGACATTTTTGGTCGTAAGGCCGTTTACCTTGGAGCTGTCGCCCTTCTGATTGTGGCTGATCTGCTTTGTGGCTTGTCGCAAAATGCTCCTATGTTCTATGTTTTCCGCGGAGTTGCCGGTATTGGTGGAGGAGGCATCGCCAACCTGTCTATGATCATAGTTTCGGATATCGTGACTTTAGATCAGCGAGGCAAGTATCAGGGTATAATCGGCGCGATGGTTGGGTTAGGCAATATTGCAGGACCTTTCCTAGCGGCCGCATTCCTAGAAAAGACTACGTGGAGAGCCTTCTTCTATACTCTTGCTCCGATGGTAGCTATTGTATGGCTCACAGCCTTCTTCTTGCTTCCAACGAATCCTCCAACAACAGGCCTTCGTGATGGCCTAAATAAGATTGATTATGCAGGATCTTTAGCGTCATCTGTCGCTGTCATCTTCATTCTCATTCCTATCTCTGGAGGTGCGTTTTTCACGTCCGTCAACGATCTTCGATCTCCTTGTTTCATTTCCTAACATTGCTTGGCTACAAAAGGTGGCGCATATTTTCCTTGGGGCTCGCCTATGGTGATAGCCATGCTTGTAATCGGATGTTCCGCATTCGCCCTTTTCGTATTCGTAGAGTATAAACTCGCGAAACTCCCGATGATGCCGGGTAAGTCTGCAACAATTCATAGAGAATAATTCAATTTTGCTCATCATAGTCAGTACAATTGTTCAAAAATCCGGTTGTCACAGTGATGCTCATCCAAAGCTTCCTCTTCGGGGCTGTGTATCAGTCATATTTATATTATGTCCCGCTGTATCTTCAAAATGCCCATCAATTTCAACCATTAGTTTCAGCTGCTATTTGTGGGTCATTAGTGGCCGCCCAGACTGTGCTGTCTATTCTTTCGGGACAGTACATGTCTCGGCGGAAGAGGTATGGCGAGGTGTTGTGGTTGGGATTTGGCTCGTGGACACTGTAAGAGCAGGATCAGAACGGGAAATGATGGATAGAAAGCTAACGCTATATTTCTTCACAGCGGTTCCGGCCTAACTCTCATTTATGGAAAAGACACCAGTCCCGGCATCATAATCATACCTCTCATTCTCATAGGTATTGGAGTAGGATGCATCTTTCAGCCCACACTGGTCGCCTTGCAAGCACATACGCCTAAGTCAAGACGCGCCGTTGTTATTTCCAACCGCAATTTCTTCCGCAGCGCAGGTGGTGCTTGTGGGCTTGCTGCTTCCGCTGCAGTCTTGCAAGCGTCTCTGAGAGCCAATCTACCCTTAAAATATAGCTACCTGGCAGAAAAAACATACTCACTGCCCACCGACTTGCCTAGTCTCGACAAGGCAGCAGTTCTAGATGCGTACATGGCAGCCAGTAGGGCTGTATTTATTCTACAAATACCGCTCATTGGTCTCTGTCTTTTGGGTTCATTCTTTGTAAAAGATCGAGGACTTGAATACCCGGAAGACGCAGCCGCGGAAAAATCCGGATCATTTGGCGAGCTAGGCACAGAGAAGGGAGGTCAGGCTCAGGAGACAGTCATACGCGATACCAGCGGATCAAAGAGCATTGATAGGGCTGCCGATATGTCAGATACGGACATTGATATTCCCAACGTTATGCATGGAAAGCAAGCAACCACACAATGCCCAGCATATCGAACAAAATACTCAAGGGCCTAAAGTGTGTAGCACACTGCACAATTGAGAATTAAAAAGTTATATATTAATATGATTAAGCGGCTAATATAGCTGGTAGAATGCTCATTTCTGTGAAGACCCATAATATGCTAGTATAATCTGAAGCCCATGCCTGGCCGGTGAACCAAGTGCTCTTTTTGCCCTGAAGTTCATACAAGTTTCCGTAGAAGCCGTTAATGAGGTCGTCTTGTGAGACGCGCAACTCAATAGGGTTATGATCCGCGAATGCAACAAAATCGATTCTCTTAGTCGCAAAAGTGCCTGCAGTGTCCAGTTTTCTCAAACCGTCACGGATTAGGTCCTTCGCACTCTGTTTGCCCAGTGTAGGAGCCGCGACAACTTGACACTGGTATAGCCCCGGGGTGCCAGTAAAGTAATAGCGCCATAGAAAGCTGTCGCTTGACGTTGGTAAGTTGAAGCTTGAGGTGTCTGGGGAGGTATTGACAATTGTAAGTCCGTCGGGAAGATCTGAACCGCTGAAGATGGCAACGTAAGAGTTCATGTACTGCCATCTGGAAAACAGCTCCGTTTCTGATTTATCGAAGTCAAAGGGGTACATGTTGTCTTTGGTTGGCGGAATGGTGATGATCAACTTCTTTGCCTTGACGAGTTTCTCTCCGCTTGAGCTCTTGACAATGAGCTTGACTCCATTTTCGTCTCGATTCGAAAGCGCCACTTTGCTTGAGAGCAACGAATCTGCCGCAAGGTATTGGAGAGCAGCACCATAGAGTTGGCTGTTATTATGAGAGCTAGGGACGAAGAAAGAGCCTGAGAGGAGATTCTGGACATGAATGGCACCGAAGTCACGCATCACAAACGCTGTTGGTGCGTTTAAAATGTTGCCGGTGCCTTGTGTGAAAGTCCAAATGACAGGCATTGCGGCGCTTAGGTTGTACTTTCGTATAAAGTTACCAAATGTCATGGATAGGTCTTCCGGGATGGGCCCAGCCGCTAACTTTTCCAGTCCAGGGAAGATGTAGTCATTGTATTGAGCCGCAACTTGAGCATATGTACCTAGTGCGACCCCCAATGCTTCTTCATCTGGACTTGGGTAATTGGGTACCACCTCCCCGGTTGTGAAATCCGCATACACACTCTGCCAAGGTGGGTTTGTTGCAGGCTCGACGGAGACATTGAAGCGCGCGAAGAACTCTTTGTTACCAGGCAGATCGAGGTAGGCGAGGACACCATAGTCAATGGGGGTTTCGCTGATGGGATCAGAGTACGTGTTGACATGACCACCCTAAGCCAGACGAATTAGTGACTTGCGATTGTGAAGACGCTAGTGTGCGAATCACTGTCCCTTACCAGATGATCATCACGTTCTATCAGCGCGACTGTTTTGCCTTGGTCCTTGAGACGAACAGCTGCGTATGTTCCCGATGCCCCCCCACCAACGATTGCGACGTCCCTGGTGATTATATCTTCCGGTTTGAACTTGCTCTCGTCAATGGTGTGAGCATAACTGCTCATCACCAGAGCGAGGAAGGTGAGGCTACATGCGAGTCGAGCCATGCTTCACGAATTTGGCAGATGGATGAACAGCCGCCTCCAAAAGTTTGTGAGCAGAGACTTGGACGAAGTAGTGAAGGAGTCGGCGACTTGATCTTTAAGCCAAATTGAAGCTACCTGTTCTGCCATCAGGGCACTGGCTCCAGTATCTCTCGGATTCTAGCCTTCAATGATCGGACCTTTTTCAGCCCTGTTCGTCCTAAGGAGCCTATAAGTGGAGATCATCGTCTTAGAGGCCTAGAAACATGCAGGGTTTCGGCTGATGGAGTAGAAGGAGCATACGAATGCTTGGCAGGACCCAGACTACCGGTTCAGGCACGTTGCTCCCGTGCGTTCCGGCTCCGACTTTGATGCAAAACTCATGCACTTCTGGTCTTGCCAAACAGGCGAGCTTCATTATTTGTATGGATTTCCAACTCCTTTTTTTGCTTGAGCCTTGGAAACGCACTCATCAGATGTGATAGCAAGGTACGTAGCAGATTTTCCGGTACAGTGATTCAGAACATTGGAACAGTGCAAGCCCATGGAAATTAGACATAAGGATAAGCAATGCGGCGTGCTGACAGGAATAATACGCTAGTTACGCTACGTGATGACCCCGATGAGCCACACATATTACAAACACTGGGTTATCAAATGCTCTATTTATAATTAGGTAAGAGAAAAAGGGAGTGGACTTGTAGAGCGCGCATTACGGTCACGCAAATCTCTTGGATGAAGAAAGGCAGACAGAAATGACTAGAGCAGGAAAGACATGGTAATTAGCAAGTAGTTGAAGATGTTTTGATTAGGGGCCAGTTTCGCTGACGCTCACAGTGCGTCTTAAAAGAATAATTAGAGATAATCACAAATTTTGATATCCAATCAGAGAAGCGCCAGTGGTTTAGTGGTAAAATCCATCGTTGCCATCGATGGGCCCCGCGTTCGATTCGCGGCTGGCGCATCTTTTTGTATCCTGAACATTTCGCTGCGTCGTTCTCATTTTTGCCTTTTTTTGCTTTCCACAACTATCTATCACCAGTTTGGCAAGTCTTTAGCTTGTTTCTGATAACATTTCTGGATAATGACGTTACAGAATGGGAGTTATAGCACGCTGGGATGCAAGAGACTTGTAAGATACGACGTTCTCAGCGACGATTGTTAGTAGCACCCCTGGTATCTTTACTGTTCCTCCTTTCCTTACCTTTCCTTACCTTTCCTTACCTTTCCTTACCTTTCCTTACCTTTCCTTACCTTTCTCTCTCCTCATGCCCAAGAAGTATATTGGAGATATCCGCCGCGAAGCATCCACATCATTCCAGCAACATCGGTTCGGTGTAGTTGCTTGGTGTTGCCAGACTGATTGCAGCCAACAATCGGGCAGGCTGGCGACCGGCTGAGCAAAGCACAAGGCAGATTCCCTACGACACAATACACGATGGAAGATAAAGAAGGCGTTGCAACACCAAATCAGCACGCAAACTGCGCGGATCGTGCCGCCATGCAGCCGTGCAAGCGCCCGGCACTTGTTCTTTCGGCTTGCCATGCTCTCATTGGCCGGGCATCACCACACCTACATCTGCATATCGACGGCCGGCGATAGCCCCCACCCTCCACTTTGAGCCTCATGGGTGACGGTCAATGGTTGAAGAAGGACGCCTTGAGGTCCTCATACGCATGAGATGTATTCGTGCCGACAGCTGAATTGCTGTTGAGATGTCAGCGGTTGCATAGCCTTCCAGATCGGCCGCCCCCATCGATCCCAGACTTAGACCACCTTTCTCGAGTCCTACGCACACTTCAATGCCCCCCTTGATCTTCGCTTGTCCAAGCTGTGGATTTCCTTGTAATTGATCAGATGGATGCATTATAAACGCTGTTCAAAGCACGCTTCTGCAGAAGCAGCGGCTACCTACGTAAACATCAGCCAATGTCGTATTCCCTGCCGCAGCACTGCAGAGTTAAGAAATAGACGCGGTATCTGTCTTGTCTTGTTTAAAGAGACGTATGCTTGGTCGCCTTAGCTTGGCTAGTCATTTCAAGTCTACCTACATATTGTGCTGAAATCGAGCAGTGTCTACTCTGACAATGATCCAATAAAATCATACAGCTGTAGGCTGGTTTGTTGGGTTGTTGGTCACCTCAAAGTGACCGGCAGGACAGGATCGGGCTACATGTTGAAACTGACCACTTGGAACTTGCCTTATGCTCGTACAAATAGCCTTGCAACAGGTCACTGAAACATATAAAGGACGGCGTCTCGGTCATGTTTGGACCAGGACTCTTAGTCCAACTGCCAGATACCTTAACTCAACAAGGCTCCATTTCTAGACCGTATTCATGCCTAAAAACGGCAAGACTTTACTATCAACTACAAGTCAAAATTTGCTCTTTGCATCAATAGTTGAATCAGATATCATTGCCATTGCCATTGACCTCCTTCCACTCAAGCCTCACTCATGCCTCCTATCTGGGACCCAAAGGACATCTTCGCCCTTCAGCCAGATGAGCAGTCCGGATGGCAATGTGTCGGGACGATTGCTTCGGCCAACTGTGGCACTACAGAGCGATGCCAACGATTGATTCCCATTGCAGAAATCAACAAGGCTGAGAAGCTTGTCCTCGAGATGTCGAATCAAATACCCGACCAGGTTGAACACAACATTCTACTGCACCTCGCACGAGCTTGTCTCTGCGTCGACATCCCAGAGCCCCATCGAGGAACCCAAGAAGCCCACGTCATCTACAAGTGGACAGGAATGATGTCTCAAGAGGCTGAGGCATTTCGTGCCCAACAACACCTTGGGAAGAAAGCCGACACGATGCCATCGCACTTGGACACTTTCCCAACTCCTAAAGCGTTCGCTTTTTTAAATGAAGAGGAGCACAAGCCGGAGCTTGAGATAATCGCGCCAATACCTATTTCCATTACCACTAGGCCACCATTTCCCTCTCTGATATTTGGCTCATCCGGCAACATCTTGAGTCCCAGTATCAGGATGAGACGATGCGCAAGAGACAACAGCCCAACATCAGCGCTGACCATTGTTCCACCGTTTACCTTCACTCCTGTTTCAGGAAATTCATTGCCTCCGAGTCCACCAGACAGCGCCACATCTACTCTTCCCTTCTCTTCTGCTTCTACAGGATCACCGGTTGCGAATTTCAATGCAACAGAGACATTAGCCCCTCTACCCACCTCCACAACCATAGAAACAAGCTGCAGCCGCATATGGACACCGCGTCGGGCTTTCACAGAGAGTGATCAATCATCGAGTACATCACAACAAGAACAGCTGACGCACGCCTCTATCCTCGCAAATTCTTCTTTGATGCAACTAGAGGAGTACAACCGTCTTCTTCAAGAGACTCATGCGCGGCACGTGGCTCTCCTTAAGCAAGTCACCGAGCTACACCAGCAACTCTCTGGCGTTCGGCAGCTCCAGCTAGATCTCAGCTCAGGTCTAGCGCAACTGATTCCTGGAAAGACAAGTTGATACCAAGCGTACCCCCTTGACACTGGGAAACTAAGAACTGTTGCCACTTTCGTGGATAAAGCTACGGCGCAGATGCCACACGCAGTTGCTGCTTCGAGTTAGGTTGAACCCCAAATGAGATCTTTGATAGGCCGGTCGTTTGTCGAACGAAAACCCCAAGACTCGATATGTAATATTATCTACTTCTTCTTTTGTGTACGAAGATCTTGGATGAAACTAGGACAGTCGAAGCTTAAATACATTCGTTCGGGTGCTTGACTTCTACAGTGTCACATTTTAGCATACAATCACAGAGCTATGATTTTTTTAAACGCTGTCATGATCCCCTTTTTAGCTTGTCTATCCTTACAAGTACTATGACTACAAATTATCGTATCGTTAGACGAAGGTGCTTCCGATGATGCGGTAGGTCATGCCAGTCGTGAGAGTAAGAGAACGAAAAAAAATAATGCGAGTTATAGACGTGGTCTATGTTCCTCAGGGAGATAGTCATGACCAGCCACAGACTCCGCAACACCACATTTGAGGACAACTTCCATCTTAATATTGGACTTGATGTCCACTGTCCGGCCTCCTTATGTAACCGCTCCTCCATGCTAATACGTAATCCCAGCACCACTTTTGCATCTGCTCGCAGCCTGGTACCCTTGTCCCAGGGACTTGGGCGTTGACAACGAGGAGACGATGATGTCCACCGACCTATGTACCGGGAAATCCTTGAAGAAAGGTTTGAGAATGTTCAGGCTTCGTGATGATGTTCTATCATACATGTCTGTACAGCTATGTTCCATTTAGTTAAGCCCAAGCTGTATGTTGTGACTTGCGAGTAGAGCCAAATGGTTTTGGATCAACAAATCAGTATGGGCTCATTTGTTGCTGTTGAATGGGTCTGGTCGCATTCATGATCTGTGTCGTGACTTGTACCATGCCGGACAAGTTCTTGAGGATATGATCACCGGGTGTCTGGCTGTTAATGCGAAGGAAGAGATGCTCAAGGCGTGCCTTCAAGACTCCCATAATCTTAGGTGTCACTTCGCGGGTTTGGCCATCCTGATCAAGGTTAGTTGGTTGTGGACAGAATTGGAGACGAGTGTACATACCAGAGACGGAAGTGCATTAGATATAGTAATGAGCACCGCTTCGATCCATGCCAGCTTTTCGTGCAACTTACCGCTCTCAAGCTCATTGGAAATCGTCGCGGCGATGCTCAGGACTAGTAGTGGGTTCAAGTTTGGGATGAAGGTTGGTCGGTACTTGTGGAGTACCGCATCCCAGATCTCTGCCTCTTGCTTGGTGGCATGTAGCCACTTGATCATCGCCTCATCGTAGGCCTCATTCTCCATGAGATTGCTGATGGTGTGAATAATCTGTTCCGTCTCAAGCCGTCCCCGATTCTCCTTCGTTGTGGGCTGGAAGACCATCTGCTGGTTGTTGTGCTCACTGTGAGTGGACTGGTGAGTCTGTTGCGAGAGATGGCTTGGGGGCGCAATTGGTTGCAACGCGGCAGCGTGCGTATGTATTGGGCTGTTGTAAGCACCACTGGCTTGGCCTTGACTTCCATGACCCTGGCTTCCATGGCCAAGACTTGGGACCGGAGCTTGTTGCTGCTGGACTTGCATCGCCTGGGTCTGGAATTTGATGAACTCGCCTTGGAATTGGCTCTGGGCAGCCGCCATCGTCGAAACAGTATCGGAGAGACGCGCTGTCAAGGTGACGAGCTGATCAATCTTGCCCATGTCAGCTGCTCGGAGCTGTTCGAGCCGGGCAATCTGCTCGCTGGCTTGTCGACGAACGTCATTACCGACTCGCTGAGCAGCCTGAGTGGCGATGTTAGTGAACTTGGGGATGATCTTGTCGTCGAGAACCTCGTAGATCTGCTCCTCGACATGGCGAGTAAGAGAGTGCACCATCTTATCCGTTGTGCTCTTCAGAAGCTCGGGTTTCTGCAACGCCTGGGTGACTGCATTGGGCACCACTTTCTGCAGCTCTTTCTGGACAGACTGCGATACAGAGCTGTTCAATCTGGCACCAAGCTGGTCAGAGATTGACTTGCTGACCACATCGCGCACCATGGGTGTGACGGAAGCTTCAAACTCTTCGTGAATGATCTTCGTCAGGACACGTTGAGTGTTGCCATTGAGAACTTCGGAAACCATCTCGAGTAAGTTTCCTTGGTGGCTGCTGAAGCGCTCGTCACGAAGACGCATGTCATCGTCAACACGTCGGCGGAGATTCTCCATTTCGTTTCTGACGGTATGGCCGAGAGCGCTAGTGATTCGGCTCTCCATAGCGTTGATGCGAGAATCAATGGCCTCGGAGGAGATTGTTGTAGCCTGAGAAGTCTGAGTGGCGGAAAGTGTGACCCTGTCGGCTTTCTGGGTGAAAGCAGCAGGTGTTGCACGAGGAGAGTTGCTGCTGCCATTTGAAAGGCCGTTATCGCGCTCAGCTTGTGCAGCGGCGGCGGCGGCTCGTTCTGCTGCCGCCTTCTTCTTCCTGCTCTTCTTCTCGGTCTTTTCTGCGGGAGGAGCGACGGGATGGTGAGAGGTTGCCTCATCTTCTTTGATTTCCTTTTGCTTAGCAGAAGTAACAAGTTCAGTAGTTTTACGAGACGGTGCATCTTCTTGGGATGATGTGGCAGCAGCAGCAGTGATAGACTCTTTGCTGCGAACGGCAAGCCGGATCTGGTTGGGTTGTGGCTCTTCAAGTCCATGAGACTCAGAGGACTGAGCGGCTGGCGGCGTCTTAAGCTTGGTGATCTTTACGACACCTTCGTCGACAGCATCAACAGGCGCCATGACCTTGTTGTCCTTGGTCCAGCCCAGTTCGGCCTGCTTGATCATCAAGCACGCCACGCCCTTCGAGTGCATTGCGTACAGCTCAAACAGGGTGGGTTCATCGCTGTCGCTAGCAGACGACGGGTTCTGAAGGAGCTGAAGGCTGCGCAAGGTTCCCTTATTGGCAAAAGAATACTCTCGCATACCACTAATAACGGCAGTAGACTCTGGCTGGGGAATCGAAGAGTCCTGTGCAACAAGCCTCTGAATGTAATCCACCTGCGACTGGTTCTTCAGCGTGTACTTGGGCGCTGATAGATGGAGGAAGTAGATTGAGTTCCGGGTAGGGTGGCCAACAACAATCATGCCCGAAGGAGGGTGGTACATGACGCTGCAAACAGCATCTGACTCCTTGCTGTGGGGAAGATTAAACTCTTGGACAGGTTTACCAAGGGCGAGATCCCACAACTGCAATGTGTGATTCTGCTTCATGCCGACAATCATATATCGAAGGGCACCGCGCTTCTGGTACGGCCGGAGCTTATCCAGCAGTAGAACGGATGTCGGCCAGGCCTTCTCGCCTTCAGGTGTTGTCGTGAGCGTCATAAGGGGTTCCTTAACCTCAAGTGACGTCTCAGCCGGCATGGGGTTGCGTGGATCAGATCCCTCCTTGACAGCGGTGAGGTCACGGACGTCCCAGAACTTGACCCTACCGGACTTGTCAAGAGACACGACCATTGTATCATCTTGGCTGAATGTGAAGTCTTTGCCTGCCTTGCCCGTGTTGATCTTGAGTGAGCATTCCTTAGCAAGCCTATCAGTATCTACAAGACGGTCATGCCCAGGCTTGATGAGGCCGTTCTGCAGGATAAATGATGGCCAGATAATGTTGATGGCCTTGCCACGACCAACGGCAAAGTAGTTAGGATGGTTGGTGGACGCGCGAGCCCTCGTCTTAAGAACGCCGCCCGGAGCATCACCCTCCTGGGAAGTAATGGGAGGTAGGGCGAAGCCGTACTGCTCTGGGTTGGCATCCTCGAGGTGGTCTCGGTCTCCATCCTTGATCTGCACCCAGTAGACAGTACCGCTAATGCCAGTTCCAATGATCGCCTCCTTGTGGGCCGCGTTGTGGTCTGCAGGCGTAGAAGAGATAGCTAGGTTGAAGATACGATCCTTCGTGTCGGTAAAGAGCTTCGCATCATGGCCATCATCCTGCCTGATAACTCGCAGGCCACCAGCCTTGGACATACCGTAGGCCATGTAGTTTTCAGAAGCTGCCACGAGATTGCGATCAATTTGATCGAATTCCTTCTTCAATCGTGCAATGTCGAGAATAGAATCGTCGCGGAAGACGGGCCGGGTCTCATTGGCGCCATCCTGGATGGCGATGGAGATCCAGGGCTTCATGGGGAAGTTGAAAACCTTAACAGGGTTGGTCGTCTCTTCAATGACAACAATCTCATCTGCATCAGCGCTTTCCCAGCTGTCTACCACAGGGCCCTGAGCGGCCTCATCGACAATGTCCTTGACAGCTTGGGCGACTTCAGGTCGAAGAGTAGCCTCAAGAAGGCCCTCGTTTTCCTCTTTCTCAAGCTGACTCTTAATATCTTGAGCAGCAAGGGCAGCGGACTTGACGAATTCGCTGTCGTCTTCAGCATCCATCATAGCTTCGAGTTCCTTGGCAATCCTTGCCTGAGCCTGCTCCTCCTCGGCGCGAGCGACTGCCTCCCGGGCCTCTCTGTCAGCAGTACGGGCAAGATCACCGACAGCATTTGCAACAGTCTCCTTGCCTTTGTGTGTCGCCTCATAGCTCGAGAAAGATTCCGAGGGCTCTGGGGTATGACCGACAACTCTGTGGTCCTGGCCAGGGGTTTCAGTCTTCCGACGGACGTGGTCTGGGCTATCTAGAGGGCTGCGAGTGCTTCCAAGCCTCTTGTGATCAAAATTTGCCTGTGCAGAGCCAGGCTTCTTCAAAATTTGAAACGGGGCAGCGGGCGAGCCTGAGGCGCCAGGTGTAGATGTCTTTGGTGTCCGATTCGAGGGCGACGGGACAGTGGGGATGTCCTCGAAGGGGTTGCTGTAAGAGAACAAACTGGCCTTAGATGGAGTGTCATCCCGAGTAGAACGAGCAACTGAGTCAAATTTCAGCTGCGGCGACCCTGATGCCTTGGACTCGAAGTCAAATGAGCTAGTTGGCACATCAGGCACGGCGGGAGCCGCCTCGCCGATATCGTGTGTGGACTCGGCCAAGGCTCGCTCGAGGGACGGAAAATCTCTCGCATGCTCGTGGGCAGACTCGCTCGTCGACTGCGGGGTCAAGTTGATTGACTTGGTCTCGTTGGACAGTGGCGCATCACTCTGGCTCGGCTTTGGTCGATTCAGAAGATTGAGAAGATACTGCTGAGTGTTCTCAGTCGGGCCGGTGCCCCAGTTGGACGTAGATGCCTGTGGAGGCTGTGGTTGGTGCGGTTGAGACTGCGGCTGGGCAGGCTCGGCCTTGACGACCTCGTCGTGCAGCTTGCCTTTCATAAGAGCCGCAAGCAAGCCGGAGGGGTCGGCCGCTGCCGGGGCAGGGTGATGGAGAAGATTGGACGACACTGGGCCTGAAGCCTGTCTGAGGAATTGCTGAGGAGGAAACGAGGGTTCTTGAGGAGTGGCTGAGGACTGGGACAAGTTGGACTGATTGCTCTGGTTGTACTTGAGAAGGTTCAGGAGGTTCGCAGTGCGGTCGTCATTGCCGCGAGCGCCGGACATGCCAGGAGGATACGCAGAGTTGAACATTCCGCCGACGGGGGGAGTTGGGGCGGCGGGTGGGAAGTCGAAGGACTCCTCCATCTGTGGAGAGTCGGCGGGACTCTGGTTGTAGTATGCCTGGCTGGCTTGGTGATATGGATTGAAATGTGACATCAGGTCTGAAGCTTGCTGGGAGGTAGGGGAGTCTTGATTGCCGGGCTGGCGACGCAGCTGGGCCAAGAGTGACTCAAGGCCGCCGTTGTTGTCCATGTCGCCGCCCGAGCTTCCTCCACCCGGCATGCCGTAGCTTGCCATGGAGGAATCAACGGCGGATGGACGAGTAGTCCCAGGTCAGCCCGTCGCGGGTCGCCGTGTTAAGATAGCTCTCCGCAGTGATTCGACTTGATGGGACAATCGGGGGATGCAAAGGGGGTAATAAGTGGCAGGTAATAAACGGAGAGGTAGAAAGATGGATGTGTGTCCGAGCTACCTCACCACAGCTTCAAATCGGGCGGTGTCTCCAACGAGCTGGTGGTACCCAATCTTTGCTTAGCTAACCGCACAGCTGTAGGAGAGATACCGACCGCAAGAAGCAGGAGATGATTCAGAGGATCGGTAGGTTGATTGGAAGGCGAAGGAGAGGGAGAAGGTAGGTAGGTAGGTAGTACGGTGAGAGGTTGAGGTCGAGGTGAGGTTCAATGACGGCGTCGTCCGTCCGTCGTCGTCGTCGTCAAACAAACCAGATCGGACAGAAAATTAATTTGGTGCCAGCCCAACCATGCATCACTGCCCACGCTGCGCAAACTGAATGGCTGGCTAACATTAGTGTGTTACTAGCTAGGTGTAGTAGGAAGGCTGGAAGGCTGGCTGGGTAGCTCCGTCCACTAAAATCATCGGCTTTACCGTCTGTGCGTCATGTCCAGGTGCTGCTCCTAGGTAGTGGGGTTTTTTTTTGGGCAGGAGCAGGTTGGTTACATAATCTTTCTCGAGGATCGAGTCCAGATTGTTGGTGATGCTCTCGCTCGCCGATCGCGACCGGGCTCCTGTCACAACTCAACGTTCCCGGCACGAGACCTCTGCCGCGATCAAGGTCCATCTGTTCTCACTGGACCTTTCGACTGCCTTCTCAGTCTTGATTCTTCTCTAACCAAGCTTGGCCTCAAATCTTATAGCTGCCTGTCAGTGCGCACCCGATACGGCCCTGCCTTGTCCTCCAGAGCCACTGCACCTCAACCATCGTTGGACCTCGACGAACAGTCCCATTGTTTCGGCGGTTGGGCCGACTAGGAAACTTCTTTGTCTCGACGACTTCTTGTCACTCGCTATCACGATGTTCTGCCTCAGGAGGTAGGTGCTGCTATGGTCCCCCTGACTAATTTTCTCGCGAGTGGTTTCGCTGACGCAATGTCGTAGCTGGCTGCCGCTCCTCTTCATCCCCACCAACGCCTCTCCCGCCTTCATCTTCCTCTTCTTCGTCTGCACATACTTTCTCAACCGGCCCTGCGTCTACTGTTCCTTCTTGCTGCTCATCCTCTTCCTCACCTCCTGCAACTGGTCCGACCGGTGCTTCTTCGACTTCAGCAGCAACTGGTTCCTGCCGCGGCCCTCCGTCTCCTATTTCCCCGAGCTCCTGGTCAATGGCTCCATGAGCGTTACGGGCGGTAACTTCACTGCGGCCGTGGCGAAGGAGGTGCTAAATACCACCGTGGACGTTCTTGTCGGCGCCACGGCCGATCCCCTGTCTCGTGCGAAGGCCGAGTGGACGGGACTGGGTATGGAGTGGCTTAGGAGTCTACTGGGCCGCAGAGAATGGCGGATCGACTGTTTGGACATCTATGTACGTTTATGAGAGATGAGTCACGGGATATGAGGCTAGACGAGGCGCTGTTTGACACAGAGGCATCATGCCTGGAATTAACGTCCAGATCGAGGATGAAACTTCCTCGACAAAAGGGGCTTGCGCTTAGGGTGTGTGGCCAGTATGATAGGATATATACGGCAGGGTGGACTTGTGCATTGTTTGGCGTTGGCGGTTTGGACATGTGCTTGCAATAGGCGAGCATGGCATTTGCGACAGGGACGTGATGAGAGTGTGGATTCTCCTCCCTCGATGCCACGTCGCTCTCATGATTTGCAGATTGTCTATGTCAATATATATATATGTATGCCACTCCCTAGGCTCTACGCCATCATAATCCCCAGACGACTTTCAGCAAGTAGGTTTAGATACCGAGGTCCACAAGGGAAACTCATCTATGATTATAACTTCGAGCTCCCTGATCCCGTACTAGTTGCCCACTGTTCATCCCATGGGACTTTATACTCCATGAATTCAGGCTTAGTCGGCACATGTACCTTGTGGTGCTCGCACGTAGCATATACTGTCCGTCCATCCTCGCTCGTCATCCAGCCCTTGATGAAGGCCATCGTCCTGCCGACTTGATATACATATGAGTGGACGAGAACGGTGGTGCCTCAAAAATGGTTAGACACAAGCCCTACCATGAGAGGCCCAGAGACGTGATGCAACTAACCGATAGGGACTGCCTTCAAATAACTGATGTTCAAGCTTCGCGTTACACCACCGAGAAAACTGAGGACTGTTAGCCGAACGAATCTCAATAGCTGACACTACAAGGAGATCTAAGATCTTACTCCCAGTATCCTGGTCGAGATATTGGGGCCAGGGCAATTGTAGTCAACATGTCGAATATGACTCCAGCCGCACCGCCATGCATGACACCGTTGAGATTGCCGTAGGCCATATCTATATGCAGCGATGATACACAACTTGAGAGGATGTCCGGCACCAGCGGAACAGGCTGGCCGGGGAGTTCTGTTGATGGTGGTCCTACTGAGGCGTCCAAGATCTTGGCATCTCTCATGACATGTCTGTCAAAGAGCTCCTGTTTCTTGTCCGAAGAGATAATTCGATACCTAAAACTGAAATCAGCATACTATCGTCTGTGCTCATCATGCTGTTGTTACGTTGCCTTTCGAAGATGCTCTGAACACTTGCGACTGCTCGTTGCCTCATGGACTCCCGCTCTCCTGATGGGAGGTTATATTTTCCCATCTCTACTATCTATCCCCAGCTCTTGAAGCAGGAGCTCTTGCGTTGTTGTTTTGGTGTCCACTTTGATATTGTTCCGCGCCAGACGAATTTCGTATCTGAAATCAAGAAATGCGGTCGTTGAACATCCAACATTCAATGTGTGGAGGCTCAATCTCATAGGAAGTATGTCAAAACAGCATTGAAAGACGCTCACAAATGCCTGTATCATGTGGTACGGTCGTAATAATAATCAATTGTTGTCAACTCCATCTACCCCACCGCCCCTCCTAGTACGTTGAGTTCGGGATGCCGAGGCTCAGCCCTACAGTTGCCGGTCTCAAACGATGATAAAATGTCATCGGCCCCGGCCTAGTAGCATATGGCACATGGTGAATAATTCACGGTAGACGAAGAGGATGTTTTAGAAATGAAGGGTCACTCATGATAGAAGGATACTCAAAGGAATATCTTTGCAAATGAGCTGTGTTGTCAATCCATTTCTTCGTTACACCGTTTTAAAAGACATTCGTAACTCACGACTAATCATGTTCATAAGTTTTGGCTTCGTACATGGCTTCGATAACAAACGAAGCTCTCTTTCGCGTACTGACGTGGAAACCTACATGGACAACTACCTCCGTCTAGCTTTGGTTTTGATTTCTCTTGTTGTTTGTAAATCTTGTCTTCTAAGATGCCATTTCCAAGCGAATTAACTTGTGATTGGCATGGGAGTTGCTGCCCACCGATAGGTCGGTCTTCCTCTAAGAGCAATCTCAGCTATCGTACTGGAGCCGGTGCTAGCCTTCCTGTTAAGCACAAATTGCTACGGTAGACGACAATTAAAAGTGATATCAAATTGATTGACGTAGTTGCCTCGTAGCATCCACCACCTCTCGCACATGATAGCGGCTATATTTAGTTTCCACAGATGGCAGGTGCAGCATCGGGGAGACGGACGTCAGCCCTACTTGATCCTGGGAAGATAATCGAGCAGCAGGACACGAGAGTCCGGGAGCATACCTCAATCAATCCGGCCCGAACTAGCTATACTCGACGGTCTAGACCTCTCTTCACACAGGAGTGTCGTCTCCGTGGCATATACATATCATGAACGGCGTTTAGTGGGCTGCCGTCGCACCCAGGAGCGCCACATGGCTCTAACGAGCCGGTCTGCCGGGCTTCGATGACAATCCTAGACATTTGTCCCGGTCTACTGCTATTTTGTCCCTACAAATGGCAGGTAGGAGCGGCAGCCATTCTGAAGGATACCTGGCTGGCATGTCATTGCTAGACCAACCGCAACGGCTCCTGCCAGCTCCACTGTCCTCGTGCTGCCACACTTCCTTGTTTCTAATACGCTTCCCGCACTTGGAGGAGCCAAAGAGGCAGGTTTAATCTGAGACTGTCTTATGAGTATTCGCGTTGGGGGAATTTAGTCCACGGCGCCGAGTTACAAGCAGCCCTTCAGTCATGACTGGCAAGTTCACGCCATCGCGAACGCTAATGACTCCTGACATGAAGCTCCTAGGTTGCGCGGTGATATCTCTCATTGCTCTCAAACGTCGTGCCGACGCACAGGGCGCTGTACGATGACGTCGAAATCGGACGGTCAGCATGCCCAGAGATTGAACCGCATAGCGGCATGGCATACTAGCTAGCAGCCTACGGCGACAGCAGGCTAGTGCCTCCTGTCCGGTGGTCGGGGCTGAAGATGTATCGTGAGGCAGAATGACGGCAGAACCACTCCACTTTCTTCGATCCCCGCCAGGAGCCCGTCCAGTTCCAGCCAGACGACCTCCTAATCGAGGCGGTTGAGGGGACAGGGCTGGGACACTGGCACCGTGTAAGCAAGCCACGACGATGGGGTTTGACGAACCGGGGCTTGGACGCCGCGCAGCCATCAGCCCGAAGCAGCACCGGAGATTGATAGCGGAGGTCATCGTGACAGAACGGGCAACCATCCCACGGGCCACAAGGGTCCAGACCATGCACGATGTAGCCCGGCCATGCCTGAAGTATCCCGCAGGGCTCAGTTCTACTCTAGTGTAGATTGATACTCCCTCCAGTTCCCACGGCCGGGAGGGGGATGGCTGCATGAACAGAGACAGCCCGATAGGTGGTGTACGTGTCGTTATAGCGTCGAATTTGGACTAAGGGCTGGCGCGCGGCGCAGACGCACGTGTAGGTTCAGCGGTAAAAATAGGCTCGAACTTGACTTGACTCGGTGCACAATGCCCTTTGAAGTTGGTTGCCAGTGAGCGAAAAGTTGGCCGGGCGGTTGCTATTGTCAGACCACTTTTTTTTCTCCGGTCCCTGGAGATCTTTGCGCCGTGGCCCTGTGGATGGTACATACGGGATGCGATTGTCAGGGCGGTCAGATGAAGAAACTTGGAAATCAAGACTTTTCTTCCGTAAGGTAGATACCTACCCACCTACCTACCTCCCTACCTACCTTGCCTACTCAGGGCAGGCACTTGGAGCATGAAGCAATACGCGGCGTCTACCGAACTGGTATCTAGCCACGATGCGTATCCACTGTTGTCTCATCTGACTGACTGTCCTTGATTTTCCGGCCGAGTAATGAAACTATTTCCTGTTTCTTCGTAATGATATGGGTATAATGTGCTCTCGTCAGGCATCCATGCCTCTACGAGTGCGTCCATCCTGGGGGTGCTCTGCCGGTGTGCGTGGTGGTTGTGGTGGGGTTAGGGGAAAATTGAGGGGTCTTTTGACAGACAGGACCCTGATTTTCAGGCGGCCCCACGCATTTTGGGAACGGGGTCCGAACCTTCAGGGTAGGCATGCCGGCCAGCTTTGCCTTGCATTTCTTGGAACTTCGCGGGCTGGAGATTGCAACGCACAAGGTCAGGCCCCGAGCAGACGTTAATGCGGAACAGGATGTCATCCCTAGGACCCTAGGTAGGTAGGGCAATATAGTGGTTGACTGAGCCCGCAGGATGCCGGTGCGCGAGACGAGTTCTCACGAGGATGTGAACATGACTCGATACCTATGGTAAGTGGTTCTTTAGTAGGAGGATGGCAGTGAGTGGGACAGGAGGAGCAAGAAGCTGCTCTCGACCAAGAAACTCTTGTCTCTTGTGTACTCGCGTAGGCATAGACGGTTCCTCGAAGAGGCAATTCCTCCGTATCGATTACACTCAAACGGCAATGCACTCTAGGAGGCTCACGATGATTGAAATGGAGTACAAGCCGTTGAATGGCCCTGGCCAAAATGCCGAGGACAGGTAGCTAACCCTGTCGCTGTAGTACAATAGATACTTCACGAAATACATATAGCTAGGTCAGGCTAAATGGGGATTCTAGGGTTTTACATGCTCCTACAAGCTGGAGGGGTGTGAGATGAGTTTTGGGAAGAAGGGGATATTAGGGGTCCTGGCCTTGATGTCAGGGGTCGGGTCGCATTTCAATACCGATGCTAGTAGCTTCCATTCTTCCTCCATACTGCATAGTAGTACCTACATGTAGGTAGAGATCAGATCAAATCCAATATTCAGGGTTCCTGCCCGGGGGCACATGAAATGAGGAGACGAGGTATTGACCGAGGGCCTACATTACCTTGGTCGCATTGAACGTACCTAGGAAGCGAGGAAGCCTAGGCAGGTATTTTGGCAGAGGCTTCGGCGTTTTTGAGTGGATGCCGCGCTAATAAGCATTTTCAATGGAGTCCTCGAAGCACCGTGGGTGTGGTTAACGTGGGTAATAAGAAGCGACCTTCGAGGGCTTGGGTCTGCGAGTTTACCATGATATTGGCGTTGCAGGTGCAGGAGCGGTGGAGGTACGTACCTTCCTTGAGAGTGCGGATTGGTACATGTACCTACTGTAGGTACTGTACATGTCATGTCGCATAGTTACCTACCCGAGCTTTTTTGACAGGAGGGAAAGAAAAGATGGGCCCTATGACGTTATGCGCCTGCAGGAAAGCGCCACCCGCGTTGTGCCCCTTCTCCGCCGTGCACGCGCCCAGCGTACCATGGTACTTGCCTGATCTTTGGAGAGGTACTTCGTATGCGAGTACCTCCCTGCCAAAACTGAACTGCCATGAACATCCCGAAAATGGCGGCTTTCCTTCCTGAAATTGGGAAGTCAATTTCCGCTTGCAATTGGATCTACTGCAGTTGCGGCAACTCAGCTCAAAAAAAGCCTCTTTTGTGTACGGAGACATGCTGCTTCTTTCTGGCCCGCCAGTTCACCTCTGGTCCTCTGCACCTACATTTCGGCACTCGGCTAACAAAGTGGTGCGAGGTTCTCAGCCACGAGTGTGTCAAGAATGCCAAGGCAGCACTCAGTCCCATCGTTCTAGATCAAATCGCTCGCCGCCGTCGTCCTGGAGATGAGTTGGTATTCTCGCCAACGGTTTGCAGGCCGTTCTGTAACTCTAGAGGCAGGCAGCCCCAGGCAGGCATTCTCAGTCACTCAGCTCAGCTGTAGGCTTCACGAGGCCGCGAGAACAGCGGCGTGTCAGCACCGCCCCCAGCCCCAGCCCAATGCCGTCAGCGGCGACGTTCAGCCCCAGGGCCCCATCGATGACGCGCAGTGACGAAATAACAGCAGCATCCCCTCGTCATGTCGTGATGTGCCTCTCTTCACTCAGTCGCGGGAGGCAGCCGTGGTAACAGAAAACCCAAGAAAGATACAGGAGGAATAATAAGGCGAGCGAAGCATTGAAGGTGAGGGATAGTCTTGGTGGTCTCGAGATAATTTGAGCCTGCGAGAGCTAGAGATTGGAATGCCCGGTCCTGGTGTGCCGTGCATAATCGAAGCATGTTAAGTTGGTCTGGCGAATCGTGGCCTCGTCAGCCGCCACAGTGATCCATGATGGCGTCCAACGAGTCTCATCAAGGGTACGTACGAAGGAAGTCGTACAGTATGCCAGCCATACCTTGAGCATGCATACATGTAATAAGGTAGGTATGGCGATAGATACTCAAGATACTTCTCTAGAGATTACAATAACATTGTGGCCAAATGGGGTAGAAAACCTTACTGGATATGTCTTCTCTGTAGGTAAGGTAGGCCTGAAGATGACAAAGGTACAAATGCGGCAAGTACTGCTCTCGAGGAGCAAGAGGTAGCCAGGTACGAGGGAAAGAGCAGATGGCAGGGTCTCCCGGGGCAAGATTACCTCATCCCACCTTACCTTTTTCTGCGAAGGAGGAGGAGGTTCAATCGCATTGTCGCAATTCCAACACGCTAAACTACTCATTGTACTGTAGTTGCACTAAGAATTTGCATGGCTGTCGATCCCTGCCTCCCTTGGACGTGCACCCATCTCCCCCCGTTTCCCCTTCTCTTCCACCACCACCACCACCACCACGAGATGACACCACTATTATGGTAGCAGTACCTCACGGATTTTGTACCTTCTCCTTGAGGGTGCTGAGGTGAGCTGTGGGCGTTTACACGGCTTTTTCTCAACCCGCTCTCCTCTCCCCTTTCCCGTCCCTGGCACGTCGTCGAGATTTGACAGCCGGCCGTCGACTCGTTTCGCCTCCGTGCTCCAGGCATCTTACGGGCGAGTTGATCCTTGAAAAGTCCTCGCGCTCGACTTGCTTCTACAACTCCAGTCTACACCTTCTGGAGAGTCCAATCCAGTTGCAGCACACGAGTGATCCCGTGAGATACTGTACTTCACACAGATCATCCACATCCACCGTAACGGAGGATCAAGATACGGGCGAGATAATCGAGGAGGACGCGCCCATCGACCGGGCGAGACCCTCATAGAGCCCCCTCCTTCTGCGCCGATCAGCGCAACCTACATCATTGCTGTCCCCCGAGCGCCCCCCAGAACGCCGCCGCCCCGTCTTTTCCTCGCCTCGTGCTGCGCTGTGCTGTGCTGGGTGGGTGGTCCCCTGTACTGTACATGTAGTGTACTGCATGTACTGCACGGCTGCCATTGCTGAGGCACAGGTACTGTATTATTGCGTAGCTGCGCGTGCAGCCCTCCACCCCGACACCAACACCCAAGACAACCCACTCTCTGTCCCCACCGCACCGGCACAGGGGCACCCAGAGGCTATTATCACCTGCCGAACCCCCAATTCCCATTCCCACTTTCTTGTTTCCCTTCCCCTGAACATCAGGGCAGGCCATTCCGCCGTGCCGACACCATTTACTGCTCAAAAACAACGGTCCTCCTCCTCAACCCGCTCGAATCCACGAGGACATCTCTCCGTACTCTCGTCTGGTCAGAGCCTGTCGTATGTACAGCGAGAACCGATCGTCTGGAACCCCAGCTGGAAGAAGCCAGAAACAGGAACCAAGGGTGCAGGAGTAAAGACGAACATTCACGGACAGACTCGAAGATGGCATCTTCATGAGCATCCACCAACAGCCAGGACTTTTTGAGTGAGACACAGGCAAGAAGGTTTTATCAAACATTGCCTCGTTCAACCTCGTTCCGTTCTCCTCGACCTTCAAGGCTCCTCTCAACACCCCCCTTCCAGTCATGCCTCCTGAGCCTCCTCGAAGCGTCGGTGACCGCACCGTTTACTACAACATGAAGACCTCACGGCCTCCGCCCGTGTCGTCTAAATCACAGACTCACAACCATTCTCACAACCATTCACACTCGAGATCGAGTAACAAGTCCTCAACACCCCTAGCCTCGCCTCGCGGTCCCTACTCGGTCGGCCAGCCATACCCACCGAAGCTCTCCCCATCCGCCATTCCAAAACAACAACAACTCACAACGCCTTCTGCCCAAATCACTGCACAAGATGTCCGAACACCGTCCCCCAACTACTTCGGGCTCATAGTCGAGCAGCCGACGGACCCTCGAGACTCGTCGGTCATGCCCAGAGAGAATTGGAGTCCTCCTACGTCATCGGTGAGGAGTTTCGCCGCTGCCATTCCCAAACAACTCCCTCTCGACGCCAACCCCGAGTTTGAGGCATTCAAGCGGCAGGCCGATGCGAATAGAGGCCGCTCGTCCTTCAGTCTGTCTGGCTCCCATTTCGGGGCAGGGACACCAGCCTTGAGTCGTGATCAACCGCCACAGACGTTACGACCCCGGCCGCCCAGATGGCACACGCACGGAAGCGATACGGGCAGCGAGTTTCCTACGGCGAAGACACCTGCAGTTCCGTCAGGGTTGGGCAAAGCCATTGACCTAGGCTCGTCAAAGATGGATGTAGATCCGGAGACCAATAGCCTCCATGATTCTGCTTACGTCTCTGCCGACTCCAAGAGGAACTCAGAGGCCAGCCTAAACCCACCATTTTTCTTGAATATGCCTCGACACGAGTCCCCTGCTCAGGTGGAATCCTCTTCTGATAATCGATCTGGGCTATCCAAGGTTGATGATCGCCATCCAAGGCTGTCATTAGTTCACAACAGGGCTGACCCGCCGTCACCTGATTTTAGCCAGGCCATCAGAGGTCATCGCGGCAACACAGTTCCTCAACTGGATACCGGCGGTCCATCAATGATGCCACCCGCCCAATTGAAGGAGATGCTGCAGTCGCCTAACTTCGATAAAGACGTCCTTTTGCTTGATCTGCGGGTTTCGCCACAATTCGCCATGTCACGAATAAAAGGGGCTTTGAATTTGTGCATTCCGACGACTCTACTCAAGCGTGCCACCTTCAACCTGCAGAAACTACAGCAAACGTTCCAAGGCGATGGCGACCAGGGCAGGTTTTCAAAATGGCGAGAAGCAAAGTATTTAGTTGTCTACGATGCTTTCTCGTCTGAGAAACGAGACGCTGTCTCTGCCGTGAACATGCTTAAAAAATTCACCAACGAAGGCTATGATGGAACATGTGCCATACTGCGTGGTGGATTCAATGGCTTTGCGGCAGCTTATCCGGATTTGATCGATAATCGCAGTGCCAGTGAGTTGGCAACAGGGAATCCTACATTGTCTCTAGGGTCAACCACAGGCACAGACAGCAAACGGCCAAGCGTAGCACCAGTGATTGGTGGAGTGATGCTACCCACAACGAGTAACAACCCGAATCCCTTTTTCTCAAATATCAGACAGAACCAGGATCTTCGCGACGGTGTTGGCCAGTTAGACGTTTCTCTTCCGGCAGGCGTTGAGATGGAAACACTACCACAATGGTTGCGAGCCGCCGTCGATTCAGATGATCATGGCAAGAAAGTCAGCGACAAGTTCCTGCAGATTGAACTAGCCGAGCAGTCAAGAATGAAGGATGCGTATTCTATGTTTCAGCCGACATCACAGAATCCTGTGGATGAGACCGAAAGAGTTCAGCTATCTGGCATAGAGAAAGGCGGCAAGAACCGCTACAAGGACATCCTACCATTCGAACATGCTAGGGTTCGACTGATGGGCAGGCCCGAGGGATCTTGTGACTATGTCAATGCGAGTCATATCACGGCGTCAAGGAGCCACAAGCAGTACATCGCCACCCAAGGCCCGCTGCCTGCTACCTTCGAGGTACGTTCTCCGTAACCCCTAACCCCCTTTTCTCACAACCTCCCTTGCTAACGACGTCAAAGGATTTTTGGTCTGTTATCTGGGATCAAGACGTCCGCGTCATTGTCATGCTCACTGCAGAGTCCGAAGGTGGACAACTCAAATGTCATCCTTACTGGAATAGCCGTGAGTTTGGATCGATTCGGCTCAAGTCTCTGAGCGAGAAGAAAGTCTCGCTCGATATCGATAAGCATCGTTCCCACTCTAACGTGGCAGCTCTGTCTACTGCGAGCTCCGAGAGCTCCAGCGGTTCTGCAACAGCTTCCATCCAGCACCACGACTCATTCGGTTTTGGCGCGGCGATGGCCACGGCGGAGATGGGTCGGCGACGCGCGAATACGACGACTACTCTGGAAGGCAGCACCCCAACCCCCGTGCAGCCCAAGCTAGGCAGAGACTCGAGCGGGAGCGGGGGTGAGACGCCGTATGTCATCATTCGGAAATTTGCCCTTTCTCACGCGGCTCATCCTTTCGCCCCTATCCGCGAGATCACCCATTTGCATTACCCTTCATGGCCAGACTTTGGTGCGCCGGCTCAGCCCAGCCACCTCCTGGCTCTTGTCGAATTGGCTAATGTCATGCAACGGGCTGCCCTGCCAGTCGATGTGCCCGGTGCTATCGCCTCCGCTAGCAGTGGGTCTGACTCTGCCGAGTCTTCACCAGCTGGCTCCAAGACCGGCAAGTCACCTGGCCTCAAGCGAAAGGCAGATACCATCCCCCTGGCCTGGCACGACGAACCTGAGACAGATGCCAAGTCACGGCCAATGTTGGTGCACTGCTCGGCCGGCTGTGGACGTACAGGCACATTCTGCACTGTCGACAGCGTGATTGACATGCTGAAGCGACAGAGACTGAGGAATGTTAGGCGGGCAAACCGCAACATTGAGCGGCGTGTAGGTGGCTTTGATAGGGATATGGATGCCGAGGGAGATATCAGCATGGGTGATGAACCATTGATCGGCTCTCACGATACAGATCCATTCGAAGATGCTGTCAGCCCTAGGACGGCCACAGCCAAGATGCCGGAGTTCCCGCGTTTGCGAAGCGACAGGGCTTCTTTCGAAGACGAGTTTAGCAAAGTTCCTGGCCTTGACTTGTCATGGATGAATGACGACGGCGTCGATCTTATTGCTACGACAGTTGAGGATTTCCGTCGTCAGCGCTTGAGTATGGTTCAGAGTCTTAGACAATTTGTTCTCTGCTATGAGACCGTGCTGGAGTGGATATGGCGGCTGCAGGAGCGTGGAGGACCAGCCGGCAGCACTGGGCCAGGGGCATTGCGAGGACGAGGGCGAAGTGGCACTTTCACCAACTAAGTGAAGTACTACCTATTGGTTTGCCATTCAACAATTGTGTTACCCATGGGTTTGTAATTTGGATTTTTATATTTGCAACTTCTCGTTTCCCAAGTCATCGGCATCGGCATTGGCATTGGCATTGGCATTGTCAAAGATGATTTCATTCCTCCTGATCCAGGGATGATTGGATGATGGTTATGTGGAGGTGCTTGCATGGAGTACATGAGGTTTAAACAACATGGATATACCGGCGTTCAGAGTTGGATGGTGGTCTAATGGTGTTCTCGACAGCCGGGAACCGGGTAGCATTGTACAATAGAATTACTCAAGCATGATATATACATAGCGGCGGCTTAGGATGCATATTCAATGAGGATTATGAATCCAGAACGAGCTTTAAATTCCTTACCCCGCTTGTGATCATGTCTAGCCACGAAGTCATGGTTTCATGAAAACCTCTGGATCACTGACAGATGAAAGGGTATTGCCATCACATGCTCGTTACAATATATACACTGTGGTCACAGAGGAATGTTATTTTACTCAACCACCGAGTTTCGTCTGCCCAAGTAGATGAAGAAGTTCGAAATCCACTTGATACAGATAAAGGAGACGGTGCCATATGCTGTATAGGACGCAACGCAACGTTTCATGGTACATTTCATGGTACAAAGGATGCCTGAGGATTTGGATACGGCTAGTTTCAAGTTGATGCTTGATATCAAAGGTCTTCAGTTGTATCTTGTATATCTTTACACGGAGTCTAATCCTTAAGCACCTGAGTCGTTCCCTACTACTTCTATTATGTCTTACACCATCGCCAGGTAACCCAACCACAGCAGGGCCCAACCCCGCATCCAATTCGACTACTTCCATAGCTTGCCGAGCGAGACTTCCTTGTCGTCGTGCTTGTTGAGGATCTTGGCCGTCGCGAGCTCAAAGTCCTCCTGTGTGACGTGGACTCGGCGCTCGCGCAGGGCGTACATGCCCGCCTCTGTGCATACACCCTTGAGCTCTGCGCCGGAGCAGCCGTTCATCTTCTCAGCGATCTTGGTGAGGTTGATGCCTCGTGTCAGGTTCATCTTGCGGCTGTGGATACGGAGAATGTCGGCTCGAGCCTCCACGCTCGGCGGCGGGAACTCGATCTTGCGGTCGATACGGCCGGGCCGGAGCAGGGCAGGGTCGAGGATGTCGAGACGATTGGTGGCCATGATGACCTTGATGTTCTTGGTCGGCTCGAAGCCGTCCAGCTGGTTGAGGAGCTCCAGCATGGTCCGCTGGACTTCCGAGTCGCCGCCGGAGGAGCCCTCGACACGGGACGAACCGATGGAGTCGATCTCGTCCATGAAGATGATGGAGGGCGCGTGTTCTCTCGCCATGACGAACAGCTCGCGCACCATTCGGGAACCTTCACCGATGTATTTCTGGACCAGCTCAGAACCCGACACACGGATGAACTTGCAGTCGGTGTGATGCGCCACAGCTCTTGCCAGCAGGGTTTTGCCTGTGCCGGGGGGACCGTACAGCAAGACACCCTTCGGTTGCGCGATACCGAGGGACTCAAATAGCTCTGGGTGCTTGAGGCCCAGCTCGATGACCTCCTTGATTTCCTTGATCTGCTGGTCCAGACCACCAATCATGTCGTATGTGGAATCCGGCACCTTCTCGACCATCATGAGAGAGACGAGGGGGTCGACAGATGACGGCAGCAGCTTCTCGAGCTTGTAGGAGTCGGATAGTAGGGTGACACGCTTGCCAGCAGTGAGCTTGCTTACGTCGATGTTCTCAGATACGTCGACAACTGTAGGTTTGTTTGTCAGTGATGGGTCTTTCGTAGAGGATAGTCTGCAACTAGCAGAAGGGAGGATGAAACATACCGTATTTTCCCTCGGGATGTACCTTGACCAGGACCTTCTTTGTGCTCATCACCTTGACGACCTCGCCGACGTAGGAGCCGGGCTGCTGCAGGAGGCCGAGCTCCTCGCGCAGCAACCGTACCCTTGAGTTGTAGTCGTTTCTCTGTGCCTCGAGACGGCGGAGGACGGCCTGACCCTTGAGGATCTCGAGCTTCATCGCCTCGATCTTGTTCTGGTAGTAGCTGTCGAGCGCCATCTTGATGGGATATCCTTGACGCCGGGGGGTTCTGGTTGGAGAGCTTTAGTAGGGTAGGTTATGCTGTGTGCGCCTGGCCGAGGAGGACACAGGCCTGTCGTGGGGGTCAAGTGGGCGCTCGTGAGCCTCAGAGGGTGGGTGCTGGTGGTCTCACTGAATCCCCTGAGAAGAGGGATGAGATGATGGGTAAGGTGCGGTCGTGGTCGTCGTGAGGTTGCAATAAGCAGGTGGATGGATGGTGGTGGATGTGATGTGATGGCACCAGCCAGAAGCTCTAAGAACTGAGGCTCGGCGTTGGTGTTGGCTGGCAGACACAGGCGCTGGGGGCAGGCAGGTCCAGGCCAACGCGTCAGAAGCACGGACCTTCCTTGGTGCAATGATCACGTGCTGTCCCTGCTGCTTATCTAAACCATATTCAAGATGCAGACAGATTATCTATTACTTCTGTGATTCTTGACCTTTTCACCATGAAATACTCATTGATCCATAAATCCAGAGTGAAAGCTATGATGTTCATGCCGTCACATTTCTCTGGCAGTGGCCAAAGCGACATAATCAGACTGGGATTTGCAATTCTAAGGACATAACTCTCTATTATCTGACGTATGAATCTATCCAGATATGGAATCTAAGTATCGAGTGAAGAGCCTCTCAAGCACTGAGTCGTGATCTTGTGGAACTGGGATCAGTTACACTCTTCTTCTGTTTAGACCAAGCAGAGATATGGGCGGCAGGCGATCGAAGGAGTATTTCAAACCTTTGACGAGATAGGGCAGGCGAAACAGCGAGTAAGTAGGCAGTCAGTCATGAATTAACACGGTAAATCAATAGTACGCCATCAAGTAGTTGCCTGTGACAACTTCTGCGAGCCCCTACTATATTCTGATCACTTTACACAAGCTTTCAGTCCTTCATTTAGTTCGTCACTCGCTCGCTCGCACGCATACAGTCGTACATGAGGTTTTCCCAAACTCAGTCGCAAGTAGTTTGGGCATGGCTACAGCGGCTGACCCGTTGGAGTGGGCCGCTGGGTCCAGCACTGCTGCTACTACTGCTACTGCAAGCTGCAAGCTGCAAGCCGCGAGCTTTCAGCGAATGAAGGGGATTAGCGGCGAGACAGGCAAACATGTGGGCAGAGACAGTGATCGGCCCTCCCACCTCAGCTGTTAGTGTTTGAGTCTGGCGGGTTTAGTGAGATAGTTGGGTAGCTTTACGTGAGACAACAGCCATCCACACGTCGTCATGAGGAAGGCCTGTGGAGGTGTGATGCCCCGTAGCTACATGATGTACTTACTGCAGTGATGCGATGGAGTGTGTGCAACGGAGCATCTGGCTTCATAAGAGGAGAAGAGCCCAGAAGTCTTACGTTCCATACGACAATCAATCATAGCTTTGACTATAGTATATCATATTTCACATGGATTTGGTGAAGTATGTACAATGATCGCGCAACTCAATGGAGTGTCTGTACGAGATACCCCACAGAACAGAACAGAACAGAGCAGACATGCATACATAGGTAGGTACAATAAACTGACTATCGTATGGTGTGAATAGGCGAGCGCTGCACAAGGGATAAGATGCGGTTTCGCATTTGTCATATTTCCCGACTACATACCATAACGTTACCTTCTACTCGTACAGTACAGTAGAGCACCACCGCAAGCTCTACCAAGAGTCTGGTCCCGACTCGAGTTTACCTGGCAACAAAGGGAGGGAGATACGAGGCAGTTTTATCCATCATCAGCGAAAGGGAGAGTGTGTCCGTTCAGCAAAGGCAATCGGCCAAAGGGCATGAGTTGAGGTGTTATTGGAGTTTGTGGTACTACATACCGGTAGTAGAGAGCAGTCAATCCAGCTTGATAGCGGGAAGCTGACCCCAATCCCGGCTCATTCTAGGTAATGAGCCACTGGGAGATGCCCCACCACCCAGCAGGTCAGTCGCTAGATGACCCTGTCACAGAGGTACTTAGGTACATCAGAACCCACCCGTCCCGTGCCGTTCCCTGCTTCTGCTGGTTTGCCTGCTTGTTTCTGGGCAGCCATCCCCATCCCATCCCATCCCATCCAATCCTTCCAACCAGCCTGACGTCTCTCTCTCTCTCTCCGCCTCCGGTTCCAGTGACAGACCGCAGTCCATCCCCTCCAGCAAGACAACGGGGTTATCATGACCTTGGGCCTGTCGATAGCTTCATCCTTGTGAAAGGAGGAGCCAAGAGACCGAGCTGGTGCACTGTGACGCCCTCCCGAGCGGCTGCCGCCTCCATTATTTACTTACACACAGCATCCTCCAACCCACGCAGATCGCGTGTCTTGTCTTGTCTTGCCGTAATCAAACCGCCCGGTTGACCCGGCGTCAGCCAAAGGCTCTTCTGTCGCCTACGATTTTCCCTTCTTTTCTCGACTTTTCCGGCCTGTCTGAGACATTCAGCCATAGCAGAATCGCATCGCCTCGCATAGCTTGGGCTGTTGCGCCGGCGCCGCGTGCGTGCGACTGTTGCCCGACACACATCGCCAAACCGCATAGTCCATCCCGCTGCCGGTATCGACAGATATGGACTCCTCTTATCAGAACGCGTCCTCCTCCCAGCATAGCAGCGATGCCTCCGGTCTGCCCTCGCCAACCGATCCTAGAGCACTCACTAGGTACGAGTCTCTAACCGGCCGCGATGATGCTGGCCTTTCCGAGAGCCTCCAGTCATCAGATACAATCCGGAGGAGATCAGAGGCCACATATGGTATGTGCTACTCCTATTCACCCTCCCACGGACCCAAAGGACCTTCACAGCCTGTTTCTGCCTCAGATACTAACAATATACGTCCTCACTATCCAGGGAGCATCCAATCCCCGTCCCTAACCGTTCATTCCCACGTACAAGATACCCCTGAGCGTGGTCAATCTCGAGGAGCCAGTCAAGTGGCACGATCTCCTCTCCTCGGACCGGATCGCGGTCGTCCCAGGCCCCGGAAACCCCCCATGGCACGCCGAGCCTCCTCGAATGCCCAGGCACCCCACCGCGGTGAAGTCTTCTCCGTAGACGATGGTATTAGCGAGGTTGAGGCAGAGCAGATTGGACGTATGCAGAACTTCCCTCAGGCATCCACGCTGCGAAGACGCGCTATGGCCCCGGCCCTAAGCCGCGTGCATTCGAGCCGAGACGACGACGAAGATGTCGAGCAGAATGAATCACGCCTAGGAGGCGACCCGGCCGAGGAGAGCACCCCAATTCCAACTCCTGCGCCGATCGAAGATCCTATCGACGAGGAGACGACTCCCGAAGAGGACATAGGCGGTGGCGATGACGAAGACGACGACATTAGTGACGCGGAGAGCTTTACACTCAAGGATCGGCAACAGGCCATCAACGAGACACATCCATTCGGTATTCGGTTGTGGAAGCCTGCGTTGTACAAGAAAGATAGATCGGTCCAGAAAAATGCCGAAGGAGACATTCATAGCTCCCCGGGCGGACGAGTCAGCCACTGGCTTCTCTTCTTCAACATCGCCTGGACTCTGTGCTTCGGTTGGTGGCTAGCCCTCATTGCATTTGTCGCTGCCGTGGTCTGCTTCCTTTTCGCTGCAACACGTAGCGGCCGGGAATACGGGCAAGTCCTCTGGGGGCTCGCCGGCTATTTGCTCTACCCCTTTGGCAAGTTTGTCCGGCTGGAGCAGCAGGAACCCTACATCGACGAGGATGAGGGTGAAGGCCGGAGTATAAGTGAATACGAACAGTGGCAGAGCGGCGACCTGGAGTATGGCCGCCTCTTTTTCGGGCCTGAAAGGGGCAGATCGATTATCGGACGTTCCAGACGGAGCATCGACTCGGAGCCCAGTGAGACGGACAGCTTGCTTGGACGAACCCGCCGAGGGGAACCATCATCGTCGGATACGGACCTTCCTCGAATGAAGAGGCGGCTTTTTGGACGTGGACAGTGGAACATTGGAAGAGTCATCTTTTTCTCCTTCTTCTACACGCTGATCATGCCCTCCTTGTTCATCGTGTCTGGGATTTGTTGGTTCCTTGTCTTCTGTATTCCAATGGGCAAAGTAACTATGTTGTTGTTGAACCATCTGCGCAGACATCCTCTGGCACTGTCCTTCGAATCCGACATCTCAACTGCCCGGATTCCAACCGCGCCGCACTCATCCATCTTGCTCTGCACTTATAGAGCAGTGGGTTTGAAATATTGGAAATATACCATTGACGGTACCAACATCTTCCTCATCAACCTCATGGCCGTTGTGCTCTTTGTGATCTTCGACTGGCTTGTACTGGACGGAGTTCTACACATCGAGAACTTCATCACATCACCCGCGTTTCTCTTCGTCGCGGCCCTGTTCTCCATCATCCCCCTGGCATACTTCATTGGCCAGGCTGTGGCATCTATCTCGGCCCAATCTTCTATGGGTCTGGGTGCTGCCATCAATGCCTTCTTCTCCACAATCGTCGAGGTCTTCCTTTACTGTGTTGCCTTGAATCAAGGAAAGGGGGCTCTGGTGGAAGGAAGTATCATTGGCTCCATTTTTGCCGGTATCCTCTTCCTGCCTGGCCTCTCCATGTGCTTCGGCGCTATCAAGAGGAAGACGCAACGCTTTAACGCCAGGTCTGCCGGTGTCACATCAACCATGTTGCTTTTCGCCATGATTGGTGCCTTTGGGCCTACCCTTTTCTATCAAATTTACGGCACACACGAACTCAACTGTCTGGATTGTGTCAACTACGGTCATCCTAATCAAGGGTCGGCTCGCGATTGCAGGAGATGTTATTTTTCTCAAACACCTGCTATCAACGACAGGTTTTACCTGGAAGCTGTGCGACCATACTGCTATATGGCTGCGGCAATGCTGTTCCTCAGCTATATCATAGGTCTGTGGTTCACGCTACGTACCCATGCTGCGGTCATTTGGAATACGGAAATCGACGAGAAGAAGCATGAGGAACACGTCGCTCCACGGGCAGCCATGCATACTGGGGCTGAGGCTACTGGCGCGGATATCCGTGACTCGCATCTCTACAAGCGAATTTTGGGGCAGTCCCTTAGACAGGTCGGACTTCCGCCTCATTCAGAAGATCATTCCCGTCGTGAGCACACTATAAATACCAGCCTCCGGGGCAACGGTTCTGTTGCAACTCCTCACGTCGTCCCGCCCAAGACAGATTATATGCGCGGCGCCGTTCACTTTCCTGGATTCACAGATGCAGAGTCTGATCAGTTTGTGCATCAAGTGGCCGAGATAGCAGCCACTGCCGCCACGGTTGCTGCTAGAGACGCACGTGGTCTCACACGACAGACATCCACTACTGGCACAGTTGGTGCGGCATCCATCAGCAAGGGCACGATTGGGTCTGGAAGCATCAATCACAGACCGACTCCAATCCGGACTGCAACATTCCATGATCATGAGGAGGCTGCCGAGGCCGTTGCCCATAGTGGTGCGGCGCACGGTGGACACGATGCTCCAAATTGGAGCCGACTCAAGTCTGCCGTGATCCTAATGGGGGCTACCATACTATATGCGATCATTGCTGAGATCCTTGTCGACACGGTGGATGTGGTTCTTGAAGGATTTGCAATTGACGAAAAGTTCCTGGGTATTACGCTGTTCGCCCTCGTGCCGAACACGACGGAATTCCTGGTAAGCCATTCTCCTCCTCGTCTTTGAGCCTCTAATTTACTAACATGTATGCCAGAACGCCATTTCATTCGCCATGAACGGCAACATCGCACTATCCATGGAGATTGGATCGGCATACGCGCTACAAGTCTGCCTTCTCCAGATTCCTGCGCTTGTCCTGTTCTCTGCCATCTATCCCATGAAGCTACCCTCGCCGGATGTGGACCTTGCGCACTACACTTTCTCTCTACTGTTTCCACAATGGGACATGGTCACTGTCATCCTCTGCGTGTTTTTGTTGTCGTACATGTACGGCGAAGGAAAGAGCAACTACTTCAAGGGCAGCATTCTGCTGCTCAGCTACTTCGTTGTCGTGGTTGGATATTATCTTAGTGGCTACAGCGAGGAGTCAGACGCTGTCCACGGCCTGAGCCGATTCGACACCTGGGGTGCAGACGGATGGCAGAGCTACGGCGTGAGCGATGAGTCTTTCAAGACAGTGGGGAGGAGAAGCACCGGCATGGCGTTCTAAGCTACCCCATTGGTGAGCAATCAGTAGTAATGAGGAGGGATAGTGGGTGGGTGGCAGATGATGAGATTCGTACAACTTGTCGAACCGGTCCTCCTTGTTAGCGATCCTTAAGTTTGTCATGGTTGAGCTTCTGATTTGGCAGGCATTCACGCGCTGGTCTATGGAATCTTTTACTGGTTGTTGCCATTTTGGTGTTGGTGTTGGGGTCTATAAATACAATACGGTACCATACAGTACAGTAGATCGCTGAAGTAAATAATATCAAGGAATTGTCAAGTCGAAGAAACACGGTTATGAGGCAGTTGAGTAGAGCAAAGCTTCAATGATTTATATGAATCTTACCATAGGATCAGCGGATATTCCCCATTGCAATACTTACCCAAGTAGTCTAATCTCTTGAAACCAGTGTATCAATTCTCTCTATCGGAAGTGATGGTGGAGCTGTGCTCTGCACAAGGCGGGTTCCTTGAACTTTTTAGCGGTGGAAGACGGCAGTAAAAAGTTTGCAGGCTCGCACAGACCACGCTAAGCAGCCCTATATAATCTCGCCCGCCCGCGCCCATCTTGGAATTTTTCTCTTTTCTTCTTCATGTCGACAATACTTCAGTGAGTCCCCCCCATGAGCTGCCTCCGCATCGCATCGCACACGCGCGCAAACGGGATTTGTTTGCTGACCTTCTTTCCCCCCTTTTCAGGAGAATCATTTCTATAGTATTCGACCTCTTCTAGGTTCCCTAAAGGAGCCACAGATCCCAACCAGGTTGATGACTACAAATCCTCGATGCCCTAGAGTGAAGCCGACTTTTACTCTCGCCCTGTCCGCAAGGATGGCGGTCGTTGCCTTTGGCGGCGACTGTATAGAGAGTGGTGATGATCTCTACCCTGATTTCCCGAGGTCTTGCCTTCGGGCGCTTGGGCAGGGTGGGCGTCGATGGACGTCTGACTGGCCTATCTTTTTTTTTTTTTTTCATTGCGGTTTCCGAGGGCTTGCCCTGGACGCGAAGAGGAAAACCAAACAACAAACCTTTTCACATTCTTGATGTCTGAATGGGGTCGAATGACCATCTTGCGAACTGTCTTCATCCTCTGGGCGCCGTGCATGTCGACCGATTACCTTTCCCCAATACCAATACTGAATGTCCAGCTATGCCGCAACATGAATTGCACAAATTGCACGGCAATCTTTTACCCGCGTTTGGCGGCCGCTCGACTTGTTGGTCTCAGTCTTGATGTCGTAGTAAGCTTGGTATGGCAGATGTAACCCCCTCCCCCATTTACTTCCACGGCGTAGCGTATGTTCGAGAGAGGAAGTTCATCGCATCTTCATTTCTCGATCAAGGCTTCACCAGGCGGGCTGACTAGTTCGTCAACTCACATCTCTCCTACGAAGATCAAATAAGTACCAAAGCGACCCTGCTTCCTATCTCATATTCTGTATTTTGACATCCCACAACCATGCAGGCTGCAGATCAATCTTTCCAGGAGGTCACCGTCCCCCTGTCATTGCTCTGTCACCATCGAGAACCCGGGGTCGTGGAATTTCGCCGAGACGGACCATCGGCGAGTCGTTCCAGCAACCCGGCCCCTCCGCATGGCAGTCGGATGCCTCTGATATATGTCTCCCACCTTACTTATGACAATTAGAGGAATGGCCCATGATATGGATCTCCCTTCCAGTGCAGCGTCGCCCCAGATCAAAGGCAAACACGTTCTACATTATGTATCTTTGCATCAGATGAGCTGTACGGATAGCTACTCAATTTTTTTGTCCATCACACTGGTCAAGAAGCGATGCTCGACATGACCTGCAATAAAGGTATACATGCCTTAAGCGGTGGTAGTTGCGGTACCAGGCGCTCCAGCATCGATATACAGTCCCTCCCATGAAAATGGAAGGTCCCTGGTTATCAGCTGCCGAGTTGGGTTCTGGTAAGCTCTTGGCATCGCGAAGTCAAGCTTTCTGGGGTGTCAATTAATACCTGGCTGCAGTCGGTGGAATTAAACACAAGCGTCTTCCTTGTAGGCAGACGACATCGCTACCAACATTTTTACGCGGCCAAAACGCAGGGAAATGTGGAAGCTCATCCACCAAACGTAACTTGTCGCAAGTGATGACAGCATCGCACTTGAGCAAAGCATGACAAAGGCCAAAGTCTCTAACATTGCGACCATCCTTTCACGAATTCTTATCATGGATTTTTGGACTTCCGAAAGCTGTGAAAGTAGGTTGTCAATCATAAAGACTGGCCTTCTATGGAACTCCCCGCCATGCTCCCAACCTCATCACGACACTCCCCGCCAAACTAAGGTACAGTCATTGGCAACTGGCCTCCGGCAATTTTCTCGCTCTGCTGTTAGAGTAGGGCCCTTATCGCGATACCGCTGTCATCAGAATCCTCCGACAAGAAGCACACGGTTGGGAAGAGAAGCTTAACCCCTCGTCTGCCAGGGGTTCCCATGCAGGTTCAACATCTTTGCCCGTAAGGAGCTTGGGTCAAGTACGTCCCGTGGTTGTCAACGCCGCATGTCAGATCCCTTGACTGCGACCTTACAAAAATAGACAGGACATTGGCTTGTTTGGACAAGTCTAGCCCTTATCTGCAGGCTTGGCAGGTCGTGAAGGGCAAAAGGCCAGTGCGGAAGCTTCATGATCTCATGTCGCATGTCTTCTAGATCAGCAATTTCGCAAGCTTCGTTCGGAACCTAATATGCAGGTCTTATGATGATGGAAGCTGCATAGAATATGAGCTTCAGGGACCCCCAGATAGCGCCAAGCAACGGCGCAGCATCTCGAGGTGCGATCCCAGCAGGCAGAGCCCACTCCATTGACACTGGTTCGGAACCGTATAGCATGACAATAACCATGTAAGAGCTGCGGATGGCGGATGTCGGATGGTTTGATATACACCTTCCGTGGAGGGACATGAGCTATGAGATGCTCCTCAGAACAAGAAGATCATTGATGTATAAAGAGGAGTGTCCATCCTCGGACTTTCTTTGCAGGTCTCTGCCCCTGAGGTCAATCGCGCAGTCAAGATGTATCTTCTCAGCCTCCTCGCGGCTTTGCCGGCCGCCGGTGTTTACGCCGCCGAGCAGCTGGAGCAGAAGCTCGTGCCGATCAAGGAAGCCACCATTCGTGCCCCAAACAAATATATTCTCGAGGTCCCTGTAAGTAATTGCTCCTCGTTTCGTCCCACCTCATAGCAACTCACACATATAGGCTGCCGACATCAATACGGTATCGACCAAGCTTGCGAATAGCGGTGCTAAGATTATCAAGACTTTCAAGTCAGAAGTCTTCACCGGTCTCAGCGTAGAGTCGACCAAGGACAATGTAGACAGCCTTGGTCTTATATCCCAGGTCACCAAGGCTTGGCCAGCTGCGCGTTACTCACTGGGAATCACTCCAGAGGGCTTTGCAGACGACGCTGCTGCTGCTAACTACTCAGCACACGCATATACAGGAGTCGATAAGGCACACGCTGCCGGTATCACGGGCAAAGGAGTCAAGGTTGCAATTGTTGATACTGGTACAGACTACACCCATCCTGCAGTGAGTGATTTCTCACCCAGGACACTGGCTAAGTGCTGACGTCCAAAGCTTGGAGGTGGATTTGGACCGGGCTTCAAGGTCGCTGGTGGTTATGATCTTGTCGGTGACGGCGGTAAGCTGAGATCTGTTCAGAAATATCACGCCAGTCTGTCTGACTCTTCTAGAATGGCCGTATTACTCGGACAAAGAGCCCGACTCAGATCCCAAAGACAGTTTGGGTCATGGCACTCATGTCGCGGGTATTGTTGCTGGCAAGACCGAGTGGTTCACTGGTGTGGCTCCGGATGCAACAATCATGTCATACAAGGTCTTTGCTGCCTACGACTCTACTGATGAAGACACCCTGATTGATGCTTTCCTCATGGCATACAACGATGGGGCAGACATTATCACGAGCAGCATTGGTGGGCCCAGTGGATTCTCCGATGGTCCTTGGGCTCTTGTGGCATCTCGTCTAGTTGGCCAGGGTGTCGTTGTTACAATCGCTGCCGGCAATTCAGGACAAGATGGTGTCTTCTACGGCAGCTCCGGATCCTCGGGCAAAGGTGTTGTAGCTGTCGCCTCTATGGACCCCAATGTTCGTGCTGCTTTGCCCTTCAAAGCCTCTTTCGTCAAGGATGGCCAAGTCAATGTCACGAATGTGGGATATCTTCAAGGCAACCAGGGAGACCCCTGGGATGTCGTGGGCTGGTCGATTTATCCCATCTCCTACAACACAACCGACGAGGCCCAAGCCTGCTCGGCCCTCCCTGCTGACACCCCTGACCTGTCTGGGTATGTCGTTCTTGCTCGTCGCGGTGGCTGTCTCTTCGCTCAAAAGCAAGCAAACCTGTACAAGTTTGGGGCTCAGTACATTCTGTTTTACGATACAGATCAACCAATGAACTACCCGACGACGACAGATTACCGCTCTGAGATTGCTATGATTGAGGCTGCGGCTGGCGAGGCCATGATCGCTCATATCAAAGATGGAGGCAATGTTACAGCTGACTTCACCTACTATCCTGACTGGATGGTCGGTGTCTACAACTCAGCCGGTGGTATACCGTCTTACTACACTACTTGGGGTGGCACCTATGAGTTGGAGATCAAGCCTGATGTTGCTGCTCCTGGCGCGAACATTCTAAGCTCATACCCAGGCGACCAGTGGGCAATCATGAGTGGCACTTCTATGGCTACTCCGTATGTTGCTGGTATTGCCGCCTTGTACATATCTGCTTTCGGTGGTCGCGCTGTTCATGGCAATGCCATTGCGAAGCAGATCACGAATCGTATTGTCTCTAGCGGCCGTGCTTTGCCGTGGCAGACGATGCCCCCAGATGCCAACCCAGTCGATTATGGCTATTGGGCTCCCGTTCCGCAGGTCGGGAGCGGCTTGGTTGATGCTTGGAGAGTTCTGAACTACACTACTCAGCTCACCTTTGACAACTTCGCCCTCAATGATACCGGTCATCACAGCCGATACCAGAAGGTCCAGATTACCAACAACGGCAAGACCCCAGTGACCTACACTTTCAGCCTTCAGGCAGCAGGCGGTTTCGACTCGCAATCATCGTATCCCAGTTTTCTCGACGCCCTGTGGGATATTGAGCCGAAGACTTACGTTCCTACGGTCAGCTTCCCATCGGGTACGTTTACCGTCAAGCCAGGAGAGTCAAAGGCGGCACAATTCAACTTCGCTCCTCCTACCGGCTATGACGAGGCTCAGCTGCCCATCTACAGCGGAAAGGTGCTCATCTCTGGAAGTAATGGCGAAGAGCTCTCCATCCCTTATATGGGAGCGGGTTTCGACCTCAAGAAACAACTACGCAATACGGTCTTCTCCGATACCACGCCATTCCAGGTTGGTGGCGTAAACAGAGACGATATCCAGTACTTCCACACGTAAGTGTTGCGTCATTTGAGACTTTCTCCAAGTTGCTGACCCTCTTTAAGGTACGACTTCAATCTGAGCTGGTACGCGCAGAATTTCCCCAAGGTCTACACAGAGTTGAAATGGGGGACGAAAGAAATTCGTTGGGATGTGAGTATACCTTCGCATAATTCTGTCTTACTCCCACAGAGCAGCGTCTAATGTGCTCAATGGCAGATTTTCGAGGCCGATTGGAAGGAATCGAAGTGGAGCTACCCTCCTGAGATCGGGAAGAATGGCTACGTAGGCTCAGCGACTACCTTTACTGGCTCCAACAGCTACTGGAACTTCGACCCAGCTTCCATGGATAAAGAAGACGTTCTCAGCATGCCACAGTACGATCTCTTCCGTACTACTACATACAGTTGGTACCAGCAAGGCTTCTGGTGGCTCGGGAAGCTGTCAAATGGCTCTTACATTGCACCAGGGAACTATACGTGGGTACTTCCGTGTCGTTTTCAGGAATCAAAGACTGACGATAGGCTTCCAGTATGCGCTTTGCTGCTCTTGTTCCGTTTAGTGACCCGAGTCACTCCGACAACTGGGATATTTGGAAAACACCAGTCATCACAGTTCTCCCTTACACGCCTTGAATCCCAAGACTAGTGTGATAGCGGCTCAAAAAAGTAGCTACCACGACAATGACGGTCATGTAAATGTCTTTTCAACTTCAAAAAATTAAGTGAAGATGTTTTCAAGTCCCGGAAGAGATGTCCTGGATCCAATGTTGGCCCGGTAGATTTTTGAACCGAAATGAGTGTGGAAAATAGAGTGATATGCATCTTATAGAACCTCTAGAGCCTCTGCTTTATCCATTGTGGACAAGACCAAGCATCTTGACAAGTGGCATTACCTATCAAAAATCTATTGTGGAAACGCTTTTTTACGCGGTATTCTAGTCTAGTGGGCAATATCTTGGTAGCAACCGACTGCGTTTTGAAGGAGGTCTGATCTTTCTCAAACACCCTCATGCAACTCTGCCAGAACCCGAGATATGCCTTATGAATCACTTATCATAAACATTTATGATCTAAACCGTATCATGAGTCATGGCGTCATGGAATGACCACAATGGTGATTTGCACCAGTGATCAATGGCACGCAGTCAGCTATTAGTCTGATATCTTCTAGACCATAGCTTCCTTGCTATCTTCCAAGGCTTTAATGTCTTCCATGGTCGGGTCAACCTCTTCTACCGTAACTGTGTCCTGTCCAGTTAAAGGCGCCTTGGCATTTTCCTCCCAAGTCAAGCCCCGTTCGCGAATGATCTTTTGATTTTGTGTGGGCCAGAACTTGCATATCAAGGGATACAGCACAAGCGACACTGTGAATGAGAGCAGCCAGCCAAGATAGAAGAGACGCTGGCCTGCACTGCTGACACCCTTGGCACCAAGTGAAGCTACGAATCCAGGGAACGGCAAGGCGATACCCACAATATACGCAATCAAAGCCTGTAGATTCCATCCCTTGTGATAGCGATAATGGATATTCGTTTTCCGTGGGTCGAATAGATGGCTTGGGAAGACATTGCCTCTGCTCATCCAATAATCTAGAAAGCAGTCAGCCAGTCATTTATTTCAGCTTGTTTCAAGGTGTCTGCGACTCACATTCAGCAAGCATAATACCGACAACACTGGCCATGAACAATCCATAGCCGGATAAGAAAGTTGTGAAAACAGCTGCAGAAGACAAGATTTTCCATGGCACAATTCCATAACTCAGAAATGCCACAATAAAGAAGCCACGCTTCATGTCGATATAACGGGGCCATAACATGGCTACATCGGAGCCAAACGGAATCATGTTGGCAGCGATATTCGTTCCCAGAAACCCTATAGTCCAGAGTAAGGCGGCGAGGAAAATCGCAAAGCGGGCTCCAGAGCCGTTGTGATGATCTTGAATGGCATCCAATAGATCCCAAGGGTTCCTGTTGTAAGCTGGTAAGCAACGTTGCTATGCGATAGAGTAAGTGGGATATGTACACACCAAAGCGTCAGCCCCCATTTACCATTGATGGCCGCAGTGCCAAGAATTCCAAGACTTGCAGCAAGAGTAACAGAGACTGGCTTCACCAACTAATGACACCAGATTAGCGGTCCTAACGTCTCGCGCAACTCTGGAACCACTCACCACTGCCGCCAAAAGAGCCGCGTTTCGGTTTGAACTCCAACGTGCGATATCCGGCTGATTTGTGATCAGAGTTGCGCTATTGCTAAATTTGAATGGCGTTTAGCTCTCAGATTCTATTATGGAAGAGTGAAAAGACGTACCCCATGCCGCTGTTGATGGCATGCATGATGAACCAGCCCATCCCGCCAGATACTTTCACCTGAGGAAGAGAGTTACTAACATGCCCCTTCGATTCGATCATGCAGTAGATGAACACTCCAAAGACTGCGGGAAGCATGATAAAACCCTTAAACCAAAAGAACTTCTTCAATTGATAAGGTCGGAAGAAGCAGAAGAAAAAGTGAACAGCCCAAAATAGAAAAAATGACAGCATCTTGTTCGTTGTAATTCCGGCAGATGCAGGTAAATGATTCGGCATATTCTTGTAGGAATTGCCGAAGATTGCGCGGAGCATATTCGATACATGCGAGGCACCTGAATATACTGCGTTATCTCAATATTAGCAACTTTTTTATGGCACTATATCGGTTGTATGACTGTGGAGGTGGATTTCGGAACGTACATTGAACGCCATACCACACAGCTGCTAGCACGGCTCTCGCCCCGACAAAGTAGTAGCTCCCACCAAGGCCAAAGACAGTCCTAGCAACTGCAGGATATCCGATATGGTAGACTGTTGCAGAGCGAGAGTTCAGAGCCATAACGATGGACGCAATGAGTTGAGATACAAAGATGACAACGATGGCTTGCCACCAATTAAGGCCGATACCGACCATTGCCTGAATAACCACAACCAATTAGCTTCTCTGAGAGCTGGAGAATGTTATTTGATATGTATCAATCAGAGATAGGTACTTACAGCACCTAAAGGCCAATTTCCGAAAGATAGGCCGAAGAAAAACATGCAGTACGTCTTGAATCCCCATGCTATTCATAAATCAGATCCATGAACATTTGATTATATCCTTCAATCGAATATTCTCACTTCTTTTCTCAGGAGGCGTAGGCTCCAAATCTATAACACGACATGGTCAGCTTACAGCTTCACGCATTGAAATATTGAATAACGGTGACTTACCCTCATTCATCCACGCCGGGTCGGCATTTACATAGTAATACTGATCCGCGTCTAGCGTATCCCGCACTTGCATAGCCTGCTTAAAGTTCTCCCAGCTTGAAAAAGCATGGGAAACGGAGGCTTTTGCCTGGCTGAGAGAGAACTTCGGTAAACCCATCGTGAAGCCCTGCTTTGCAAATACAAAGAATCACATAGGACAAACGGGAATAACTTGCAAAGCACAACACGAGAGCAGAGGATTTAAAGTCGAAAGACCATAATCTTATTATTGCCGAGATGGCACCTATACCCGAGCAAGGCGAACATTCAAGTTGGACCGTAGTGTGGGTAAGGCCACCCGTTATCTCCAGACCTCACCAAACATGGTAACGGCTGCACAATGCCCAGCCTGTCCAGGAGCTAGCGGTTCCACATCCCCCGCCTACTTTGGTTGAGTTGTATCTCAAGTCTCTAGAGACCTGATAAAGGATGAGCACTCCGCGATAGCCCAGATAAAGGGTATCGGCAACTTGCGACTGCTCTGTTCGGTTCCTTATCTGTGCACTGGTCGCTTATCACTGCCGATGAACAAGGTCAACAGTTTGCCATAAGAATATCTGATAAACTTGCAGAAGAGTTTCAGAATTTACTGGAGAGAGAGATCCCAATTGGGGTAACAGAAGAGAAAGTCGCAATATATAGATTTGACTTTTGGTTAATCATTCGGGTAGGACGGTACACAGAGGACACCTCCTAAACTATCAGTATCTCCACGAACTTTCCAGAACAAAATCAGCAGATCTCAGACTCCTTGAGCAAAATGGCAGTAATTACTACAGACCATGTTCAAGCTATACCCATGAGCGAGGAGGAGCGACAGAGTGGCAAGTATTCTCTTGAGACTCTGGGTAAAGCGCTTGAAGCCATGCACCAAGATGGATTAGTTGTCTTGAAGAACGTCATTGACGTTGAGATTATCCAAAAGCTCAATGAAAAGATGTGTGCCGACGCAGAAAAGAGAATCGCCGACCCCACCCAACAGTATAACCACGGCGTGAAGTGTAAGAATTGAACAACTTTAGTCCCACAAGAGGCACGAGATGCTGACCGTTTTTGTGAAGCCAATTTCCTGCAGAGACCTCCCGTGACAGACCCTGAATATCTGCACAAGGATGTTTATTTTAATCCTTTCCTCTTGCAACTTGCCAATGCGTTAGTCTCCGCGGCTCTTACTTCGTTTTCAGTTTCATCTCCACTTACACAGGATTTGCTATAGCTACCTTGGTCACAAGCCAGTCTGGAACTGGTTAACTGCCAACACGGCCTTGGCCAACACAAAGGGCATGCGCCAACTGTCGCACAAGGATGGGTCTTTTGCTCATCCCTTGTACCCTTATTACTTCATTGCCAACATTCCCCTTTGCGACTTCAGCGTTGAGAATGGCGCAACTGAATTCTGGCTTGGATCACACGCTCAGGCCACGTGGCGGGACCAGCAACTGGCCACGGAGACAGGAATGCCACAGTATCCTGTTTGTCGTAAGGGTGAGCCTATTCCTCCCATCACTGAGGAGGCGAAGGCAACACGCATGAAAATCCGTCCCCCTATTCAGCCCCTGTGCTGCCAAGGAGATATCATGATCCGAGACTTAAGATTGTGGCATGCCGGTATGCCAAATGAAAGCGACAAGCATCGAATCATGCTTGGACTTGGATACGCAGTAAGTCACATCATCCACATACCCGGCTGCATAGTCAAGTATACTGACCATACACTTACAGAGCCCAGTCTTTCCTAATTATACTATGAGGGTTCACCTTCCTTTTGCTCAGCAGAACTTCTTCCTTGGCAATGCTGGTGACATGGTAGACGTCAGAGCACAGTTTTATGGTGAAGAGGAGTTTGAAAAGACCACAAATGATACGATCTTCAACTTGCGGCCAACTTATCTGGAGTAACTCAATGCCCAATAAATTGCCTTCAGACATGCTACATGAGCTATCTATTCAAGTGCTGCTTTTGTGAACGGGCTACTGATGTGAACATAGCATGTTGCGGGTACAAAAAAAATCTTATGAGGTTCAGGACAGAAGAAGTGTTTGCGAATGGTTGTCTAGTTCCCTTTACGCATTAATTTTCTCCGGCGTTTCCGCTTATGTTGCCTTCTTTCGTAGTACAAATCTTTTATCAATCGAATTCAAATACCAACTAAATGCCATCATACATGCTGTTCATCGTTTCATAAAGAAGCGGAAGCGTGTACTACACATGAGACAAGGCGAATTGTGCCAAGATTTGTATCACGGCCTGAGAGAATCGAGCATCCGTCAGTTTCACTCAGAATTGAACGTAACTGTAACACCCACTCAGAAGCTCACTAATGACAAGGCTCTGAGTCTTTCCTATAATTAATGATGCTATCCGTAGGCGACTCATAGGCGAGCTAGATTGTGCGAAGTCACGTCACACAACACCACTGAGATCATTATTGAGATATTGGAATGCTATGGTATTCTAAATGGTAGTTTGACCGGCCATCTAATCCAAATGCGGCTTTTATCCGGCCCGAACAACGAAATACATATACGCTATACATTTTATTAATGCGTCACGTCCTCCCAGCTCTGCCAGCCACGGCCCTTGATCTCCTTAAGCTCGTCCTCAGACAATGTCTTGCTTGTTGTGAAATAGCCAGCATTGATCTTGGCATCGATCTCGACGTGTGAATCCTCAGGGATGAGGTCTTCATTGTGTTAGCAAGCTGTAGAGAAATCGAGAGCACATCAAGGGTTTGGAACAACTCACGGTCTGGGATTGGGATACGTTCCAAGATGGGGATTCCCTGTTCGACGATGGCGTCGTGCTTCATGTTTGACATTGAAAGCATGCGATCAATCTTCTTTATGCCTAGCCAGTGCAGGATATCGGGCATGAGCGCTTGAAACCGCATCTACAGATCTTCTTAGGGCTTATTTCTTGAGGAGGAGCACGATGAGGTAAATGATGTTGACTTACATCTCTGACGCCTGCGATATTCTCCGTTCTCTCGAAGTATTTGTCCGCAGTGTCACCGCCTCGCTTGCGAGCATTGTATACCAAGTACTTGACGACTTCTCCTAGGGCTCGTCCTTCCTTACGGAAATAGATGACGACGCCCGAGCCACCGTTCTGCGCCTCTTTTATTGCTTCCTCGATTCCGAATGCAAGGTACGGCCTGCATGTGCAGATATCTGACTGGAAGACATCGGAACCATTGCATTCGTCGTGAATCCGCAGTGCCAGCTTGACATTGGGATCTGACACCCTTTCAGGAGGGCCGAAAATATAAACGGTGAGGCCACCGATGGGAGGTAAGAAAACCTTGATGTCAGGCCTTGTCACAAGCTCAGGATAGCTGCCGCCTGTGTACTCAAACAATGCCCTGCGGAGTGTCCCCTCGTCGATTCCGAACCGAGACGCCACGCCAGGAAGATACCAGACAGGCTCAACAGCAGCTTTTGTGACCCGCACGTCGCCCCCTTGATTGACAACAATGTTACCATCCACGGCGAGACGGCCCTCCCGAATAGACTCTGTGACCTCCGCCACACGCATATTTGCACGAGTGACGGCGATGGTCGGCCGGAGATCCAGTCCCGCGTCCAGATGCTTTTGGTAGTACTGGACAACATTGTGGCCAAAAGGGTCCATGGCCACAATCTTGGTAGGATCTGACCAGGCGGGTTGTTGTGGGAAGTCGAAGGTCGGCTGTGTATTCTTGAAGCTGGGCTTAAAATCCGGGGGTAGATCGCCCGCAGCCATCGCCAGTGCGTTGTATATACAGTAACTGCCGCCATGAGCACCGATGGCGTTCCGCCTCGTCAGGGTCGCGCCGTTACGAGAGACCAAGACCGGCCCTCTTTCGTTAGGATCCTCCGCACCCCATTTCAGCGGTATGGGATCAACTACACTTTGGCCTGGATACGTGGTCAACTGTGGTTACTATGGTCAGCATTTGAAAATCCAATATGAGGCTGACACTTGCAGCAGAGTGATGAATAGGCGAGTGATAGGACGTACGATTATACGGTTGCTGAAGAGCTTTGGCGCAGGCTTGGGCGCGGCGGGAGGAGGTGCCTTCTTGGGGACATCTACAACGTCCTCCTCCATCCTGATACCGGTGTCAAGTGCCATTGTGTCCAGCCTTGGTCGCTTCTTGGGCCTCGAAGAATTAGACTCGACGAGCTCAAGAGAATAACTTGTGTTCATAATGTAGCTGCAGGCATAGGGGAGCAGTCGGGAATCGGGTTTATAGAGAAGGAATGACTGGGACTGGCTCTAGTGTGCTCGGCCAGGACTTGCGCCTTTCGGAGCGCGGCAAAAGATCTGATCTTCCTTTACTAGATCGTGCTCGCATGTTTTTCAGGCACACGTGGATATCTCTACAGCTTTTGAGATGGAGGAGTCTTCCCCACGGTATCAGCAGCCGCAATGGCGACGATACTGGTGGATTCAGCGAGCGATAAGACACATCAAGATGCGATTAGCGTCAATGACCGCACTGATATGGGACCGGAGCCAGCCAGTATGATAGGCACCTGCTAGCCCGTGTCATTATCAAGCTTGCAAGGAAGTGTGCAGTTCTTATCACTGAGGGGCCTCTTGAGTTTATCTCAGCGGAGACTGTGCTGTATCTGCTAAGATAACGGCAACACACTGGGTACATGCAGCACTGACGGAGATAAGCTGAACTGTCATAGTAGTCTGATTCAATAACACAGTACGTAATAGCACCGAGCCTTACCCAGAACTAATCTAATCCAGATACGTGCTCCGTCGCAGGTCAAGGTGTTACACCATGTCGAAAGCTGAGGTTAGTTTGTAAGAAGATGTGTGCAGATATTGGTCCAATGCATGTCAAGATGGTATGGCATTTTGTATTCTATTGACAATTATGGCTACGGGCTACCTAGAGTTTAGAAAAGTGTGCCATCACCATCTATGAGAATGGGGCTAGACCTCGTCTCGGGGCGATATTTTGCGGCCAACTCACGGCCGCCCTTCCAAGTCCCAGCCTCCAGCATCTGTGCCATGGTCAATTGGACGCCTTCCTTTGCAAACTGCGCAGAGACGAGTTTATGGAGCTCGTCTAGAAGGGCCACTGTCATCGCCCGCCACTCCACAATCGTGTCGCTTATCGCAGAGTACATGGGGAGACTCTGCCCTGAGGCAGCGCACCCTTGCTTCAGCACGTCGGGCTTGAGTTGGAGGACGCCCAGGTCTACGAAGAGGCCGCCGTTTCGGTATTCAGGTAGTCCGGTTCCAAGCTCGCCATTGATCACTTGAAAGCCCAGAACACGGACAAATGGTACCGTTAGGGAATACCCAAGCCACTGTGTGAGTTTGTGAAAGGGCTGGATTGCGGTGCCGGCCGTGGCGCTTGTGCCTGCTTTCTCTGCTGCCAATTCCAGGACTTTCAGCGGCCATGCATCTCCCACAGGCTTGCCGTCAATGTGTGTCCGATCTTTCGGCCAAGATGGTATCAACACATCTTGTAGCGTTGACCAGAGGACCTCGTAGTCAAGTGTTTTTGATCCTTGTGAGGTATCGACCAAGTAGTCTGAAGGAAAGATTAGTATAGCATCGCCAATTGTCTTCGTGATTTGTATTTTATTCGTGCAAGTCGCGACTCAAACTCACCAACGAGATTGCCAGGTCGACCTGACGGCCCAAAGACTTTGGGCAACTGAAGAAGTGACGATCCTACGTTCTGCAGGAGCTTGACGCGGGCAGTCACGCCGATCATGGGGTTCTCTGCAGAAATCTGAAAATACTTTTCGAAAGCATCCTCCTTGAGGCCGACAAGCCCAGCTCCTGGTAATTGTTAGCGAAGAAAACGCCGCACGGCGGGCTTGTACTGTACCATCGACACCTGCTGCACTTCCAAAAGCACCAGCTTTGAACATGTATAGAGAGGCCACAGCTATGCCTTCGCTGCGATTGTAGACACTGCCTGTCCCAGGCTCTCTGAACTTCCACACATCGCCCGCTCCTGCGTCGAGCAGAACTGAGACGAAGAACAGATCTATTAGCCGCCGTGTCAATTCCAGCTCGTCGCAGCCCTGTGCCTTCCACTCGTCCAAGAGGGCGGCCACCCGTGCCACGCCGCCAACATCGAAATGCTGCCACCGACCATGAGGAGGGATCTCAGCGAACTTGTCTGGACCAAAGTCGCGCTGTCGCAGATGGTCAGCCCTCTCAGGAAATTTGAAGGGCATTTGCAAGGAATTGAGCCAATGCTTACCCGAATGACACCAACTACAAAGTCTGCAACAGCTGGCAATCGTTGGGCATCATAGTTGAAATTGACGAGAGAGCCCTCTTGGGCCGCCTGGAGGACCTGCTGTGCCCGACCACGAACAGCCTGTAAACTGAGCAGGTAGGCCACGTCCTCGCTCGACATGGCGGTCGTCAATTGAGGTCAGAAATCGATGGACTTGAGATTTGTACAGAGTTTGTATGTGATTTGGATGTGACTGTGTTGTAAGGTGTTTGTTTCCATGTGACCCCTCCACTGATCAGCCACCGTGACACTTCAAATGTTCTTTTGACAACTGCCCCGCCTTGAATGCAGGTACATACAGCATTGTGATGGATACACGGTGATGGAAACGCATCTTCCACCATCCATTCAGCCAGGATCTCACTAGCTGGATGCTAAAATTGCTGCCATGATGCTATTCAATGAATAAGGGTACATCCACATCGGGTTTTAAGTATCTAGTGCCCAGATAACTGTCTGGATACCATGTGCTGTATTCCTTGATCCCTGCTATCGGCACTGGGGAAAAGGGTATCTAGAACAGATTGGGACTTTGCTGAAGCGTTCTTCTCCCTGAGCCATCTTATCATGAGCACTATCTCGTCTATCTCACAGTGCGTCAAGCGTCTGCGGTATCTTATCACAAGTCTTGGGAGGCTGCTATCAGCGATTAAGTGTCTCCTCGCCTTATCGAATGTGCGCCCCGCTGTGGACAATCATGGGCCCCGATCGCGGCTCTGGTAGGAACAGACGCCAGAAAGGACTTGCACATCATCTCATTGGATGTCACCGGACGGACAACACACTACTGAAGACCCGCGGACATTCTCATCTTAGTCTCGAATACTACTTAATTAGTCCTCGTCAGAGACATCGATACGAAAGAGCGAGAACAATGGCGTCTCCAGGCTTGTGTATATCCATTTCCTTGACTTTGCACCGTCGTGGTCTGGTCTTACACATCTTTGATGCTCCTTGAAGCACATTCAGCTCTTATAATAGCTGACAAGTTTCGGAAACATCATCGTTCATCTTGAGGCGGCAAGACATCACATCACGCATAGCATAAGCTTCCCGCAAGATGGCATCGAATTCCGTCATCATCAGTGATCCTGCCTACGCCTCAGGGCTAGCAAAGTTGCGCGACCGCTCTCTGAGGCCTTTGGAAGTCCGCGCTATCATTTCAGACCTAACAGCAATCATCGCCAAGAGCGCCATATCACCTCCGCCTTCACCAGATGAGAAGATTGCAATTATCGTCATCTTGCGCTCCGGACTTGCCATGATGGAGCCTTTTGTGTCCCATCTGCCGTCAGATACGAATATGGTCATCTATCATCTGGGCATCTTCCGGGAAAAGCAGAGTTTGCAGCCCATCGAATACTACAACAAGCTGGCGCCGAAGGGCGCAAATATTAAACGCGCTTTTATTCTTGATCCAGTGGTAGCTACCGGAGGCACTGCCGGCGCTGCAATTAACATATTGAAGTAAGACCATACCCACAAGATTACCAGAGCCGGTCAAGTGGCCACCCTACTATCTGCGTCAAAGGGGTCAAGGACATTTGCTAATCACACTTGGATTGCAGGGACTGGGGCATTGAGCACATCACATTTGCCTGCATCTTGGCGAGCTCGTCAGGTCTGGAAAATGCTGCAAGCATATGGCCAGAAAGCACTCGCTTTGTTGTTGGCGCGGTTGACCAAGGTTTAGATGATAAGGGTTACATCCAACCCGGTATAGGCGACATTGGAGACCGTCTATTTGGCACTGCACTCCAATGATGGCTAATGGGTGAATTATGATCAACGTATGTATCTTAAAGATTAAATGATAATCAAATTCTCGTTCTACGCCACGACTACGAGGCTCCGTGGATTTGATGTGAAGTGGGTTTATTCACCATTTATATAAAGATGTGAGACCTCGAACCACTTTGGACCCCATTCCGCTTGATCAACGCAGCGGTGAATCGTCACCCAAGACAAAGCGCACCAAGACTTTTCCGATTGAACCGATGCTATTTCTCGTCGAAAACGTTTGACAAGTGCCTGAATCCCTAATAATATCTTCAATACCAAAGAGATGTTACTGTTTTAGTCATCGTGAAGAACTGCCAAGAGCTCCTTCCGTATACATTGAGATCTGTGCAGGGCATGTGAGAAGCAGGCCAAGTATGATTATGTTTGAGACTCACCACCAAGAAATGAGTCTTTATTAGCTGACCTGAGTACTGGACCTGATGGTGCTGGTTCCGATCAGCTTTGCCAATTCGAAGACAACCTAGTAAACAAGATAAGCGTACCTAGAATGGGGACATTGATCCCTATCTGGCCAATATTGACCGATCTCTGGAATATTCGAGAGTTCACAGGGCTCGTTGTGAAAATCGTACAACCGTTGCCATCTATTGGTAAAATGTCAGATTATTCCATTAAAAAAGCTCGCCGGAGTCATTAGTATCTCACATCTGTTCGTATTGATCATTTCGATCGCCTCCTCGAGCGTATCCACCTCAACACAGCATAAAACTGGCCCAAATATCTCCTCCTGGTAGCAGGTCATGTAAGGTTTGACGTTGGTCAATATCGTTGGTCCAACAAAATTGCCGTCTGGATAGTCTGGAACAGAGTACTTCCTGCCGTCAAGGAGGACCTTTGCACCCTCACTTTCTGCGCTGGTGATAATCTCCTCAACCCGTGTCTTCGATGCTGCTGTTATGAGCGGACCGACCTCTACAGTTGGATCTGTTCCGCACCCAACGACCAAGGACTTGGCCAATTCGACCAGTTCGCCAATCCACTCCTTTGTCGATCCTACAAAGACTGCAACACTAAGCGCCATGCATCGTTGACCGGCAGCACCAAAGGCACTGCCAGCGATCGCATACAATGACTTCATCTTCGAGGCATCCTCCACAACAACACCATGGTTCTTGCCGCCACATTCCGCCTGAATTCGCTTGCGTGTCGCTTTGGCGTGTTCGTATACTCGCTCACCAGAGATGTCTGATCCCACGAAGCTCACTGCCCGCACCCGCGGCTCCGATAGTAATCTGTTTACCACCCCCGCTCCGCCGTGAACGACGTTGAAGACTCCAGGAGGGAAACCGGCACGAAGAAAGCATTCAGCCAGTAGCTGTGGCGCTGATGGTGTCTTCTCGGAGGGTTTGAGCACCACCGTGTTCCCCGCCAAAATTGCATACGGTACCGACCAAAGGGGTATTAGAAATGGAAAGTTGAAAGGCGACACAGAAACACAAACTCCCTATTGACACGTTTTAGTAATGATGACAGCGCTCAAGAATGAATGAATGTCCATACTAGTGGTTCGTTGATTGTGTGTATTTCGGCAGATTGGTTCAGATGATGTGCGCCACCAATATCATTAGTGATGGAGCAAGCAGTTTCAATTGCATCTAATCCTCGGTCAAACTCGGCTTCGGCGTCAGCTAGCGTTTTGCCAACCTCAACACACAAATGGTGTCTCTGTATCACAGGAGCTCTCAGCATATCGTTTACCTCAATGAGGGTGTGAGCGGGTGTAACATGCGTACGATTCTTGATGAGCTCTGTTTGATCACCCCAACTAGATTCAGCATCTTAGCTCTCCTCTTAGTCAATGATAATGCAGCCCAGCCAGGCTGTGCAGCTTCTGCAGCGGCGATGGCATTCTGGATATCGGTTCCAGTAGATTCAGGAACCCTGGTTATGAAGTTTTGGGAGACCTACGCGACGAATAAGACACTTCAGTAAAAGGGCTTCGGTTGGGCTGAGTGGGTATCAAAGCTTACGGGGTCAAGGACCTTCGTCCAAGATCGCGTCTTTGAGATGACGAATTCGTTTCCGATGAAATTATATGTGACCCCTTGAGCTAGGACCGGGTCTGCTGGGCCCATGTCGTAGAGAACAGAGCCCGAACCATGAGAGCCATGGTGCTGTAGTCAAGAAGTTAGCGAGACTACTTTGCAGATATAGGAACAACAGAATCCGGTTAGAGTAGCTACGGGGGCTGTCGAAAGGAAGCCTACCTCTTGCTTGGAGCGTTTTCTCGGATGGCCTCATCCGCACCGGTCAGCATTACGTTTTCAACAGTGACTCCAAAAGGAATAGGAACGCGGGCCATATTCACCTGTTTCCGAGCTTGATGGTGATGTCTGCGTTACACTTTCCATATGTTCGACCGACGAGGAGGCGGGACTTGATCGTCAAGTGGTCACGCACATCGTCTGCACTGCAAGTTACGTTGGACTGTGGAGGTTACGGGCCAACAACCGCTATCGGCAGTCTAGTGTATTTTTATTTGTAGTGTATTGCGGTGTAGAATAATGTACGAGTAGGATGCTGCCCTCCACTCCACCGCAACGATCAAGACGCCAGGGCACGCAGGGGGGCTAGTGAGTCTAGTACCCGAATGAATGTAAAAGCCCTGTGTCATCCGCGTCTTTATCGGCTGATACATTGGCATTTTAATTGGTGGCTCCCAGGTTATCTAGCCGAACCCACGGGGTGGGCCGGCCTTAGACCCGTCAGCTCGGCCATGACCCCCGACCCTTCTCTACTCCTGCAACCTAAACGGCCGCGGGCAATCCGTGTCATTCCCGGAATGGCGTGCAGACGAACGGAAGACTCGAAATTTCTACAATCACACTGCAGATACTGCCGGCATATGGTTCATTGATCCATTGCCATATCTCTGCATCAAGTACGGATACAATTGCTTATGCGCTGTCACTCCGTCGTACCATAGAATCGATCGCCGAAATCACCTAACCCTGGTGCAATGTGGCTGTATAAGTGATTCCCATGTCAGCTGCTGGCATACGGAAAACCGATAGCACAAACTCACTTTGATGGTGTCATGTCTTCGTCTATCGCCGCAGTCACCAACTTGAGTGACGGAAAGCGTGTTGTGATCTTTGCAATGCCCTCTCGTGAGGCAATAAGGTTAACAAAGACGATGTTCGCCTCGCTCACGCCGGCTTCCTTGAGCAACTCAATCGCCCTAGATGCTGAGCCGCCCGTCGCTAGCATGGGTTCTAATATGAAAACCACTAGAATCGTCAACCTTAAGAGCTTGCATCTCTTTTTTGCCAATTCCTTACCTTTTGATGCGATTGTCGCGGGGAACTTCGAGTAGAGGTGGACTGGAAGGCATGTCTCTTCATTTCGTTGGATGAGGATCTTGCCGTAACTGAGGGGACCACTGCATCGAACAAGAATTAAATATGGCCACGATACAACCGGCAGGGGTGATAGCGTACGTATAGACGTTTCGAAGGGCATTCTCCATACTTGCGCCTGCGCGGAGAATGCTAACACCGCAAACTGGGGTAACTTGTCGGACGCCAAAGTATTTGCTCCCAGTCGGTGTGAGGACTTCTATTGGCTCTGTCGGCACATGCTTCAAGGCTGTGAACGCTTCGTTAGTGAACATCCCAAGCGAATCGATGGGATGCGTTCTGCACCTGCTATCATGAGTTGACCTGCAACTTTCTCAAAAGCATTGACAAAGGCAGCACTGTTCGTGAGAGAGTCGCGCAGTGTGGTCATCAGGCTGATGAGGTAGTTGTCCTGCGGCAGCAGAGTTACCTGGCCATGCTGGGATTCCTTTCCATTGACAGCCATCTTGACACTATCACCACCGAACAATGCAACGCCTGGCATAGAAAATCGTGAGTTTGGTAAGTTGCGAGACCGTTAAGAACGGCATACCATTATTGAGACTTAATACGCCTAAAGCCACACGAAAGAGCTGTAGAAAATCACATCTTGGCTATTGAATTGACTATCGCCACACTCGAAAAGAGCTTTTACTACGTAATAGTCCCAATCGTGGTCGATTGATGTGGATCCGGGGGCGTATCTACTTGGAACTGCAGCGTGCTTCTAGCGTAGTAGAATAAATCTTAGCAAACAGTGCTCGCACTCGCTGTGATAAGCATGTGAGCTAGCTATCACAGCGTTGATAAAGCTCCACTGCCTGTATCAACGCTGATAAGGAAGAGTTTGCGTCTTATCTGGAAACGCCTTCCCTGTAATCTTTGCCCCACTCGACTGATTAGGGTATATCTCTATTGATACCATCTTTAGACCCCAGATCATCATCGTGGTTCCTCAATCTGTGAAATCGGATATCGGTTTTCTGATCCAACATGTGAGCCGCATCAGATATCGCATGGCGCCAAAAAAGAGTCGTGTATCGTGAAATCGATAACAGTTCAAGAGCAGGTGGAGATGGGCACAGACGGGGCATTGGCTGCAAGACTGAACGAGACCGGAGAAGTGCATGGCGTTGTGCATTTAGAAGAGGGACCTTATATGTCAAACGGCCATGATTGTTAACAGAGTCAAGTTAAATCACTTCAACATAGAATCAAGTCCAGGAACCATTCTGCTGGCTAATTGTCAAGATGATTGCATCAGGAATGCAGTTGCTCGCCGGTGCGTTGTCCATCTGTTAGCCTTGTAGTTAATCCTCAGGTCTGATGGCGATATGATATAGGGAGCAGTCACCCAGACTTCGCAGAAAAGGTATCTAATAGGTAGCATCACCTGATGAAATTCCTCAATCACGTAGCATTGACGCCCCTATTTTATAGGATTGGATATCCCGTGAGTTCTCAGGCTCTTCACAGTACCCGATTCTCTAATGGAGAGACATTCGTTTCGATAGAGGCGTCTGTACGGGGAGGAGATGTCTTCATCCTCCAGACAGCATCTGAACCTGTGAACGATATGCTCATGGAACTCCTCATCGCCATAAGTGCATGCAAAATGGCTTCCGCGAAGCGCATCACAGCTGTGATTCCATGTTTTCCTTATGCCCGTCAAGACAAAAAGGATAGGAGTCGAGCCCCCATTACCGCCAAGCTTGTTGCAAATATGCTTGAGGGCGCAGGATGTACACATGTGATTGTATGTGTCTCTCGTACACAAACTGGTGTCTTTGTAGCGACTAATGATAAGCTCCGAGCAGACGATGGATCTGCACGCCTCCCAAATTCAAGGCTTTTTCAACATACCAGTCGATAAGTAAGAGGCAACCATATCCTTCAAGATGCGTACGCTGACTACCTATCATTTAAGTGTGAGCTTCTTCAAGATTGGTTTGCTCAAGTAGCATAGCTGAAGCGGTGTATTAGCTTTTCGCCGAAAAGACGATGATAGAGTACATCAGGCATGAATACGGAGTCAAGGACTTAGTAATTGTCTCTCCAGATGCCGGTGGTGCTAAGAGGTGCGACACAATTGAAACCAGAGACTGCGAAAAGAAGAATGATACTGATTCATACCAGAGCCGCCACAATCGCAGATCGTTTGCAAGTTGATCTTGCCATAATCCACAAAGAGCGCAAGGTCGCGAATCAAGTCAGCCGAATGATACTTGTGGGGAGTGTGACTGGGAAGACAGCCGTGCTTGTTGATGATATCGCAGATACGTGCGGCACTCTTGCGTTGGCATCCCAAATACTCAAGGAACAAGGTGCTGTAAGATGTCTCGCCATCGTTACGCATGGATTTCTAAGCGGCTCCTCCGTTGATATTATAGAGAAAAGCAACCTTGACTTGTTGATAGTCTCAAACACCCTTCCCTTACCCAAACATGCGAGATCTTGCTCAAAAATCCGTCAAATGGATGTAAGCCATACAATTGCAGAAGCAATTAGGAGGACGCATAATGGGGAGTCGTAAGTAAACCCTTTTCTATGACATATCTGAACATGTCCGGAGTTAATCCACGTTTTAGTATATCCATGCTCTTTACATAGCTAAGCAGATCAAGCTTGAAAATGGATGGCGGACTGTAAATAAATTCGAGTAATAATCTAGATATACTATTTTTGGGCCCTTTCTTGCATCTAACGTGCTATTTTGAATGTAGAGTATATGCCGCGTTGAAAATGCCCTAAATGAACACATACCGAGCGGAAGATGGTGTTTAGGAGAAAGTAAACTGTCATCACAATAGCCAAATGTTTCATGCAGTGAGAAGAGCATTTCTGACAAGAAGAGCAAAACACCGATAATTAACTGGACAGGACAATACTCGCCGGTCATCACGGTCAGTAGTTCAGGCTCACCCGTCGAAGGGGAAAGTCTTCGTGTTGATCCTAGACTAGGTGTGTGCGTGCGCCGAAGCGGACATCCGACATGGCCGACCGCACCAATGGTAATCAACGGAGGCGTCCTAACTAGTTGACGAATTGGCACTGCTGTTACCAACGCCGGGCCCCTGCAAACGCCACCCACGCAAGCCTTGCAGGAGAGAGCTAGAGAGGTCGAACAAATGGTCCAGATCAGGGGAAATAGACTGGATTCTACAACGGATGGTGGATGGATCTCGGCATTCTTCAGCCCACATACCGTGGCCAATTGTAATATCGACAATGTCAGCTGAGAACCATGGCCATTCAACTCACATTTGCTGGTACAAGTAATTACCGTAGATGGAGAGTTTTCAAAGCTTAGGAGTGTTATAAGAGGTAGTGATCTACCGGAGCTATCCTGGGGGACAAGCTCTCGGGCCGCGAACATGTTCAAGCTCAGGGCGCCTCGTACTTGTCGTGCGACGCTTGCTACGTGTCTGGACGAAGCACCGCGCGATGCAGCGGCACATCAGTAGGCCTGCTTAGACCGAAGTCTCTACACGCAGTCAAGGGGGTTTCCCTCGTGAAGCCTATATCTACAAAGACGTGCCTGCTGTGTTGGATGTGGAAACGATGTTCGACGCTCCATTCTCGTTCCCAGTTGTTGTCTCAAGGTCAGCTGAATCCAAGGCGTTCTCGTCAGGTCGCGATTCGAGTTCTTGGTCATAGCACGCCTAAAAAGCCAAGATGCGTCCAGTCGCTCTCCTCCTCTTGGCTGCCAGTGTCGTCAATGGCTATGCCGGTATGGGTCGCATCTTAGCCGACATCAAGAGACACGAGGTTATGCAAACGAGATCCACCTCTTTGCTCGGGGATCTTCTCAGCCTAGTCGATGATGCGTTGACAGCGGTGGGCGAAGAGATCAAGGCCATTCTTGAAGGCACGGTCTCGGCTATCGCTGACTCCACAACTTACAAGGCGCCTGGCGACAAAGATTCCGATGCCTGCAAGAAGGACACCTGCTGCATATGGAGCTATATTGTTTCAGACATGAAATCTACCTTCACCGATGGTAGTGGATGCTCAGCATTGGCTCGAGGGGCAATCAGACTGGGCTTTCACGATGCGGGTGCCTGGAATTCGAGTCTAGACTCCGGCGGAGCAGATGGCTCAATTCTTCTCTCTGGCGAGCTCCCTCGGAAGGAGAACAACGGTCTCTCGCCGATAGCAGATCAGACAAACGCTTGGTTTAGCGAATACAAGGGATACGGAATTAGTATGGCAGATTTGATCCAGTTCGGGGCTTTGACGGCAACTGTTGTCTGTCCTGGCGGGCCACGTATCAAGTCTCTTGTTGGGCGGAAGGACAGCTCAGCACTCCCACCAGAAGGCCTGCTGCCATCCCCCTTCCAGGACGCACCGGCTCTCATCGACCTATTCGAGGCCAAGACTTTCACTGCTAGCGATCTCGTCGCCCTGGTCGGCGCACACACTGTCAGTCAACAATTCTTTGTCGACACATCCAAGCCTGGTGCGCCCCAGGATAGTACGGATGGCGCTTGGGACGTCAAATTCTATTCCGAGACTGCATCTTCAGATACACCCGACGGTGTTGTCAAGTTCCCTAGCGACGTCTCGTTGTCACATGACACAAGCACATCCGGAACATGGCAAGTCTTTGCAAGCAGTCAAGGAGCTTGGGCAGCTGTAAGTCAAACTCCGTTCAATATCGTATATCTCCTCACAATTTACTGATTATTCCAATAGGCGTACGCTCCAGCTTACTTCCGCATGAGTCTGCTTGGAGTGAAAAACCTCAACGACATGACCGATTGCACCAAAGTTCTCCCGCTTCCTCGGTAGCTCATGAACTGGTTATTGGCGGCGAGAAGATAATGGCGTCAAAGGAAGGGATTAGGACTTGGTATATGAGATGTTAATGTTATTACTTACCATTTATTAATCAGAGTTGGCGAGGAGTTATAGGCGTTCGTAATCAAGCTGCGTTCTACAGACGGAATAATCGTCACGAGAACTTGGAAAGACGGTGCAGGTTGAAACCTTGTAATGTCTACAAAATAATACATATTCCTAATTCAACCCGGTAAACATTAGGGACAAACATGGCTACATAGAAGCATCCCATTCTTTAGGTTTTAGTTAATAGCTTGTGAAGTCATAAAGCTTCATCACACTTCATTGACAGTTATTATTATGATAGGAGATCCTTCACTTTAGACATTGAATACAATATAGAAAACGGGCTACAATATACCAAATGGACATAATTACAATGCAAGTTCCTCCTGTTGCTTGTTGCATACTCGACATGTATCACAAAAGTCTTGTATCAGCAACGCTCTTTGATTCGGGCGACTGTGAGAGCCATTTCTTCGCCTGTTGCGATCGGATCAGCTGTGCATTGAACATGTTATTATCACGAGCTTTCGGAATACAGCCCTTGACTCTGAATGTAGGTAGCCACGGGCTCTGATACAGACGACCTCAGAGCCTTCCAGTCCTCCTGCTTCGCGGCATTCCGGGCAAGTGTGCTGCTCACGGCCCCCTCGTCGGCTTGTATGCCTTCCACAAGCTCTACTCTGCTTGCCCATTCCTTGCGACCACCGACATTCTCCAACTCATCGCCATGCAGCATGCTGTCCACATAGGCTAGTTGTTCATCCTTTCCTCCCCAGTCATCGTCTGTCCGCATCGTTATTCTAAGTCTTGCGCGGCCAAGGAACGGGTCCAGAGCCGACTGCATGGGCGTCTCATGTGCATCATAAATCCCCTCCTCTGGAACGGGCGGTTTGTAGTACTTTGGATTGAAGATGCGGATCAGCGTGTCAAATCCCGCAAGAAATAGCTGTTCCGGGGATTCTACACCATGTCCACTATAGAATTCGGAAGAAGCAATGGCGGCGCTTTTGTCATGAAAGTAGGGGAACGTGGTCAGGGCGATATCGATGGCCAAATCCTCAGCTGAATCGACACTCGGTTGACCTTTCAATGTGCTACTTCCACCATCTGAAGGCAAAGGCGACTTGTCGATGCTAGACTCTGTTTGCTCCGATGAACGAAGCAGATCTCTAGCAAATGCAGCCATCATGGTCAGGCGATGCTCAAAAGCGGCCGGCTTCACCCCTTTGTCGGCATTATTGACGGCGAGCAGGAGCAGGAGCCGTGACTCGGCTGGTCGTAGTCCCTCCTTTCTCCAGACATCACGAAGGGCGCTGGTGGCAAGCCACTGGTGTGCTATTGTTGGAGGGTTAAAGGACGAGTCTAGCACGACCAAACGTTTGAGCGGGAATTGTGAGGACACGTCAGGGGGCTGCGGCCGGCTGAAGACGGAGGCGCCGCTATTGGGATGGCGGATGGTGCTGACGACCTGAAAGTGCCGGCCAAGAGACTGAAAGTGTTGCAGTTCGCGCTTGAAAATGTCTAGGGCAGCAGCCATGTCACTGCCGTCTCCAACGGGCATCGTCAAAGCGCCGAGATACACGCGGGAGCCACATTAGACTGCGGTCATTGGCATGTCATTGATAGTGACCGATCTCGTATCGTTGGATGTGGAGCGAAGCGATATTCTTACTGCCAGTCTATCAAGGTGGGGGTTCGGGGGTTTCGGGATGTTGGGCCCACGCCGTGGAGTTCCGAAACAGTGCTGTGATTGTGATGAAAAGAGCCAGATACCTAGCAAAGCACCTTCCACATTCAAATAGAATTGATAGATGCTGAACGATGATTGATGACAGAATATGATCTGACTAAGATCTTCTCAAATGAGCCCAGGAACGAAACAGCATTCAATTTGGTGCATACGTTACTTCAACGTTCCGCTATCTCCAAGTCCGGCGCCAGCTGACAGAAGCATGCACGATGCCGGGAAGGGCCCCCACCGGCGCCTAAGTCCGATCATTTGCAGCCCCGGGTTTGTCTTTGTAAATCCAGCGTCCGGAGGCCTTAAAACCGTCTACGGTCCCCTTTTACAGTGCATACCTTGATCTAGGTGCGGATGGCTGCCTGGCCCGGCGCCTTGGCAAGCGAAGCTGAGATCGATATGTGCGCGCCTGAAAGACTAGGGAGACGCTGTTTACCATCTCCGGGCATGCAGGCCCTACCTGGGTAGGTTGAGATTCCATCCGCGTATCGTGATGCTGTGTGCGATTGGATGCGCCATGACTCATCCTCTGTTAAGTAGATGGTTCCGCTTCTCGTCTCCGGTTGAGAAGAGACCGGAAAACGGTGTGGATCTCCCTCGTCCGGCCTTGTCTTGTGTCTCGCCGGGGCCGAGATTGTAATCATGCCATGCAGTGCTTCCAGGCTGGCATGTGGAAGGAAGTCTATATAACAGCCCGCCAGCAACGAATGATGCCAATGAATGATGCCAATGAAGTTGTCAGTCCAACTCAGTCGTCTTCCATAGGGGACATCTTCAGAAACAAGATACTCAGATATTTACTTTCTAGTCTCGTCTGTACAAACCCAGCATACACCAAAACAACAAGACTACCACGGTTCCAATTTTCGTCCGTCTCATATTTGTTCTGTCTTTTGAAACTGATATTCTCCACAATGGCTCCCCTCGTCTGGCTCATCACAGGCACCACCTCTGGTATAGGAGAGGCACTGGTCAAGGAGGTCGCCCGTCGCGGCGACAAGGTCATCGCAACCGGCCGCAACGCAGAGGAGCGTCTTCAGAGCCTCAAATCAGACAACATCGCCCTCCTCGATCTCGACGTCGCCTCGTCACGCGAGGTCATCAACGCACAGATCAACACGGCCGTCTCCATATTCGGCCGGATCGATGTGCTCATCAACAACGCCGGCATGTCCGCCTCCAGCAGCATCGAGGAAGCATCTGACGCCTTCATGCAGAGGCTATTCGACGTCAACCTCTTCGGCACGATCCGTGTCACACAGGCCGTCCTGCCGTACCTGCGCAAGCAGCGCTTCGGAAGGATTGGCTGCATCGGCGCGGGGCTCGCCTGGGCCCCCTTCCCCTTCCTCGGGTTCTACTCAATGACCAAAGCCGCTGTGGGGCAGTTCGTCGAGGCTCTGGACAAAGAGACCTCGGCGTTTGGCATCCGCGCAACGTGCTTCGAGCCTGGCGGTTTCAGCACCCGGCTCGGGCAGGCACGAGGCACCGGCTACGGAGTGGGCGCCATGCCGGCCGTGGAAGACTACCAGCCTGGGTTTACCTGTTTCGTTAAGGGCCTCGTTGAGGATTGCGGTGCAAGCATCCCTGGCGATACGAACAAACTGCCCCCTGCCGTCATCGACGTGATCAAAGGCGAAGGGATGGCCGCCGAGCGGAAGTGGCCTGTGAGGGTAGTGCTGGGGCAAGATACAGTGACGTTGATCCGCCAGAAATGTAATGAGCAACTGCAATTGACCGCGGAGTGGGAGGATGTGAGCAACAGCGTAAATGCTGATGACTGGAGTGGGAAAGTAAGCCAGTACATGATGGATACTTGCTCAATTTTGAGATAGTGCAGGGTCGGTGCTAGCCTAGGGTGCTTCATGATGTGTAAGTATTTGTGATTAGATTTCACCAAGAAGTAATGACCAAGATACCATGAGCTTTCATTTGCCAGTGGTGGATGCTCGTAATCGTGGCATAGCGTCTCTACTATACACCTTTTCAATTCAGAGTGTAATCATTCTGTCAGCTGGAAAAGTCATTGACCTTTGTGAAAATGGACGCCGTTCTATAAAGGCAATTCGTGATAGGCATTCAGGGGTATCACATCCCAAGACGCCGGTCCCCTTTCGCTGTAACTCCTGGAAATGCAGCGGGACAGCAAAGCTCTCCTGATGTAGAAACAACAAGGCTCTCATCGAATGATCGGATCCTGCATGAAGTCGGGGACGCTTAGGCCGCCTTCACCAGGCTTGTATCGCGGCGCATTCTGGCTTCTCCCAATGGACTCCACGCGATGATGGAAGAGGGCCTCCTCGTCGTCGTCGTCTTCGAGACGCAGAGTGGTAGCCCGATCAGTCGCTGCGTCGATATCGACCGACATTTCATGAACGGCATTGATTTCACCGGGATCTGCTCGCTCGTCAAACCCGTACACCTTGATCCCGCGTATGTGGGTGTCCTTTCCGTTTTGGTGATTTTCTTTGACCTGCATCTGCACTACAAACGCACATAGCGAGTTGCCGTCGCTGCCGCCGCCACTGCCTTCAACTTGTACGTCCTGCCACCCGCTTGGGTTGGTGAGGGTTGACTCGGCGAACTGGATGAGGTTATGCTCCCCGGTGCCGGCAAACCACAGGATATGTGTGGGGGTATAGCTCTCGTCTTGATTGTAGTCGACGAAGAAGCGGAGCGCGCGGATCTCGACCATGCGAATGAATTTGATCGTGAGCCGGTGGGGTTGGGTGCCGTCGGACCAGCACAGCTCGTCAGCAAGGACTTGACAAGACGGAGTGTCCTGATACGGAAGACTCACTGCCAGTATTTGTCCAGGTCATCGCTGAGGAGTTCCTGGACACCGTTCCCAGGCTTGTAGGTGCTGACTCGAAAGCGTGCGAGGTTGTTGATCTCCTTCAGTCCAAGGGCAGCAGGGTCGAAGATGCTGGCAGGTAGTTGATCGAGATCGACTTGATGATCCTCGTCTTCAATGTCATGGCCATCGGTCAACCCTCCTATGAGCTCTGGGTCGTCTATAAGCCCCTCGATCATGTCATCCCCTGAGCCCGCACCGAAGCCGAATTGCTCGTCATCCTCCGAGTTGCCTTCAAACGCAAACGTGTTGTCATTATCAAGATCGCTCTCGCCATCATCATGACCTAAAGCATTATAGCCGTCAGCAATTGGTATGGGACGGTCTCCAACCGCAAGCAACTGTAGTAGGGTCAAGCTAGCACTGAATGCAGTGGATGAACGATGCACCTTGGGATAGCTCACTCTCAAAAGCAGACCTGAACATTGGCTGAGGGAATTGACCAGCAAGCTCGGCCTGATTCAAGGCTTCTTCCACGTCATCATGGGCGGCCATCATGCGGCTTTGCAGGTCCTGGGCTGGGGACATTGGCTGGCGTCTGGCGCGTCGAGGCTATCCTGTCGCTGTAAAGTCAACAATCCGTCCAGCCCAGCGCGGGGCTCGCTGGTTGTGCCCTGTTAGACCGCCCGGCCGGGTGCCTAAGACGGCTTATTACCACCTAAAACCACGTGAGATCGCGGCTTTGACGCGTGCCAGGCTGCCGGCTCCTTCTATTCCAGTTCCTAGGTAGGTATGGAGGGACCTTGCACTCACCCCACCACAGACACCTTCTTCCTTCCCGACTAAGGTATCTTCAGATTTGGGAGAATCCCGCCTTTCTCCTCCCCAACCTCATATCTACACCGACAGTGTGATCTCCGCCATTTCCTCATGGATGGTTGACCTCATCAACCTCCGTTGCCCTTGCCCATTTCCATTCTCCATCCCCTCGTCGGCGCCCTCATCCCGAGGTTTGGCATCGCAGCTCCGAACGGATCCCAACTGAGCGGCGGGCAAGATGCCACAACCAGCAGGTAAGTTTTAATGTCTTGAACAGACTCTACCATTCTCAACTCTTTAGAGAAAGTCTAGCTAATTCATTCTCTCAGACGAAGATACTATCCGAATACTCATCGCGACTGACAACCATGTCGGATACGAAGAGCGAGACCCTATCCGCAAGGATGACAGCTGGAAGACATTTGACGAGATACTAAACCTCGCAAGAAAGCAAGATGTATGATGATCTTTTCTTCTTGCCTCAGTCTCTTTACCAGACCCAAAAATTGACAATCAGTCTAGGTGGACATGGTCCTTCTGGCCGGTGACCTCTTCCACGACAATAAGCCCTCTCGTAAGGCAATGTACCAGGTCATGCGCTCTCTCCGAAAGAACTGTCTTGGCATGAAACCCTGCGAGCTCGAGTTCCTTAGTGATGCCAACGAGGTCTTTGAAGGTGCCTTCAGTCACGTCAACTACGAAGATCCAGACATGAACATCTCCATCCCCGTCTTCTCCATCCACGGCAACCACGATGACCCTAGCGGTGATGGGCACTACTGCTCGCTGGACTTGCTGCAGGTGGCAGGCCTAGTCAACTACTACGGCCGGATTCCCGAGGCGGACAACATCAAGGTGAAGCCCGTTCTCCTGCAGAAGGGACGCACAAAGCTTGCCCTCTTTGGATTGAGTAACGTGCGAGATGAGCGCATGTTTCGGACCTTCCGGGACAACCATGTAACATGGTTCCGTCCGAATCAGCAGCAGTCCGACTTCTTCAATATCCTGTCTGTCCATCAAAACCACCACGCACACACTTCGACCAGCTATCTCCCCGAGAACGTGCTACCTGACTGGATGGATCTTGTGGTCTGGGGTCACGAGCATGAGTGTCTTATCGATCCGCGAGAGAACCCAGAGACAGGCTTTCATGTCATCCAGCCCGGGTCCTCTGTCGCTACATCGCTTGTCCCCGGCGAAGCTGTCCCGAAGCATGTGGCCATTGTCAGCGTGACCGGAAAGGATTTCAAGGTGGACAAGATCCCACTCAAGTCAGTTCGGCCATTTGTCACTCGCGAGATTATTCTGCAGAAAGACAAGCGGTTCGCCAAGCTTCACAAGGAGAAGGACAACAGGCAGAAAATTACGAGAAAGCTGATGGAGATTGTGGAGGAGATGATCCAGCAGGCGAATGCGGACTGGTTAGCGATCCAGGATGACGACGAGGAGGCCGAAGAGCATCCGCTGCCTCTTGTCCGCCTCAAGGTCGAATACACTCCTCCAGAAGGCGGGAACTATGAGGTTGAGAACCCTCAGCGGTTTTCCAACCGATTTACCGGAAGGGTTGCCAATGTCAATGATGTGATTTACTTCTACCGCAAGAAGACCAGCGCCACCAGTAAGATGCCCCGCGACGAGCTTGTCAGGACTTGGCTAAAGGGAATTAGGACGAGACCGGAAAGACCGGACGGACGGCGACCTCCCGGAGTCCGCACTGGAGGCTCTCGAGGCCCTCGACTCCGAGAACGTCATAAAGGTGGACGCACTGGTCGACGAGTTTCTCGCGGCGCAGTCACTCAAGGTTCTTCCTCAGGGTGAATTCGCAGGCGCTGTCAACGACTTTGTTGAGAAAGACGACAAACTTGCTATGGAGACGTTTGTCGCCGACTCCCTCGCTGACCAGCTGCAGCATGTGCTCAATATGGACAACGTAGACGAGAAGAGCCTGGACGCAGCCATGGAAAAGTGGAAGAAGGGCCGAGAAGCTCGCTGGGCCGCTGGTCAAGTGAAGCGACAGAGGCGCATTCTCCTGCCCAAGCCAGATGACTGGGACTCAGATGCCGAAGGGGCGCATTGGACAGATCAGGACGGCGCCTGGCAAGACGTGCAAGAGTCCGCGGATCAATCCTCAGCTGTTAATGGTGCTTCGCGAGGGCGCCAGCCCACCGTTCCGGACGATGACTCTGATGCGTTCATGGACGATTTCGAGGATGTGCCGCCACCGGCAGCCCCTGCTAAGCGGGCCACAGCGGCCAAGCCTGTGAAGGCGGCAGCTCCCAAGAAAACCACTGCTACGAAGAAAGCACCTGCGCGTGGTCGAGGCAAGAAGTCGGCTCTCCTTGAAGACAGTGATGAAGACATGTTTCTTGATGACGAGGACGAGGACTCGGTCGTTGTCCCGCCTGCAAAGAAACAGCCCCCTCGCGCTGCTACCGCGAGATCGACCGCGAGTGCTGCTTCTAAACGCCAGACAACTCTGAATTTCTCGCAATCCCAGCGCGCCACTCAGCGGGGAAATCAAAAAGCGGTGGAGATTAGTGACGACGAGATTTCGGAGGATGATGCTTTCGAGTCGATGCCAGTGACCCGCAGTCGACGTCGGTGATGCCTCATCATGTATACAAGCATAGCATGCGGGCGAATTGCTGTCACATTTTGGCGTTGAGGGAAATAATGCTAGATACCCAAGAGGGAACCGTAGAGAACGGAAAATAGCGAGATACGCGTTGAGATACCTCATTTGCTTTTTGTTGCTGGATGAATGGCTATATTGCTTACTGGAGTAGTTGAGGCTGTACCGAATTGATATTGACAAGACTAAACCTGATGTCTCTCATACCAAGTCTCACAAGCAAATTCTAAATACTATGTCTCCCAACAAAGTAAATGGACATGTATTTGAAGAGGAGCTCTAAGACTAGTTAATGCAGAAGTTAGAAGGCCAGTGTTCGACGCAGGGTACACGTGCTATATCACGTGCTCTGGTCTTCTGTCAGCGATATCGAAAGCCGAGCTAGGTATCTTCGCGACCTCAATTAATCAACATCCATCTACCACATTCTGACAACGACTCATCCGGCAAGCATGGCATCGAACCCGCCGACGACAGAGAATGCCGAGCCGGCACCTGCCGCGCCGGCCACTGCGCAGCCCGAGACCGACACTGGATATGCGCCGCTCGTGGACCCGAGATTACCTACGCAGAAAGATACATCATTGAAGGACTTCCTGAACAAGATGGACGACTATGCGCCTATCGTACGTGGCTCTAGTGTCTTTCCCCAAGCGCCTTGTCTTGCTAACTAAACACTTAGATCCCTGATGCCGTCACGAATTACTACATGGCAAAGGCTGGCTTGCCACCCCCGCCCCAGACAGATCAGCGCCTGGCGCGCCTGCTCGCGCTGGCGACTCAGAAGTTCATTGCGGACATTGCCGCCGATGCGTACCAGTACAGCCGTATTCGCGCCAGCAACACAAGCGCGAACAACCCCATGGGCAGCTTGGGCGCTGCAGCGGGGTTCCCGATCCCTGGCCAGCCGACCAACCAGCCAGGCGGCAAAGATCAGAACAAGGGCGCACCGCTAGGAATCCAGAGGCCAGGATATGGCGGTGGTGGTCAGGGTGGAAGCCAGAACAGGACAGTCTTGACCATGGAGGATCTGGGCATGGCTGTTGGCGAGTACGGTGTCAACGTGAAGCGAAGCGAGTTCTATCGCTGAATGACGGGAAGGAGATGCATGGTTTCATTTACAGGCGTTAGGGTGGACTAGGATAGGGTCTGGCGTCAAGGAACAACAGAAATCCAGCTGGCCGTGCTGGCAAGAAAATACTGCTCCATGTGCAGCTTATAGCTCGTCACACATGCGAGCAGACGATACCACGCATCACAGATAGATTGGTCGACAATGAGATGACCGGTCCCTGAAGTCGCACAGATTGTTCTCCACTGATATATTCTCCATGATGTTACAGTATTGTCTGTTTACAAGTAAATGCCCGACGCAATGATTTGGTGCCGCCCGAAACGCCATACTACGAAGCCATACTGTTCAATATCCAGTCTATTTCTTGTTCCAGATGAAAGGTTTTCTCGTCCTGTGCAAGCAATTGTCAGTATTGATCTGCACCGTACGCATATAGATGAGTCATCATACGGCGAGAACTCTCCAAGCTTGTGTCCGACCATGTCCTCGGTAATTGTCACGTCGTGGTAGACCTTGCCATTGTACACCTGGAACTTGAGTCCTACGAAGCTCGGCAGAATGGTGGCGGCGCGGGCTTGCGTTCTAATAGGAACGAGTTTCTTGCCCGGCTCGGGTCGAACGATGGGTAGACTGAGCGTATACTGTCAGTTCAACGGACGATCGTTCTTCGGGAGTCCATCGGGGGAGCTTGTCGAGGAGACTTACGGGACAATGTGCGGTCCTATAAACGATGCGTTAGCAATTGAGGCTCTCCAGGTCAGTTGATGCAATGCGCGCTCACCTTTCCACACTGATCGCTTCAGCAGACACCTTGTCGGCTGCATTTTGGCGGGGTTACTGGGTGGTTGGACCGGGATAGGTGGTGCCTCATTCGAAGTCGCAACTTTTTTGAAGGCATATTGAATCGTCGGCAGCGCAACGCTCGGACCACCCAGCCGCTAGCGTGAGATCCCCTGTCATCAGAATAATTCAGACCTTTTCGAACATGTCTGAGGGCCTTCTAGAAAGGTTTTCTGTCTTCTTCTTGATCGAAGCCACATCTCTAAGGTCTAAATCTCAAGAGACCCAGTCAAATATTGAAAGCACATCTTACTCCAAGGCCCGCTACGCCATTGGCAATATGATCTATCAACTATGTCTCTAGGCCCTTGCTGTCTTTGTCTGGACTTATACATATTTCAGGTGATCCCAAGCTATTGATTGCCTCGCCTCTAGTCAGTCCTTCCTCACTGGTTGAGATTTTCTTGATTCTAGTGATCTCTGCAATGCCTCACTTCGTGCTCCTCAGTGCGCCTGGCAGTTATTTCCATTAGACGCCGGCATAGGCAAAGGACGATATTCATATAGCACGCGGAGTCGAGGGCGGAGCAAGGACTTCCGTTGTCGAAACGACCGCCTCTTCTACCGTTGCGTTAGAGTCTTGCTAGCCATCCATTGGCTGCTCCTTGCTGTTTTCGATGCTCTCATGTCTAAACCGCCCAGATGTTCCCCAGCTTTTGCCTACAATGGCCGCTCCGGATCTCGTGGATCGGCACTGTGGTTGAAGAACCGACATGACGCCAAAATCAACGGCTGCTACGCTGTCCCTTGCAACGAGCCCCCTTTACCCCTGCTTTCCATACGCTTGCCCTTTCACAGAGGAAAGATCAATTCTGCACGACCCTTGCCAAGCCTTTGATATGAGGCTCCTAACCCAGGTGGCTATTCCCTCTCTCTATCGACCCGACAAATGCCACCTCTTTACCTTCTCATATTCTGCCTCTATTGAAATGTACGTACCACACGCGGAGCAATGCCTTCCGCGAACACACTTCCCAGAAGCAGCGCCGCATATAAGATATCGTTGTCCAGTGCCTTGAGATATCTTGAATCGACTCCAAGCTCGACCTTCTATAGTAAGGTATCTACTGAATCTCACCAATCATGAGGTTCTTTGACTTGTTCCTGTGTGTAGCCACCGTGGTGTCGGTCGTGGCTGCCCCAGCAGGAGACGCGAGCACGACTATATCAAAGCAGAAGCGCAAGAGCAAGTTCTCCTTCACGGGCGTCAACCAGTCCGGTGCCGAGTTCGGAAACAAGAACCTGCCAGGCCAGTTGAACAAGGACTATACATGGCCGGCTCATTCTTCTATCGACACTCTCGCAGGAAAGGGCATGACTACCTTCCGCATTCCTATCATGATGGAGCGGGCTATTCCATCTAAGATGACCGGAACTATCAACGAGACGTACTTTCAGGGGTTGACAGATGTAAGTAACTGGAAAATTACATGAATTATGTCAGAGCTAAATGAAGTCCCCAGATTGTCAGCTACATCACGGGAAAGTATGGAATCTTAGTCGGCTTGAAAGCTGATATTCAAAATAGCTAATGAGCTATCAGGGGCGCATATGCCATCATTGACCCACACAACTTTGGTGAGACCTTTTGAGCAAAGTGTTAGTCCCTCATCTAACTTTTGAATAGGTCGCTACTATGATCAAGTCATAACAGACACTGCGGGCTTCCAGGCTTGGTGGAAGACGGTAGCCAGTCGATTCGCCAAGGTGGACAAGGCTATCTTCGACACCAACAATGAGTATCATGACATGGACAATGACCTCGTCGCAAAGTTGAACCAAGCTGCCATCAACGGAATCCGAGATGCCGGCGCTACAACCCAATACATCTTCGTCGAGGGTAACTCATGGACTGGCGCATGGCATTGGGTATGTGAAGAAGTCCCTCCACAGAGATGCCCGAATACTGATCTCAATCAGGTTTCTAGCGGAACAGCCACTGGCATGGCCGGTCTGACTGACCCATCAGACTCGACCGGTGCCAAAATCATCTACGAGATGCATCAATATCTCGATAGCGATGGCTCAGGCACTTCCACTACCTGCGTGTCTTCTACCATCGGCAAAGAGCGTGTCACGGAGGCGACGAACTGGCTCAAGACAAACAAAAAGAAGGGCATCCTCGGCGAGACGGCCGGCGGCAACAATGCCCAGTGCATCAGTGCCCTCAAGGGCATGCTCCAGTACATGGAAGACAACAGCGATGTATGGTCAGGCTGGCTCTGGTGGGGAGGTGGCCCCTGGTGGGGTGACTACATCTACAGCATCGAGCCTCCAAGTGGCGTTGCTTACACGGGCATCTTACCCAGCATTCAGCAGTTCATCTGAGCTAATCTGGAGCTTGCAACACCTAACGACTCGATAGATATCTGTGAACTGCGAACTTATTGGTGTGGACGGGCTTGCTGTACATTAAGGAGTAACACTCACCACCTTTACATGTAGAGGACCTCATAATGTTGTAAGCCATCCATGGATGTCACATAGTCATTCAACAGAATCATGGACTTTGGGAATGATCTGAATATGCAAAAATCATCATTTCGCTACGTAGTCGTCCTGAAACCGACCCTAAGCAAGAGAATACTATATGCGGAGCAATGATCAACCGACACCGGATATCCCACAGCACACCCTCTCCCCTCAAATTTCTCGTGTCTGCAACGCCTCGCGTTCGCTGTGTTTTCCATATCGTAACTTGGATCGTCCACTCGTCGCGGTCGTTTGCCCCTGCTATTAACATTCCATTCCCAACGCTTCCCGTCTATTATTGACTTTGACCACTTCATATTATTGCGTCAGCCACAGTTCAGCAATCTCGTAGGCCCCTCAGGCTCGTCCCGTGGGTTTCGTTGGCATTCGTTTTGCAACTTGTTGTCCCGCACCTTCGACATCACTCCCTGACTAGAGCCCAAGCTAAAGCGGCCGCAGAATCCATGAGTTCTCCCACTGCTTGTGGCATCGCGGACCAGACAAGCCCAACAAGAGATGTTTTTTCGAAGGCGTCGAGAAACTTGAACCCGTGGACTCCCAGATCCAAGCCAAGACCTGTTCTAGGTCGTTTATTGGCACTAAGGTCGTGACAACATCTGGAGTAGGACCCCACAGTAGTAAAAACAGTAATGCCAGAGAAAAGAAGCAAGCGTCATCCAAACTTTTATATTTTGCAACAGTAAAACAACATCAAAAATCCCTCTAGCGAACGCGTGCAATATCACATTGTAGCCAAACCATCGACCTGAGGATTGAGATTCAATCGGGCAGCTAAAATGTGATCATGGACATGTAGGCTAAGTAGTATTAGTTCTTGCCGAGGCAAGTTGGTGTTTCTCATCAACACCGTGTGGATTGTATGATATAAATGGCCATCTAGGCATAATATCGTAACAGCGTAACAGTCGTAGGGACATAGCCAGTAGCTTTATCAGCCAACCTTTTCTTAGCAGAAATGACAAGTCAGGAGGCGAGATAGCCTGAGCCGAGCATCGAGGTCCGGAACGAATACCGTCACGTTCCGCCGAGTAGGCCTCATGACTCTGTCCTGTGAATGTGTCGTACGTAATTTGGCATGAATGGTTGCCCAATGAGCTCTGTAGTGAAAAGTCCTTGTATCCGAGGCCAACCTCTCCAGAATCTCTCTTTTAGCATCCAGTCGTCAGTTCGTGACAGTGCGTATGGGTATAGTATGAACCGTAGCTGTCATAGAGCACCGTGATGGTATACCCAATTCGAAACCGGTGACTTAGGAAAGGAAGTGGACATCCATTCCTTAATTCAAAATAAGTTGCCTCTCGGGCTTGCTCTAGAGATCCAGAACAGGCCGAATGAAGCATGCATGGTGTAACGTGAAAATCAGCACAAGCCAAGCGCCCAATGATATAAATATTCGTTGCCAATAATTGTCGGCGTATGGTCAGCAGACCCAATAAACCACGCTCGCCGTTGCGCAGCTCTGGACGAACTGAGCTCGCTTCAGAATAACCAGCAAAGGCGAGCACCTTTACCGGTGGCGGGTTGCCCTTGTGCCACTCGTGCCACCTTCACGAAATGGCATTGGAAACTCGACTTGAGCAAGGTGCCGGCGATTTAGTGGAACAAGGCAGAGCTGCCCGTAGCATTGCCGTGACGAGCGGCGTCGGACGAGTCTGCTCGTGATCCAGTCAGCAAATCTGAATACGAGTCTTGCGACGTCAAGTTTGACGAACCGCTGCCTCTCTGCATGTGGCCGTTCGCTCGACCGCGACCACTGAAGCCGGTGGAAGCCTCCCACTCTGGGCCGCGAGGTTGGCGCTCCGGAGCATTCACTCGGGTGCTGGAGCCGTTCATCCCAGGCCTCTGGCTGCCAATAGCGCCGGGGGCTTCTCGAGAACGTACATGGGAGCCGCTGGCATCGAAACCACCCCCCAGTCCCAGGGAGCCCATGCCACCCACCAGCGACGCGGTATCCGACGAGCTGAGACCCGTGTTGGTCACAGTGCCGCCTGGAGTTGTCGGTGTGGTGAGGGATGTGCCGTAATCACCGTAGCGGGCCACATTCGCGGTATCTGGTCCATTGGGCGGGCGAGGCAGGGCACTGTTGACATAGCTGGAGGTGGACGGGCTCGGGCTGGGGCTGTAGCTGCGTAGATCCGCGAAGCTCTTGACACCGCGCAGTCCGTTGATGGCGTCGGGGCTACCCCCAGGTAGCTCGAGAGTGGGATTTCCCTGCCTGCCAACCGTGTGATAGTTGCTGGAAGAAAGGTTGCGCGACTCGGCAAAATCTATTGTAGCGGCGCGACTGAGGCCGCGGCGGTGTGCGTCAAGGGACGAGACAGTCTGCTGCAAGTGTGCAGGCAGCTGCGGTGCCGCAGCTCTCTTCATAACATGTATCTGTCGGTGCGCGCCGTCACCAACGGACTGATGCTCAAGGCCCATATTGTGAGCAAGTACGTGGATCTGTCGCCGTTGTTCAGGGGTTATGTCATTCGGGAAGATCAAGATCTCGCGCGCCGGATCGTTTCGGAACAATGTCAGTTCAGTGTAGTAGTTCAACGTCTCCGGGTTGTTCAGATCAATATCTCCTACTCGATCACGATTAGTTCTGAGTCCTAGTCCAGAATTCTCACGAAAGAGCTCACTCATGGGCGAGGTGCGCTGTTGAGGGGCGTTGGAGCCTCCCGTGAGGGAATGCATGGATGTCTGGTGCTGCAGGGGTAGAGGTCGATGTTGCTCTTCTAGCTGGCCACGCTTCTCACGTTTCTCCCGCTCGATGCGTTCTCGTTCATGTTCTGGGAGCATCTTCTTGTACTCGACGCGAAGTTTACGACCACCAACTTCCATCTGATTCATTCTCTCAATAACAATGGCGGTGTCGGTGGGGCTCTGGAAATTTGCAAACGCCAGTCCGCGAAACACGCCGTTGTCGAAGTGATAGTTGAAGGCATAGGGCTGGGGGAGGCTCAAGTCGATCATCATGGCGGCGAGCTGCTCTTTGCGCACGTTGAAGGGGATATTTTTTATCACAATGGCGGTGGGAATGAGGTCATTAGGATCTTTCTTGTCGTCCTGTGATCGTCGCATGTCGTTCGAGTATAGACTGGAGTTCTGAACAGGGAGATGTTCGGGCCCAGGACCAGGGCCGGCGTTCATGTGGCCGAGAGGGTGGTTCGGCAGAGCAGGAGATGCGTATAGCTGCTGCGGGTTATGCATCCCAGCAGAGCCCATCGATGCTTGGTCAGGGGGCATAATCCAGGTCTTTTTGCAGTCAGTACAGCGAGTAGAGAAGGGGGTGTGAGCAAAGGGGGAACGAACATCTGGTAGGGGTTGTCGCCTGTTGCCGATGCGAGATCGCATGCCGTCGTTCATTGCGCCGTTCACCGTGGCGACGCTGCCTGCATTATACTGCCATGCCTGGTTATTACCCATCATAAAGCTGCCGGGCAGGCCGGAGGCGGTGGGGGTCATGCGGTCGTAACGGCCTCCGTTGTCGAACGAGTTGAAGCGGTCGTCGACGGTTCCGTACATGTTGGAGGGGGCCTGGCCGATGGGATCAAGCGGTCTCTGGTTCTGGCGACCGGAAGGCATGCCAACGGTGGCATAACCCTGCCTCGTCGAGCTGGGAGATCGGTTGAGTGCGTTTGGGTAGCCGTAGAAGCTGTCTTGCTGTTGTTGCTGGTTCATTTTCGCGGTGTGTGATGGCTGGGTGCCGCGCGTAGGCAGGCAGGTGGTGAAGGAGGAGGAGAAGGAGAAGGGAGAGAGGAAGGAGGAGGAGGGTTCGAGACAGCTGTGGCGTGTGGTGAGCCAGCAGGCTGCTGAAACCGGTGGAGGGACGGTGACGATTGGACAATGTTTGACTGGCCGCAGCTGGACTGGGTGGCAGGCGGGCAGGCTGTTGGTGCTGCGTGAGACCTGGCTCTGATTAGGTCAGATCTGGTCTGGACCTGGTGGCGGAGGGCGATGCACGACGACGACGGCGACGACGACGGCAAAGCGTGCTGCGGGTTTTGGAGACGGTGCGGTGCGTACAGACGGACGGATGGGCGGACAGGGAACAAGAAACACGCACACAACACACGCAGACAGGCTGACAGACTGACTGACAAAGAGACAATAAGTCGACCGACGGGGCGGGAAGAGAATTTCGACCAGAACAAGCGGAGTCGCAAGCGGCTGGCCGGAATGCTGGAGAAATTCTGGTGGGTGGGCCGCCCGTAGCCTCTTAGCCTACTTTTTTTTCTCTCTTCCCCAAAGGTACAGTACAACACTGTAGGTACAAAAGGCTGTAATTACCGTACCGCACGCTCTCTGGCGCTCTTCTCGTCAACAACGACAGAGAAGACGGAGACGCGCGCACGATCGAGGTAACGGAGAAAGGATGACTGCGATGCACTGACCTGCGCTTGTCTGCTGCGCAGAGAGAGAGAGTCCTTCTGTGCTCTGGCTTCGGAGAAAGGCTAAAAGGCGACAAAGCCGCGCAGAAAGGGCCCAATTCTCGATGAGCAGGGGCCTAAGGCCTAAGGTCGCCTTAGAGGCAGAGTCGACGATAGCCTTGCACCCAGAACAGTCGGTTCCGAAAACCTGGAGCACAGCAGAGCAGGGAGCAACGTAGATTCTGCTGTCGATGATGCCTGGAGCTGTGTGTGAAACTCGTACAGTCGTCTCTTCGTAGTCGTCGTAAAAGTGGCTACCCTTGCACGGTTTTTCGTTCTCAGACTCGCCGGTCAAGTAGTTTGTTGAATAGATGCACACACTGCCAGCTGCAATGACTGAACTGTCGGAACAGACACGCCGGTCTAGAGCAGCCACCTGGGTATATGGGGGCTAATTATCATACAAGAAATGATAACTCAACTGGTTGCTGGTATTCTGGTTGACTGCTTCGGCGCACTTAATCGGGAATGCGGGCGAGGATGCTCAAGACCTGCGACTGTGACTGTTGATGCTGCTGGAATGGATGTATCGATGGAGGAGTGAGTGAGGGAGTGAGTGGATGGATGGATGGATGGGGTAAGGTCTGTCATTCGGTCAGGCAAGCAGGCAGAATGACCGCATTTTGGGGAAGGAGGGAAGGACTAGGACGAACCGCCCGCACCTACCCTAAACTAAAGAAGTCCACCTGCCCACTACCTAAGTACCACAGTTCCTAACTTCACCTAGGCACTCATGTTTGAAAAGCGAGGGCGAATGCACAAAATGGTACTTGGCTGAATGTGGGCCAGCCATAAGAACCCCAAGTACCTTGGATGCAAGCAAGTTGGTTCGGTACTCACCCAAGATCTAGGTAGCTATCTAGCGTACCTAGGTAGGTTGGCGCTCTACCTTCCCTGAGTCTACAATGCGTCAGGCCTCTTCGCCTCCCTGTAACGTTAATCATCTACAGTCGATAACATCATTTATACATCGTCGATATTGATTTACCTATACTTCATTCATGATGAGGGCCAGGGTCTGTCTAACATGTCTCTACCATACCCAGCTAGAGGGACCTTCATATCCCACCTCACGCCCAATTCTTCATTTCATATCCAGAGTAATGCAGGTCCTTCGGATTTATTCCGCTCTTCTACCGATCCAGGGGCATCTACATGTACCTACATGGAGAGAGTGTTGTCAGCCATACATACCACGGTGTTCGGCCGTTGTCAATATGTTTTTCGCATGCCCATCCCTGAAAACACCGTTCTTGGGTCTCATTTGGAATGATTGCAAGCTATCGCACACCATACCGTCATCCCCAGCACCTCCTTTCTGCCTTGCTCTATTAGGACGGCCGTGGCTCAGAGACTACTTTGGTAGAAAAGGGGTCGCGATGCCAGCATCCACTTCCCCCCCCTGAGTGTGTGGAGTGCAGCTGCACCTGGAGCGAGCCGGTAGGCTGCGGGTGTACTGCCCATGAAGCCGCTGGCCCACTGTCAAATATCCTCCCAGCAAATGATGGGCAGCGGCCCTCAGAGCCAGACATCAGCCGCGAGACAGTGGCAACGGCTTCTGGCGACGGGACTGGCCCGAAGGGCACATGGCGGGCTAGCACTCAAATGGCAGGGTAAAGATACCTCCTTCCCCGGGTCACGGCACACCTGCAACTAACCGGCGGGCATGATCAGATCTAATATGCTTAGCACGATACATGTGCAGCTAGTGAGCCCTGTCCTGCTATGCTGTAGTCTGCAGACAATAGGATGAAGCCCGAGTTTGATTGACGCAAAGTACTGCACAGATATCAAGAACAGCGAGTTAAGCAACGAGAACAGACAGCACAACGGAGTTGTTGTGCATTCACACGTGGACATGGGCGTTGAGGGTCCAGAGCTAACTTGTTGTTGACAACTTGGAAAGCCCAAGAGCCCGCTATTCATTTTAAGTGCGTAATGTGCCAATGATTGCATCAGGATCCCAAAGCTTTGGGTCTCCTGGTAACTGTATTTTAGTGAAATCTAAGCAGTCGCCGTGGGGCTGTAGGCAGATCATGTTCGTCGATCCGTCAGTTTTAGGTTACCTCTTCGACTATGGCCCGCGTACCGGTTTTGTGGGTTGGAGTTCAGGAGACACGCAGGCGGGAGGTTCTGTCCCGACCGAAGCAGGCAAGGAAACGTTAAAGCGAAACACTTCGCTTCCCGACCGTTCAAGCGTCGCGTGAATCTCCGATCCCCTCGTGTTCTCCTGTGTGCAGTACGTACTTTTGTCTAACAAATGTGCCTGTGCTTGTATATGCGTATGGCTTCAGCCTTTGCACAGCAGGGCAGTCAGCATTGCGAATAGCGGACTTCAGAGCACCCGAGACATTAATTCACCATTTGCGCCACTTCTACTGCACCGACAACACCATAAAATGGCGGCGTAAAGGCCAGGATCAAGTGTGAAATGATGCCTGTCGCCGCCTCCTCGAATGCTCACTATTCACCACTTGCCTTGTGCATCTTGACACCTGTGCATACGCGTTGGCCATAATGCGACCAATACGGGAATTTTCCACACTTTGTCAAGATGGAAGCGCCAAATCTCCACAGTCTCGGCAATATCATGTGCAGTGGGTGGTCAGGAGATGTGGCAGTTTTGAAGACTGTAGACGGCTGAAGACTTGAATAGGGGAGGAAAGCCAGAGACTTCGTATGTAGCCTGTTTTGTGCAAGTCACCTACGCTTGTGTGGTTGCACCTTGGATCTCCACCACTATAAAACATCTTTACTGCTCAATAATCGAGGCTCGTATCGTCCATGCATGATATGGTAATGGAACCCAAGCGAAGCACTCTCTGACTGTCTCTACCATTGACCTCACCCGCTACATGTCAGTCGATGAACTGTCACACCCGAGGAGCCGGTATGGATTGAGCGAGACACGGCAAGTCCATCGGGCGAGCTTGACGGTGAAGTGTCTGTGGCTAACACTCAGGATACGTATCATACATGACATCCTCTACCTTGACAGGGCTTTCTATGGAAATGCTGTGCTTTGCTGGGGCCTCAATAATGAAGCTGGCGACCCTCCTGACATCCTAGAAGTTGGACTGGAAGAAGAAGTACAATACAGTCTCTAATTTCAACGCTATCAGCCCCAAATCGATTGATCAGGCAAGGTGAAAGCTTGGCAAGTGGTCCCAGCTCCTTTGTTATTAGCAGGGGTCAGATATTAAAGATGGTGGGCGAATCCAACGTCGACAAACGCGACCCGGATCAGAGTCGTCACGCGGCAACAAATATCAAGATCGTAGGACAAGTCGTTGGGCTTTTCTCCCACACAAGGTTTCTCTAGGTGGCTCATGTGAGCAAATAATTCCGGTTTGAGGAGATCTTGTCTTAAACCCCCACCCCTTACCAGCGACATTCTACCCAGCTTGCCAGCTGCTACAGGTATCTAAAGGCCTGTTAAGCCTAGACGAATAGGCTGACGGGAATGTCCATGTCCGTGTCGTTAAGTCTCACAAGTACGTATGTGCAGTGTCGACCTGCAGCATAATGTATACCAAGTCAAAGCTTACATACTCCCCGTTCTTCTATGCTATTAATCGGAGTCGAAGATCCTCTGAGGGAAGCCGGCCATTGTAACATCAGTGGTCATAAGGTGGTCGTATCCAGAATCATCTATTTAACTTCATTATCTGCACCATGTCAATGTTTCTGGTGAGCTTCCCTGGTCCATGCAACAGCCGTAGTTTGTCTCGGCCAGATGCCGCATTGCCTTGGTATTTTAAGATCCGGCACTTGAGCTTCTCCCACTAATTTAAGTCTACGTTACAATGCATGATGCACCTATGAATTCGGTACTCGTATGCTTATCATGAGGTGCCAATCTAAACTGCGAGCTCCGTCGAACAATCGGAATTATGAGCAATGCGCTCGCCTAACATTGTCCTACAGTGTTTGATACGTTGGCTGATGCACAAGCGTCCTAGCATTGGAACTCTCTTCTTTCTATTACCATGCTCACAGCACTCCTCTGCCAACATTGCTCAAATAGGATCAGAGACCTACGAGCTTGGCATTTCACACATTTTGACCAGTACGGTGTTGCTGCAGTCATCGTTCTGAATAAAATTATCAATCATCTTCGCACCCGCGTTGCGTTCTTGCGTCAGGGGTAATTCGATCTACGTGAATGGCCGTAAGGTGCCGTGGACTTCCGGTGCTTAAAATTCGGCTCTGATGTTTGGCGTTTGAACTATAACGCGGAAACCGGACGAGAGCATGCATGGCAGATGGAGCGAACATAAAGAGTCCAGCCTAAACATGTCACATGCGGAATCGCACTACGCTTAAACACTGTTCGTAAGATGTATTCACATCATAAATGCTTTTGGTTCTCACTAAGCTATGTCCTCTTCAGGAAGGGGACCACGGCATCTCGGAAAGCCTCGAACCCATCCACAAAGCTCACATGACCTGCATTCGGGATGACTACAAAATCGACCTGCTCGCCACTCTTGCCTGCTGCTGAAAACCCGTCCTGAACTCCATCCCGCAGGCCCTTCATCTTCTCTGGCAGATCTGCATCCTTCTCACCCACCACGAAGAGCACATGCTCTGTCCCACTGGCCACTTTTGGTGCCAGTGGCCGCACGTCGAAGGTAGGAGACTGCAACGCTGCGATACATGTCTCGAATCCATCGATAGTCGTCGTTTCCATGAGGCCACGCAGCACGTCGGCTCGTTCTGAATGGCTCGCGATCCATTCCGCCCCAAACCAACGCTCCATGGTCGACTGGACGGTCTTCTTCATGTCGCCATCTTGCCTGGCCGCCTTCACGCGAGGCCCAAAGGCATCCTCCACGCCGGCATTCGAGGGGCTGCAGGAAATGGTGTCACACACGACGAGGTTCTTAACCATCCCAGGAAATTTAGTCACGAAAAATATGCCCAACGCTGCACCCATGGATACGCCCACCCAAGCATGAAGGAATGGTGTTAGAGTGCGCGGGGCATGATGGCCAGAGAAGGCTGCTGTGATTTCCTTGGAGGTCAAGAGATTGTGAACATCATCGGCGAGGGATTCGAAAGTCGTGGAGCCGAGATCCGTGGGTGCAGATGATTTGCCGTGACCTGGATGATCGTAGAGCAGGACACGGAAGCCAGCATCATGTAGCGCAGAGACGACCTCGTCCCAAAATCCAAACTGGGCGCTGAGGGAGTTGGACAACAGGACGGTGGGACGCTGAGGCTCAGTCACATATGTGAGCTCGTAGCTTAGCTCTCGGCCATCTGGAAGCTGAAAGGCCTGCGCCATGGCGTTGCGGTTGTGATGACACCTGATTTGTTGTTGGGCGGGGTTTGCTCGGCCTATGCCCCGCGTTTGCGTTCAAGTGATGATGGCTGCCAAAGACGTTGATGCAATGCAAATGGCGGTAAGATCAGCTGAGCCCAGTAATGGGTGTTTTGGAATTGAGCTGAGGCTCTGAATGATTCTTGATGCTATTGCGGGGGTGGCAGAAGGGAAGAAGGGTGTTGTTGAAGCAGAAATACCGTGACGCTGGTGCAAGTCGACTAATGCGTCATCTTATGCAGCTGTCAGTTGAGTGCCGATTACCCAAGCTTGGCAAGCGCCAACCAACCACATGTTGTTCCCTCAACCTCAACCAACTTCAACGCCGCCTCCAACACCTTTTCTCACATCAAATCGAGAAAGTCGTCGTTGACTTGATCGCTGCCTCCCTTTTGCTTCACTCAAACAGAAGCCATCAAAAGACGACGCCACGACCGTCTAGTTGTCTACAGACATGGGGATGTTACTTGGTGTGTGGCGGCCAATGAGTTGATAGACCTTGATCTGCACGCTTCGAGTTGACTTGCATGCTGGACAAGTCACAAGGTCCTGCCTGCTTCCAGCGACGCCACGCAAGTGGAGGACGAAAGAACAGCCCGCCTGATAGCGAAAGTATATTAATATGATCCAATATCTCGTTTTTTGCTACTGGAGTTTACTACCAGTTACTTACAAAACTTGTTAGTGTCAGTATGTTTTAGTTGAAAAACGGGGTAGTTATGTCGTCCTGCACCTTGCCAGATGTTGCCTGACATTTCCAAGAACAATCATCTTACCTGACAAATTTGCACAAGATCACCAAGAATAGCTGACCAGGTGACTTCATGGTGGTAGCGGCTAAGTTGGCAAAGATGTTGACAGTTTCTTTGTTTTGGAAAGCGCCATGGCTTTCGAATCGTTACTGTCATTTGCGCCAGAAGCATTCCAGAAACTCTTCTCGACAAAGAAATCAATCTTCTGGGTTTCTAAATTTATCTTTGCCATGTGGTCCGGACTGTCCCGTCCATTTAGCAAGATGATTTCCCCATTTGTGTTAAACCAAACGTGCATTTTGTATTCTAGGATTCTTTATTCTTAAGGTCGCAAGAGAAGCGCTTTTTCGCCAGTAAATAGATGCTCAGTTCTCTCGCGCGAAACACCCTTTCAATTCCTCTTTTGGCATCATGCCATCAACGAAATATTTTCATATTATCATTGTCACAAACTTCTTCTCACCGTATCCCAAGCCTAGTGTCTTTTGCCAAAAGCCATTTCTATTCCCATCGACTTTCTCTTTGAAATGACGCCGATCCACCGAGATCATTCGGAGACCTCCTCCCAAGACCTGACACCTCCCCAAATACCGAACCCATGGGTATGGCGTTGCCACCTCTGCCACATAACCTACCGCCTGGGATGCACCCGTCGCTGTCTTGAGTGTAGTCACGAGTTTTGCACTACTATCGAGCCTATTAGACAGGGAAGCAGGAAGAAACGAAGCAAGCGCGGAGGGCCATGCAAGTCAGAGTTCGACTACTCCGAATGGCATAATTATGGTGCATGGAGACGGACAATCGTTCTGAATAACAAGACTGCTTGTCATGAACGGCAGCTTGCTGACAGTTGGGGACGAGAGGCCAATGCCGCGACAGATGGTGAACGTGAGAAATGGACTAAGAAGAGAGAAAGATTGTTCATCACGAGAAAACATGACTGTTGGCAACACTGCGATTACCCGAGTGAGTGCCGCCATACTTATTACACGGCCATGGTAGAAGGCAGGAAGGCACCTGTCAGTTCAACGGTGAAGATAAAAAAGAAGGAAGTGTTCTCTACCAGCCAAGCTGAACAAGCCACAGAGTCAAGAACATGGCCTGATTTGAGCATTGTCGAAGTTGGAGAACCTTGTCACGAGGAGGTTGCGAAAGCATCATCAAGAACCATGGAAATCACAGAACACGACTTCGATATCGAGCTGAGCTCTTCTACCGTTCAACATGTGGATGAACCACAAGTTTTTGAGGACGATGATTCGGACCCTGCGTCTACCGAAGCATTTCGCGGGAGACAAGAGCGGCGCTCACGACTTAAGATTGCTCGTCTCACCGGCATGGATTCTTTCAGCTCTCTGGAGAGTCTTCAGTCTGTCAGTTCTGCCACACATGCCGAACACCCGTCGAGTATCGAATCTGACAAGAAGCTAGCATGTACAAGAGCTAAGTCAGCAAGAACAAGGCGGAACCCATCGGGGCCCGCAGAAGACTACGAAGATGATGATCCGACTGGCTCGATTTTGGACTTGATATTGCCTCAGCTCAACGATGGTGGTCCTATTATGCTCAACCGGACACTATCAAATAGGGCTGGCCCTGTGGATCCACGAGCAAGCGGTGTTGTGCTTGCTTCAGAGGAGGACGAGTGGAAGTCGTGGTCGACTTCATCGAGCAGCAGCTCATCCCCAAGCCTCACGCCGCGAGACTTGATGTCTGAAGTTGATTCAAGACATGTCGAGACGATGGCCGGACGGGAATCCCTCAATGTGTTCGACTCAGGATGTTTTGTGAGCCACTATGGGCTGGCCCCGGATGAGGATATAACTGCCGTCAACGATGGCGGAAGTCTCTGCGAAGAGCGGGATCTCATCGAGCTGTTAAGATTGCGTAATGCGTTTATGAGAGGGGATATCTAGTCCTTTACACTCTCGGGGGATCTATGTTAGCCGTTCAGGTGATGTTGTGTTTGGAAGGCCATGTGAGAGACTCTAGGAAAATCAGAATCGTTGCAATAGTAGAAATGTTTTCAGAGTCCCCCGAAGTACAGATCATATTTCTTCAGCTGCTCTACTTAATGAACCCTGTGCCTTCATGCTACCCATACCACCGTCAATATCGAAGGAAAAGGAACTTTGTTGTACAATCGCCATGTCGCGAACCGAAAACAGTACGGAACAAGAAAACTCTCGTCTAGCCGCCAGCTCTAAGCCTGGTCCCGACACAGGGTCATAAGCGCCACACCCTGCCCTCGTGACCACTGGTCTCCCTGTAGCCTGGCGGAAGATCTCCGCCCGACAAGAGCAGTGTGCAAGCCAAGAGCGACTTCAGCTGCGTACGACACTATGCAGTTTGCAGCTGGCGCTCCGGTCTGCTTTGGCTGCACCATTTGCGTCATCTGGAAGACCAACCCCCCCGACAGTTTGGCATCGCATCACATTCGCAGTAAGAAAGAAAGATCCCGTCCCACGTTCCAAGCCAGTCCAGCGCGCCCGAAGTATCTCGAATAACCAACAATCAAGGACGAAAAAGAATCGGCTGACGAGGGATTTACGCCTCGGGGGCCTTGTTCTTCTTCTTCTGTTCGACCTTGAGCAGGAGAGCACGGTTGATGTGGGGGAGGACACCACCGAAGGCGATGGTGGCGCGGATGAGAGTGTCGAGCTCTTCGTCACCGCGGATGGCGAGCTGGAGATGACGGGGAGTGATACGCTTGACTTTGAGGTCCTTGGCGGCGTTCTAGTCGAGAAAGAAATTAGTCACGTCTCTAATAGATGGAACGCAAATTGGAGAAGATCGCAAAGAACGCGATGGATCGGAGTAGCTACTTACGCCTGCAAGTTCGAGGACTTCAGCGGTCAGGTACTCGAGAACGGCGGTGACATAGACGGCGGCCTTGGCTCCAACACGCATCTTGTTCTGAGTGTTGGACTTCAAGAAACGCTTGACACGACCGCAAGGGAACTGGAAGGGAAAGACTGGTTAGCGATTTGGAAACAAGACAACAAGTCCGATTTGACCTGGCCTCCTATTGAAGCCCATTGCCCTCGATCCCATCGTCGCTAGCTGGCGCAAAATATGAATGCGGGGTTTAGCACGAGACAGCTGAGCAACACTGCGAGACATCCGGCAAACTCCATCGCTCTTGAATTCTCACGATCGAAGTGAGCACGCGCGGAGATGGATCGGCGAATGGGATGATGCAGCGAGCGATGTTGCGGTGTGTGCCGGTCGAAAAAACCTGCACTTGTCTTGAGAAACGCGTAGCTGTCCGGCGCATGGTGCTTCAAGGCTGGCGATGATGGATATCGACGACGACAACGACGACAACAGGCCAGGAGGGGGTCTAAAAGCCGTGCAGAGAGCTGCATGGCACATATGCGACGACATACCTGAAGACCAGCGCGAGCAGAGTGGCTCTGCTGCTTCTTGGGGCCATCGACGGACGTCTTGCCGCCGGAGCTCTTGCCACCAGAAGACTTGCCCTTTCCGCCAGCCATTGTTTATCGAATGCGCGCAAAGAAGTTTGCTGAAAAGTGAAGAGTAGGAGGTCGACGGAGGTTCGCCGAAGACAGCCGAGAGCGATGCGCGGTGAAAGAGGTGTTTTGTTGAGGTTGTTGTTGACGACGCGACGAGGGGCTGGCGATGGCAGTTGTGATGATGGTGTTGTTGTTGTGTTGATGTAGGTACGTTAACAGCGCGGGCGGAACGGTGGGTGGGTGGCTGCTATGAGATTTTCGGCTGGCCAGGAATGTTAAGGTTTGGCTGGTGTTTAGGTAGGCAGGCGGTGGGCGATGTATCGTCTGTTTACATTTGCAAAATTGGAGAGGCTGACTCGAGGTATGGTTAATGCCTAAATCCACTGTCTGGCCGCCTGCCTGTGTCGTAAGGTTTCCCGTGTTTATGTGCATTGCTTAACAGGCGGTACTTCTGCATCCGTCAAGAGTACGGCGGCCGACAGCAGCCACGCATGCAGTTTGAGGAGGCACCACCGCCTCTGGCCGGCGACCCGCGATGCCCTCCAAGTCGTGGGGTGCCTGGGCCCAGGACCACAGGCGTGTTGGGAGAAAGATGCATGAAAACAACATAAATCAGAAGCCCGAGAGCGGCTCTTTGCAGAGACGGGCTTTTTGGGGCAGTAGATGCAGAAATGGTAGAGAATAGAGAGGATACATACCCGTCTTACCAAGAGGCTCCGGCTGGTGACCGGCTACCAGCACACAGCAACGGCTGTGCCATGGCGCCTCAACGTCGGCGAACACGGCAGCACGCGCTGAGAAAAGAGTGGAGGGTCTCTCCCTGTAAGATGCATTGATCGCCTGCAAGGAAATCAAAGTCCTTGCAAGCCAGGTCGTGATATCGTGGCCATCGCCATCTTTGCTATATGGTTTCATCTTTGGCCAGCGTCTGCGATATTTGCCCTTCCAGCCCTTCCAGCCAGAGAGGGGATGTGTGGCTGGTGCCTTCTGGGGCTGACGGTGTGGCTAAGCCACAACACAGGACGTCTAGGGCTCTTCGCACCCAATGACAACTCACATCTCTAGCCTGTTAGTGAATGGCATCTTCACCGAACAGCCAGCATTTATACTGCTGGGACTGTTATCAGGTTGACACTTTATTCTATCAACATTTCTTGCTCGAGTACTTGGGAGGGGGGAACAGACCCTTGCTACTGAAGTAAAGATATCCAAAATGTATGCTAGATGGATACAGACGGCGTCCACGTTTTGCAAAAAAAACAAAAACAAAACAAAAAAAAAGCCTTTCCCCTTGCATCCGCTACTGCGCGAAGACTTAACACTATCAAAAAGCTCAAGTGCATACCTTACTATGTAGGAGCAATACTTGGCCAAGTCTATAACAGAGATCAGTCTTCATTCCCGGTTGCTCCCCGGTACTGCCACTTGGTGTGCTTATAGACGGCAATTTTGCATGTGTATATTTTGAGATAAGACATCATGATCCCCGACTTCCTTCTCTAGAGAGCTTAGAGACTTCCAGCAAAAAAAGAAGCTTGGGGTAAACCGGGATCGAACCGGTGACCTCTGTTGATATTTGTCAGCGATTTATTTTTATGGAAAGCAATTAGTTTGACTTACTTAGTTAAACCAATTTTGGTGTATGAATTTCTTCAGACTAACACGACTCCCAGCTGCGCCATTACCCCTGGCTTGATCTGATTGGACGCTTTGGGCAGAAAATAGATTCATGACTTCACGGTGCACTCCGACATCTAGGCTACTAGGAAAGCCGTGTGTGCCCTGAATCTAAAAGTTGCTGTATAAATTGAATGAATATGGGAGGTCTCATTGCAGAACTACTCGGATGAATCATTGCAGAGCCGCAAATTCTTGCTGATTAGCAATTTCCGTCATGGAAAGAGATGCTTCGTTTTTTGAAAGTCAAATAGTATTGTATAAATCAAGGAACTGATTTTGCAAAATCGGCGGTCGAACAGACTCCTTCATAAATGGAGAAGTATGAATGATGATCTGGCTATGATCTGATTTCAAGAATGTAGGGAGGCCTTGGCTTCATATCTCGAACTGTTGCAGAGTTGTGACAAAAGAGAGCCCC